ATACCCTTAAAATATATAAAAACGTATGAATAGCAATCGTGATAAATAAATTTACATGTAATGCGACTCATGTGCTATGGACAGAACGTGTCAATATCCACTCCCATAAAGTAAGCACATTTATAACTGTTGATAATTATAATTCGATCCAAAACATTTTCATTTTACATATTTATGTAAGTGATTCCATTAGGACCTTGATCTAATGGTCCAAGCAACACAAAATGTGTGGACTGCTGCCGCATGACACGCGACACAGATAACGGAACCTTTTACCTTTTGCTACCCAAAATCAAGCAAAGACTATCGTTTTCACAATAGATTAATTATATAATTCTATAAAAATGGTTGTATAACCTGTTTAATTCTGCCTAGAAGAACGTGAATATTTATGCCACAAGCTCGTATGCAAATTACCTTAAACTTCACATATAAATTCTAAATGATGAACCATTTTAAATCGAGTTAAGCTACAAGACCACCCAGCACCACTTCTACTTCACCCCCCGATGTCATGTAATTACAGGCTTATCTGGATGTTATATCCGTTGTCGCTGCTGCTCTTCCTGTGCCACACACACACACACATCCCATTCCTCATGCCTTGTGAAAAATTAATTAAATCAAAGCCGCACAAAATAAATTGCACAAATATTTGTTGCTCTTCTCGTGCGAGTATCGCTGCAAAAACATGGCCAATAAATGTGCCAGACTGACTTTGAAGTTTGATTATATAGCCAGTGTGAGGGTCAATCCAAATGGGTCTTTGTCCATCGATATTCCATTCCTTGGAGGCATATTGTGTGTGGCTTTGAGGCTGTCTTTGGGACTTCCAGACACGAACCAACAAACAACGAAACGAGTGTAGATTAAACACAGCCCCACAGCCGTCCGTTTGTGCAATATTTGCGAGACCTTTTGGATGATATATCTATCGCTGCTGAGAGTTGGGCAAACAAACATCGCGATGAGCATAGAACGTGCGACAGAGAGAGAAGGAAGTATCCCCTTTGGATAATAAAATTATGCATGTGGTAGACCGTAGCCTGGTACTAGCTTCTGCATTGGTTAAATATTTACACCCCTCGACTGCATCGTTGTCATCTGTTGTCTCTGTTGTCGTTTGTTTGACCAGCGTAAATATACAACTTGGGCCAACAACATCAGCCATGGGTGGCAGCAATAACAAAAACACACACACCACAGCAGCAGCAGCAACAGCAGCAACAGCAACAGCGGGCAGCCATGTGACATAGACAACCTGGCTGCCACATGCACATGCATCCGCCCCGAACTTGGCGCTGGTGCAACTTGATTATGCCATAAACCAATACGAAACCCAAAGGCGAACGCATTTTTGTATGCCCTGCCAAGCGGCAGGGGTATCATGATTTCGGTAAGGGATTTGTGCATCCGCAAATGGGGTAAGTCTTATTTGATTTACCTTTTCCCCCGATACATCCATCTGTACGACTATAATTCTCACAGTTCAAGAGGTGAGAGGTGAGGACAGGTGTGAAATTCAACATAAAAGAAGGTATCTACCATCAAATCATATATTTACCAATGGAAATAATTGGTTTGCTCAGAAATATATCAACAGACCTTTTTTTTATTGTAGTTTTCAGCTGGATTGTAGGAGTTTTTTTTATGTGCCACATGACACGGGGCACATTGATTTTCGACTCGAAAGCGATTTGTATTTTGCGTTTTAAACTTTAATTAAAAATTAACTCCATAAAAAGAAGACCTCAGGGTATACAAAGTTCTTCCATTCACAGTTCCACATTTAATGCATTTTTTCTTTAGTTACGCATTGGATTTGGTTTCTGCTTAGTGTGTGGGGATAGAGGAGACTGTTGGACAGGTACTGTTGCGTCGTTGCAGTCTGCTGCCTGCTGGCTGGCTGGCTAACCATTAAGAGTCATCAGCATTCAAGGCGGTCAACTACGATTTTTGAGTGCCAATTGCCTGGCTCGGTCGGGTTTTACGTGCCCGCGTACCAAATCGAGTTTTACTGGGACTGAGACTGGGGACTGGGGACTGGGGACTGGCGTCTGGACTTGGGGTTGAGAGGCCAAGAAAGGCGAAAAACCGAATATCAAGATGTGGGTCGGAGGGAGGGGGGCTGCAACTTGAAACCCAGTTGCAATTGCAACGGTGGTTTTTGTTTTTTTTATGTACTTTGTGAACCCTGAACATGAAAATATTGACAGGTTTTTCTACTTCTTCGGATGATAGCTACCTCCAGCAGCAACACTTTTCCGATGTCTTCTTCTGTCCTCCACTTGAGTGTTGACCTCATTTTACAACAACAACAACAACAGCAACAACGGCAACAAAAATCAAGGAGTTATGCAAAACGTTTGCTGTTGCTGGGGATGGGGATGGGGGGTACGGGGACAGATGGCGGGTCCAATAACCATAAACATTGATATGTTTATGGCCCAGAATTGTGTTTGTGTTTGCGTTTGCATTTGTTTCGAGCACACATATTTGCATTACAAAGTGAATCTAAAGTGAAGCCTCCTCCTCCTCCAGCTCTGCACAGGTTTCGACTGATTTGGCCCATTTTTATGGTAAAGTCAGGCCTAGGCTAGGCCTTCATGGGAGCCACCAGCGGAAGCATATCAATGCAAGGCTTTGCGGGCGGCTATTGTAAGGCTGGCTTGAAGGTGATCCACCTCCGCATTGTTTGAATCAAATCGATTGCGCCATGAGCAGCTGCCTGCCGCTCTCAATTCTCCCCCAAAAGCCCTACCCTCCCTTGGGGGTTTTCTTTGAAATGCCACACTTCCACCCAAGTGTCGACTCATCGCTGAACAATTTAACAGCGCAATTTACTTGAAAATAACAACAATTATGCTTTTTTCGCTTTGATGGTGATGAAATTGCAGCAAACAGCCTGGAAATCGCGCACGCGTTTTGCATGCGGTGGTAAAGTTGCGCGCGCGTTTTTTGCTAATCGCGCAATCAAACACACACACGCCGCACACATACATGACTTGGCTTAGGAGTAAAACGGAGAGGCTGAAGCATAACAGGAAAAGACAGAGAGAGGGAATACGGATACGATCCCAGGGGGAATATTGATACTAAGGTAAAGCAGACTGCGATGCTTGTGGCTGGAGAGGTGGTTACCTTACCTTTTAATTAATATACCCTTTTGCCGAAGCCCCAAAGCACAAGCAAGAGAAAGAGGAGTAAAAGAGACACAAAGTTGGCAACAGCTAGAGAGGCGGCTGCGTGCGCGGCTGAAAACGCGCGTAAGTTGTGCGGCGGCGGCCCGCAGGTGGCGGAGAAAGTTACCAACATTTAAGCCACTTTTTTTTTGGTCGGTCGGTTGTCTGCCTATTGTTGTTGTTGTTGTTGTTGTTGCTGCTGTTGCCCAAGCTCTTGCTGGCCACAAAAGCAATAAAAAAAGCCAAAAGCAGAAGCGCGCGCTCGAAACTAAATTTGTTTAAAAAACAAAATTGGAAAAAAAAGAAAACAACAAAATAGGAGTCGGGTCGAAACGGTTCGGGGGCAGAAACGGGTGGAGAGCAGAGGAATTATGAAATCGCCGCCAATGGAATTCGAACTCGAACTCAAATTCGAATATTCGGATCCAATGTAAATGGTGCGAGCAAGAGGGAGGGAGATCTGAGCAGCGCAGCCAAAGCCGAGCACAGCCTGGTTGCAGCCATCTCTTTTCTGCCGCTTTTCGCTTTTATGCATACAAAATAAAATGAAAGAAAAGGAAAAAAACTCTTTCGCAATTTACAATAACGAACGAATTGAGGCGGCCACCACCCGCGGGGCAAGGCAACTGGATTGGCTTGTAATTGAATAATATTTCTAGTTGGCTTGCCACACGAAACACCAGAAACACCAACAACAGCAACAACAAAAAGTAGGAAGCGCCAATGCACTTGACAGAGCCGCTGCCAAATACCCTGGACAGACAGCGGCATAACGGCTTTGAGCAGATGTTTGTGCCATTCGGTAAAAGATAAGTAACAGAGCAGATCAGTAAAATAAAAGCAATATGTAAGGGCATCTTAGCATCGGTGCTCGAATATCCTTTCTTGCTTTACTTGTTGTTGTTGTGCCGGTCGCGGACTTCAAGGTATTTTTCACTTTTGCTTTTTATAGCGAAGTCGTCATCCGCCAATGTTTATTCGGAATTTATTTTGGATTTTGGATAAATTGCCGCTCTTCACATAACTGTAATATCGGTGCAGGCCGTTCAGCCAGTTTTTTTTTCTGTGCGTGTCAGTGCCTGTACTCGTCATCGTCATCGTCCTCGTTGCTGTCTCTGTATGTCTCTGCCAGATGTCGCAAATTTAATTTTGGCATCCTACTGGGAACTGGGAACTGCGAACAGGGAACTGGGAACTGGAAACTAGGGAAACGGGGAACACACAGGCCAAGGAAATCAAGTGACTTTCTACCAACAGCATCGACAGCAGCAGGCAGAAGGAAATGAGAAAAGTTGACAACGCAACAGGATGCCGCCTCTGGCAATGGACATGGCGGCACCACCACCCACAGGCCCAGAGGCTCAGAGGCGGCGCCCACTCGTTCAATTTCGTAATAGTAGAAGAACTCAAGTGCCTCCTCAAGTGGGATTACATAGAGGAAATGCACATTGATTGGTGTGGTGGGGGGAAATAGCGTCCCAATAGAGGGGACCGGAGAAAGTTGTCCAACATATGTTCGGGGCCTGATGCATGGGCCAGAACTTGTGATAGACGCCGCCGCCGCATCGCCAGACGTTGATAAGATTGTGTGTGGAAACACCAATCAACCCAATTGCATAACTAACCAAATAGTGGCCTCTGCAACGGAGGAGCAGCCAAAGTTCCGTTCGCCCCAATAGGGAAATTACAAATATAATTGCCAATCAGACGAGACGAGACGAACCGGGAGAGAAAGTCGAGCGGGAGGGAGGCTGCTGTGGTTGGTTGATTCTGTTTGGAGCTACTTTAGTTGGGAAAGATATCGAAAATAGAACTAACCTTGCTTTCTGGATGACGTCTGCTCTCAGGGACTGGTCCGTGCGCACACACACACACGCCGCGGTAATCCACAAAGGAAATGCAAATGAAGTTGAAGAAGGATGAGCCCCCAAAGAAACTGGTTGGAAGAGTGGCGGCGGAAGAGCGTACTCCCGGTTGGCAACAACTAGTTTTTTTTTTTTTGTATTTGTATTTTTTGGCTACTCTTCTTTGCACGCGTTGTCGGATTCTCAGAATAGAACTATGTTAATGGCACCGAGTGCTAGTAGTTGTCGTAGTGGTAGTAGTTCTGCTTATCTTGTGCACTTTTCGGAAACAAATCAACATAATTGGGGGTTCGATATTGGTAATTTACGGATTACATTTATATAACACAACCAATTGTGGCACTTTCGTTGGCTTTTGTGTGGTTCACAGGTGTGTGCAAATGTGATTTCGATTCCTATTTTGTTTATATAAAAAATTGTTACGCCGCGACGGTCACGGGCTCTTTGTTGTTGTTTCTGCGACGCGTACGTACTTCTTTCAGCTCGGAAATAGATCAATGAATAAGAGCGGGGGGATGGCGGGGCGTCGCGATTAGCACTGACTTTTCATTGACCAACTGTTTGGATGGCTGCACTTGAACTATCTGCTGCGTGTTTTTCTTTTGGCCCACAATTATAACTATATCGGGAAGGGACAAGTGCAGTGTCTGCCGCGAACAAAAATCATATGTTATCATTATCAAAACACAAGAGCAGTGTGAACGCGGATTCATCAATAAAGCATACCATCTGACCCCCAGAAATATACCGAAGCATACCTTCTTGTTTTCAAAATATACCACAGCTCATTTTTGGCGTATCAATGTGGGAAAAAAAAATCAAAATCTGTAACGAATTTGGCTACATTTGAAACTGTGGTTATTTGAAAATAACCCATATTTCCCGTTGGAAAAATTTTATTTGTCACTATTATCGCTGTTTTTGATCAGACGTGTTCACAGTGGCGCCCTACAAATTGTGTGTATTTTTACATTTTACATTACATGAACATTTAACAATATACCGAATATTTGCGGTATATTTTTGAGGGCTTGAAGGGTATATTAGATCGATACATGCGCGGTCACACTTATCACAACAAAAGCAATTGGGGCCAAAAATAGCTGTTGAGCTCAAATAATTAATTATTTTTTTGTTGATATTTACTGGTTACCAACCTGATTAAATAGCCCCGCTCTATTAAGCTATTTTTTTTCTCGGTTTCTGAGGTTCCAGTCACACTCGACAAAACAAATCAAGTGAACTATTTATTTTTCCATATATATACTTTTCGAAATGACCGCCAAACTCACTTAGCGCACAAAAAATGCTGACATTTTTCGCTCTCAATTCGTGGTGGGTTTTCAAAATTCGCTCTCTTTATTGTGGTGAAGAGAGCATTTTCTTGGTGACTTTCCCCTTCTTTTCGTGGTGTGAGAAACATGCATCTTACGGGAACGTAGATTCATTGTTGCGACATTCCCGTATGCTTTGGCCGTTTTTGTTTGAACCCTATTATCTAAACAATCCCATTAAAAATAGTTCTGAAAACTAGCCAATCCTTAACAAAATTCATTGAGGAATTGATTAAAACAATTTTTTTAGGGCTGAGAGGGCCAGCTATCTAGTAATATTAAACTGAATATCAAAATTAACGAATTTCATATCACAAAATATCATGGTATGGCAGCCCGCAGCAACTACGAATTGCACGAGTCTGGCAGCGCCACAAAACGTATCAAAATATCGATACTATCGATAGTGGCTCATAATTTTAACGCAGAAATGAGTCCGGAGAGCGTTTTGAGTGCTGTCTTTCGACTGGGTCATGCCAAGGTATGGCCCCAGTGTTAAGACGGCCAAACTTTTTTAAGGGCCTCGTAAGGACCTCACCCTAGCCCCGACGGAATAAATATACCATGTTTGCGCGAAAGCACAAAATCCCGCACGGTGAGTTATGTGGTGAGGTGGGTATTTTTCTTGATAGCTCTGGATTTTGTGACGTCATACGTCACACACCTTGCGGCGCAATCAAAAGTTCCACTTACCATTCGTCTTAGAGATGGGCATGGACTGCAATTTTCCGACACGACCCAACACGACACGAAAATTAAAATTTTCAATACGCACTAACAAATAAAAAAAAAAAAGAAAAAAAAAACCCCCCGGGGGGGGCGAAAAAAAAGGGGAAAAAAAAAAAAAAGGGGAAAGAAGGGGGGGGGGGGGGGGGGGGGGGGGGGGGGAAGAAAAAAAGCAACGCACGGCTAAAAAATTTCCGAACACGGTCCAACACGAATTATTATACTTTTTTTTTAATACCTTTATTAACATGGATTTTAATTACATATACGTTTTTATTAACATATTCTTGTATAAAAATAACAATTTATCAAGATTAGAGCTTAATAAGCGTGTACGGAGTTCATTTATTATTTGTCCCGAGGTAGAAAACACCCTCTCGCTTGTAGCCGAGCTGGCTGGAATATTTAATATTTTTCTAGCTAAAAGTTGTAACGCTTTCATGTTATTTGCATTCTTCCAAAATTTTAGTACATTTGTATCTGGCAATAAAACTTAATTTTTTTGTTCGTCGTGTTTTTTCGTGCCGATTTTGCTCTGAACGATTTTTCAACACGCACACGCGTGCGCCCATCGTGTCACGACGTGACACGAAGAAAACACGGTCCATGCCCACCTCTAATTCGTCTCATTTATTTTATTTATTTATTTATTTTTTTATCCAACATTTTTCAACTGAGCGGTTGCTGCGCGCGTCGGGTCGAACAATTCAAAAGTAACTGAAAGGAAGGAACATAATAATAGTAGGCAAAACTCTCGCAGGATCGCCGCGCTGCATGAACTATTTAACAATTTTGCTGTGCAATCGAAAACCGACGATGCTCTCGCGCCGGAGCAAGGAGAAATCCCAACACAAAGAGGGCGTGGTGGGCAAGTATGTGAAGAAGGACACGCCGCCGGAGATACCGGTCATAAATGTGTGGACCAGCGATCAGCGATCCAAGAAGAAGACGCTCCAGCGCTGCGCCAGCACTTCGCCCAGCTGTGAGTTCAAGCCGCGCAGCTCGAGCACCAGCCGCAACACGTACTCCTGCAACGATGCGCAGCCGGACTACTACCATGCGCGGCGTGCCCAGAGCCAGCTGCCGCTCAATCCGCACACCCACGCCCATCATCCACCGCTGCCGCCGCTGCAGTACCGCGCCAGCAGCAACCAGCTGCAGCTCGGCCAAGGCAGCAGCAGCAACTACGTGAACATCGAGCATATTGAGCGCATGCGGCGCCAGCAGTCATCGCCGCTGCTCCAGACGCCCACCAGCGGCTTCCAGCGCAGCTACTCCACCACCCCGAAGCACTCGCATCCACACATGGCAGCCGCCAGCTATGACGCCGATCAGGGGCTGCTGAGTGCCTCCTATGCCAACATGTTGCAGCTGCCGCGCCGTCCCCACTCTCCTGCCCACTACGCCCTCCAGCAGCAACAGCAGCAGCAGCATCAGTCACAGCACCAGCTGCATCAGCAACACGCCTCTACGCCGTTCGGATCCACGCTTCGATTCGATCCGGCTGCCATGTCCATCAGGGATCGTCAGCCCCGCTATCAGCCGACAAGGTAATCCCTGCCCCTAGCCCGGCAATCATTCCTACCTCAAGCTGTGCTTTCTCATCCCACAGATCTCCACTGCAACAGCAGCAGCAGCTCCACCATCAGCAGTTGGCCGCACACTTGGGCGGCAGCTACTCGAGCGACTCCTATCCGATATATGAGAATCCGTACCGCGTCTCCTCGATGCGTGCGACCCCGTCGCAGCGTTCGGAGTCGCCCATCTACAGCAACACGACAGCTTCGTCGGCCACCCTGGCGGTGGTGCCGGCACATCACCATCTGACGGTTCCCCTCGGCCGGTGGATCGCTAAGTGGCAGCGGTCGCGGCGGCAGCTCTGGCAGCATACGTGGAGCCTCTACCTCAGTGCAATCTCTGTACGCCCCACCACCCACACCGCCAGCCGCTGCCGGAGCACCCACGGGCGGTGGTGGTGCTGCGGCGGGGAGTGTGAATGGCTCGTTGCAGAAGGTGGCGTCACAGCAGTCGCTCACGGAGCCCGAGGAGCTGCCCTTGCCGCCAGGCTGGGCCACGCAGTACACGCTGCACGGTCGAAAGTATTATATCGATCACAATGCCCACACAACGCACTGGAATCATCCGCTAGAGCGCGAGGGTCTGCCCGTGGGCTGGCGTCGCGTCGTGTCCAAGCTGCATGGCACATACTACGAGAACCAGTACACGGGCCAGTGCCAGCGTCAGCATCCGTGCCTCACATCCTACTACGTGTACACCACATCGGCTGAGCCGCCCAAGGCGATCATGCCAGAGGCATCGATGTACGCGCCACCTGCCCACACACACAACGCCCTGGTGCCGGCCAATCCGTATCTGCTCGAGGAGATACCCAAGTGGCTGGCCGTCTACTCGGAGGCCGACTCCTCCAAGGACCATCTGCTGCAGTTCAATATGTTCAGCCTGCCCGAGCTGGAGGGCTTCGACAGCATGCTGGTGCGTCTCTTCAAGCAAGAGCTGGGCACCATTGTGGGCTACTACGAGCGTTATCGGTGAGTGGCCCGATTCTCTCCATCTCTCCGCCATTTTAAGACTCTCTTTCATTTCGTTTTCAGTCGCGCTTTAATACTCGAGAAGAATCGACGCGCCGGCCAGAACCAGAGCCAGTAGTGAAGAGCCCGAAGACGACTGATACACACACACACACACACAACAGACCGGATACTCGCCTTAGTTATCCTACGATCGACAACCCATTAACTTATTTAAACCCCCCATATAAAATAGCCAACGATATCAGTGCCTTAGAAAAGACTTTTACGAGGTAAAGAGAGCCACAGCCAGATCTAGATCAGATCCGTTTGCCCGTTTGTGAACCTAGTTTTAACGTAGAAATGTTTTACGTTCGATTATACCCTTTATTGTGTACTGTGAATTGAGCTTTGCTTTTCTTTACTTTGCTTTGTTTTGTACTCTGTATTGTGCAAATTAAACAATATTTTTGTATGCTCAAATATCCAGCAGAAGAATGTTAACAGAACAGCCAGAATGTCGCCCAAGGAATGCCATCAATGGGAGTCTCGGTAAGTATCTGATAACTGAGGAGCCATGGGGAAATCGGATCGTTTCGGCTATACCCTGTGCTGTGCCAAGTTTTTGCCATTCAATTTTCCACATTTTGCCCTGCCAAGTTTTTTTTGCTACGTTTGCAACAAAATTTATGCATTTAGCACAAAGTTTTTTTAATGTTGGCAAAAAAAAACACTATGGAAAGTGAATCTCTTTATCAGCGTTGGGCAGGTTTTTTGTTTTTAATTTTTCGAGCTGTTTAGCAAGAACAACAACAACCTGCGACCATTTATGTGACGCATCATGCACACGCAATTTAAGTTGTTTTTATATATAAAATTCTTGGGCATTCTCTTTGGCACTTTTCGCTTGGGCGCCGCGTCATGTGGGATGAGTTCTAAAAATCTTTCGTTTATTTATACTTTTTATTGTTGTTGTTTTGATCAAACTTGATTAGTGAGTGCCGTAGACGTAGCGAAGACCGTTATCAACCAAGAAACGGACGCATAAAAACATTTTACTGCTGGGTAGTTCTGCAGTTTCCGCCAAACCTCTCGCTCTCTCTCTCTCTCTATCCCGCTTGCTGATAGCAAAAGTTTTTGTTTTGGGTACATATGGACTTATATCTTGTAAATTGTATTTTATGGTACACAGACACATGTGACTGACTGTAGCTTAGAGATTCGAAATTTCCCTTTCCGTACCTTTCTACAAAAAAATGATGTTCAATGCTTGTGGCAGCTCCTGAATATTTATAGAAACATTTTTGAGTACCCTTTCCATTGATGGAGAGGTTTTTTAAGTGCAAAAAAAAAAGAAGCAAACTACACACAAAACCAGAAACGAGCGGCTGGTGGCAGAAGATTTTTCGGATACCCTTTTTGATCACATTTCGATCGCAGAAAATTCTGTAGGAATTCTATAGGAATTGATACGAGTATTAAATATTAATGTGTGCTTAGTAATATTAAACCATAAGTTGTAATACAAAGCTACCTCCCCACACACCAGCCAAGCCATGCCAAGCTGTTCTTGCTGTTTAGCTCTCGCTCCAATTGTTTCTGTTGTTGTTGTTTATGGGAAGTCAGTCGCTCTGTCGCCGCAAACTGCGCAGCGACTGCATGGCATGGGCACCATTTATACGTATTGGCCTGGCCGGGGACGCGCTCAGTCGTTTGACAGTCGGCAGGCACATCGTTCGTTATCGCTTGGGGCATTCATTCGCATCATCATCTACATCAACATCCAGACCAGCCCCAGACCTGCCCAGACCAGCCTAATTGTCGGTTAAACACATTGTTTAACTTCTGTTTAAACGGTCGGTAAGTGGCAAGTGAAATATTCGCTGATTACTAAGCAAACAATTTGCCGGTTCTGAGTCGAGATCTTTGGGTCTGCATTGTTTCGACTCGGATCTCGACCATTTGATGCCCCCCCATAGTGCCCATATGTGAGAGTGAGTGTGTGCTCCGTCCGCAACCAGTGAAAGTTCTAATCCGGCTGTAAAGACACTTATAAACATTCGCTAAACATTCGCGCCAGCCACCTACACCCCCCTGCCAGCAAGTGTTGAATTATTTATTTTATTGGCTTTTGTTTTTAATATTTTTATTTACACAATTGGTCTCTTCTCTCTCTCTCTCCGCCTCTGATCCGCACGTGTGGATTGGATTGGAGTGGAGTGGAGTGGATTAGAGGGGAGTGGAGTGCTATGGTATTTCTTATCAGTGCAATAAATCTTAAAGAAATTCAAGAAATGCATAAAGCAAATCAATAAGTCAATTCGGGGAAATGCCATAAGAATCATTTCAAATGAATGAGAACTTTTTTGTAATAAGAACCTTAGGTCAGCAGATGCACAAGAATATAATTACTGTGAAAATATATGTACCAAGATAATGTTTCCAGTGAATCAACTAAAGAACACTCCCTGGGTAAATCACATCCCCCCCCTGCCTCTGGCAATGCATTGCTCAAGCCAACGGCTGGACGGGTATCTGGTCATGGGTCTTAGGGACTGGCGTAATTTTAGTGCTTTGGCAATAATTCGAATAAACCGATTGACATTATCAGCGCGCGACATTGATTGAGATAAGCGCCCATTCTGAGGCGGCTTGACTTATATAAATGCCTTGTCATGGAACGCATTATAAATACCCCTCCCCCTATCACCATCATATACGAGTTTAGCACTTGTCCGGGAATCATTTCTGTGTGTTTCATGTGTTTTATGGCCATGTGTTTCCTCCTGGATGCCATGCACCTCAATCGAGTGCCGTGCTAAAAAAAAAAAAACTTTTTGCTCTAATTGCCAAGCTGTAACATTGAGTGTGGAATAGCGGGGGTACAGGGGCAGTGGCAGGGGCGCACTGTTGAAGGTTGCCTGCCCCACAACACAGTGTTTTTTTTTTTATCTCGTATGAAATTGTTAACACGAAAGTTGTATTAAGAGAGATAGAGAGAGAGAGAGAGACACACGCATCGCACTGGAGTAAAGTGTAAGAGCTGCAAAGATATATAAATAGATTTATACTATCTAATGATTATTTATATACATATACATATATCTCCTCTGATCACTGAACTTGCAATCAGCCATAAATCATGGAGAAAATTAACATACGGCAATTGAATGCAGAAAACCCCAACCAACACCAACTCCCTTTGTTTGCCCTTTCACAAGTTGCTGGCTGCTGGTTGATTGCGACAAATTAAAACTAATTCAATTAAATCGATTCCTTATTTTTAGTGCGTCACCGATGAAAATGCCATTCAGTGTGAGAACAACAACAACCACAACTCATTGGGCATAATCAGTTGATCTAAGTGCTCGCAAGTACTTTAATTTCCGTAGAACCTGAATTAGAATGAATACCCTTTTGCTGGTGGGCCCTGTTCTGCTGGGCAACAGGTAATTAATTGTACCAACAACTTTTTTTTAGTAATAGGAACTTCAACTTGTCTTCTCCTCTCCATGGTGTACCGGCAGTTGCCTTGGTAAATGGACAAACCAGTGGAAGTGGCAGCCTGACAGTCGACTCCCATGACATCACCGTTCTGTTGAACAGCAACGAGAGTTTCATTGTCTTTGCCCAGTGAGTTTGCTTGGCATCGTTTGCAACTCGATCTTCTCTTATCAAATTAATTACAGGGAAGATCTAACCGAGCCTGTGAGCGTGAGGCTGGTGAAACAGCACGACGATCATTTGAATTTGGATCCTGAGTCATTTGTCTATGCAGCGGGAGCTGGAGCGGCCAACCAGACGGTGGTGATAACCGGCCTAAGGGCTGGCCATGTGGTTGTCTCCGCCATCGATGCTTCCAATGCCATGTAAGTCAATCAATGTCCCATTAAATGATTGGATTTATTATTATTATATTTTTGTGTGTGTGCTCTGCAGCATTGAGGATGTCTATCTGCGTGTCACTGTGGCCGTGTCGAAGGGTCTCATCTACACCTCCATTGTGTTCGGTTGGGTGTACTTTGTGGCCTGGTCGGTTTCATTCTATCCACAAATATGGATCAACTTTAAGCGCAAATCGGTGGAGGGCCTAAACTTTGACTTTGTCATGCTGAACATTGTGGGCTTCACGCTGTACAGCATGTTCAATTGCGGCCTGTACTTCTTTGATAGCATGCAGCAGGAGTACGAGAGCCGAAATTCGCGTGGCCTCATTCCGGTGATGTTGAACGATGTTGTCTTCTCGCTGCATGCCATGTTCGCCACCATCATAACGATCGTTCAGTGCTGCATCTATGAGGTAAAAATTCCCTTTGAATGAATTTAAAGTTTCAACTGGATTTTGGCATTTTTATAGCGTGCTGGTCAAAGGGTCTCGTGGACAGCCTATTCCTTGTTGAGTGTCTTTGCTGTGGTTGTGATCGTTGCCGCCTCGCTGGCCGCTGCCTCTGTGCACCACTGGCTGGATTTTCTCTACTACTGCAGCTATGTGAAGCTGGCCATTACCATTATCAAATATGTGCCGCAGGCACTGATGAACTACCGCCGCAAGAGCACAGCGGGCTGGTAAGTGATGCCAAATGATTGCCTGACTCGCGATTCCTATTCGAAAATCGAAAATTCCAACTTGCAGGAGCATTGGCAATATCCTGCTGGACTTTACGGGCGGCATGCTGAGTATGCTGCAAATGATACTGAATGGTTTCAACTATGGTAGGCACTGGGTATTATATTGATTTTCGCAGCTTAAGCCGCTTGCACTTTCAGATGATTGGGCCTCCATTTTCGGCGATCCCACCAAGTTTGGCCTGGGCCTCTTCTCTGTGCTATTTGATATATTCTTCATGTTGCAGCATTATGTGTTCTACAGGTAACAAGAGCGTGGCAATTGGTATACATTTACTTAGTTAATTTAGCTACCTACCCATCCCAGTAGATGTAGATTGAATTCATGGCGGCAATTTGTACACTGAACTGATCATTATTGTGCTGTTTACATTTTACCTTTTACAGGCACTCGAGAGAGTCCTCAAACTCTGACCTCACCACCGTTACAGAAGCCCCAAATCAAACACCAATCGAGTCGAGACACGAGACTACTGAGAAATATTAGTAGCGCTTTTATCTGTGTGCTGTAGTAGTCGTAGTAGCTGTATTAGCTTTGTGTGCCTATTTATATTATTTAATTTGTATATTTTCGAATTTGTAAATACATAAATGCTTAGCTCTTTCATATACTCATAAAAACACTTGTAGATTGGAATCCGATTATATTTTTGTATTCTAAGAGCTCGTAATGCTTGTTATTTATAGCACAGCTACCTCGTACGTGAGAGTGAAGCGACATGTTTCGCAATATGCACTAAGACCAGTGGTCCTAATAATGCGTAAACTGTGCCAGCATCCAAACAGATTTCCGTATTAAAAAAATGTTTCAAACTTGCCGCTCTTTTTACTGCACAAGCTCAAATGGGGATGCCAAGTCGTTCGAAAAACCTTAAGAAATAGTTCATCGATAGCTTAGAGAAGTATCGATAAGCATTTAACACTTACATTTTTTTCTTCTTCTTCCTTTTTGATGTCTTTTTTTTGGGCTGTTAAATATGTTATGTTATGATTTCGCCCTTAGTTATGGCCCAATAGCGCGCAATTTGAATGAATTTTGAATCGTACAAGGCTCTTTCTCTAGAACTAGTTCTCTCCAAGCAGTGCCAGTGCTCCCACAAGCCGGGTGGTGCAATTCAGTTGGTGATATGAGATATGAGTGATATGAGAAATTTATAATATTTCCAGCAAGTATTTTTATAACCAGTTGTCTCTAAAGCCTAGTACTCAGATTAAAAAACTGTGTGCTAGCAAACAAATGTCATATATTCTTCGAGCGGCCAGTGGTGTGACCAGAGGTGTGCACTGCATTCCGAACGGTTACACTGCTCAGACCGCTGCTTGCGGTTCTTATCGGTTTCATACGAATATCAACCCTGATTCTGTTCGCGAGGTGTTTTTTTTGGATCTGAGTACTAGGCTTTAAACCTGGCCTAAAAATGTCGCTCAAACAAACATCGTCGCTTACCCTGACTGTGGAACAGTAAGATAAATATATAAATGACGCAAATGCCCCGTATATAGTTTGATATTTTGCCAGAAATGCATGTGGTATATCACGCACCAGCAGCCAAACAATAGTGCAGTTTTTCGGCAGCGAGCAAATTGCCGGCGGCAGTCAGGACAGCAGTGGCTTTTCAACAAACGGATCCCATTTGATAAGCTCCAGTACCGTTTCTCAAGAGGCTTACACGTGGACTCCTAGTGCTGTCGTAGGACAGCAGTATCAGGATACGGCAAACACCTACGGCCGATATGTTAACAGTGGCGGACAAAATATTAACAATAATGTAGTTTATTATAACAATACTGGACAAATGGCTAACAATAATGCAGATGTTTACGGATCAAGAAACATAAACTCCGTCGGCAAGTCGCACGTGCCGCCTCAGATAATTCTAGCTCCTATTGTCGTAGCAGGCAGCGATTTGCAGGGCGAATATTTTAACAATGGCGGACAAAATATGAATAACGGAGTATATTATAACCAATGTGGACAAAACGCTACCAATAATGGTGATGTGTACGGATCGGGAAACATAAACTCCGGCGGCATGCCTCACGTGCCCCCGGCCATCATTCAGGTCGAATATTTCCAAAATGGCGGCAATTTAGTCACAAATGTCAATAAAAATAATAATGTGAGCGGATCAGGAGCAACTAACAACAGTGGCATATCGGTCATTGGCAACTCCTTGGAATACGCCAAAAAGGTTGGAAAAAATGTAAACAATTGTGGCCGAAAAGCTGTTTATAGGCGGTAAGCATTTATAATATAGTTTAAAATTTAATTTAAAAAAAAACGTGCTTCGAAAAACAGCGATGCTTGAGAAAAATCATCGATGTCTGCAGCTGTCTCCAACATCGATAACATCGTTGTTTCTCCAGCTCTAACGCGAATATCATATTGTTTTGGTGTTATTGTTTTGTTTATTGCGTTTTTTAAATAATCCACAATTTGTTGGCTTCCCCGCAAGCTGCCAGCTGGTAAAAGGAGTGCCAGTAATGTGCACATTGCAGCCATGTCCTGGCACAAAGTGAGGTATTAATGTTATCAATGCAAACATGTACAGGTGCCAGAGCCTTGCATCATATGTTTAAGTTTATCAACTATTTACTTATCTCCCTGACACGTTTCACCACAGCGAGGATGTGAAGATTGATTTTAATGCTGCCACCACCGCTGAGAACTCCGTGGGATCAGCTGAATCGACTGTGGATGAGGCCACCGACTTGTGAGTATGCCCGGCCACAGGTGGCTTGTGCGTTCCAACTAATATTATGTTTGCCTTCATAGAACCACCGAACCGATGGCCTTCCTTCAGGGACTAAACGTAAGTGGAAATAAAAATATGCAAGATTTATGGTGCACCAACAAGCAATATTCTTTTATTTTGTGCAGTCGGGAAATCTGATGCAGTTTAGCCAGGTGAGTGCTAGTACATTCTGAAGCGATGCGACAAATCGGCCTGCACGAGTATCAGCAAAAAACTAGAGACGGCGGAAAACACATTTATGATCAGCTGCATGTCCAGCGCATACAGACCCATTGGCTTTATCTGGAACTTGCTGACTGTCACGAGGAGGGTGAAACTATGGACAGCCTGGCGGTACCGGCAGTCGGCATGCTGCAGGTTCATCTCTTGCAGTATGACGGCTGTTCTCCTAGTTGCCACGAGCAGGTTGTTGCACAAGTGTGCCAGCATTGTGATTTCGGTGAACGATATGAGCAGAAAGACCAGATTTATGAGCGCTCCCAGGCCGTCGTACGGCTTGCCACCAATGAATGTGTCCGCCATGGCATAGTACTGACTGTAAAAGCCCACCGTGATGCCAAGCAGATGGCAGATCAACGACAGGATAATCGACAGTGACATGAGCGACAAGTACTTGTCGGAATGTACATAGATCACCATGTATCGGTCGGCCAGTATGTCCAGTTCATCCGCCAATGAGCAGAATCTCTGCATGCGATAGAACGCAGTGTTCAGCTTTAGCTGATCCTCCCTCTGCATCAGATTCACCAGCTGGCGTTGCGACTCCAGTCTCTCATTGAGCGCCTTCAGGATCTCCTTCACCACAATCATGGCACCAAAGTAGCAGTTGTTAAGCAGATTTGAGATGAACAGAGGCATCAGACGGTACACGGTCCAAATTAAACTCAAATCCGGCTGCAGTCGCCGCTGCTGCAGTATGAGGGCTGTCTCCAGTATCAGGGGGAAACCGACTGACTTCACCATAGCCATGGCAATCGATCGAAGGAGCGATGTGTTGTCCAAATGGAACATTTTGAGGGTCTCAAACAATGGCACTTGACTCATATTCTTCGCCACAGCGTCGTGCTTTAACATTTGTGTGACATAGTTGATAACAGCCACTATAATGTTCATGTAACCATACAGGCTCACGGCATCGCGCAGGTTGAGCTGCCCCTGCACATAGTCCTGGTATATCTGATGCCCATAGATGCCAGCAAAGGCGATGGTCCACAGCATGGCATACGCCAGATATGCCTTTGAGAGCTTGAAGCGTTCCCGGTGGCGCTCATCATAGCGATTGGCCAGCAGTCCAAAGGCAGTCATTAACACAATCAGTGTAATGGTTAATACTTTCACCAAACGCCTATGCGTTACATCTATGGCCGATGTCATGCTGTTTCACCGCAAAAGAAAGACTAGTCGGAGGTTCTGCTCCACACCGAACAACACGGCCAGCAGCATGCCGGCTAATGGCTGCTTAATTGTTTTCCCATTATCGAACCGATGCCATCTTAAGGACACGACACTATCAGATGCCATTGCGTAGCAGTTGCTTAATGTTCGGTGGTTGGAAATCAACTGAACTTGCGTTCAGGAGCGGCGGTATAGTGCCGTGCCAGCGACATTCCCCCCGTGTGACTCAGCAGCCAGACACGATTGTGCTTGCAGCAAATTTCACAAGAGCGACATGACGTCACAGCCACAAAGCTATACAGAACAGAAAATACTGCATGTGTGTATGCCGCGCAGTGTGAAAAGAAAAAAAGATTACAGCTTGCATACACTTGCGAAAGACTAGAACAAAATCAATTCACGAGCTACGGCCGTCAGTCGCGACTATACCTGTCCCAGCAGCAACATGAAGCTCTATCAGCTCTACGAACGAAAAGTGTGATCCGCTCAATTCTTTTCTTGTTTTGTTCTCTCATTAATTGACTGTTTTTATGTATTTTTTCTAGCAATCGGTGCTGCGCGAGATGATGCTGCAGGATTTCGAGAACCAAAGCAACAGTTTGCCCAAACTGGAAAGCCACAATATTGGTGGCTATAATTTCAGCATGGTACTAAAGGAACCGCCCAAGTCGCACTGGGTGTATTCGCATGTCACGAACAAGCTCTATATACGCATGGATAAGACATTCAATATAGATGTGCAGTTCAAGCCCATAATGCCCATACAGCCGCTCAATCTGCGAGTCTTTCTGTGCTTTAATAAAGACGTCAGCGGTGCGGTGCTGCGCTGTCAGAATCACTTGAGCACAGAGCCAGGCAAGTACATAAGCAACTCTCTATAGGGGCATACAGGATGTAGTTCTAACTCCATTTCCATTTCCATTTGCAGTTACGAATCAGAATTTTAAGATGCGCGAGAGTTTGGTGCGTTGCGAGAATCCCAGTACCACGTACTGTGGCTCGGCACAGGGCAAGGGCATTTCGGAAAGGTATTCGGTGCTGGTGCCATTGAATATGTCGCGTTCTAGCAGTCGCAACGGCGGCTACGTACGCCAGACGCTCGCCTTTAAGTTTGTCTGCCAGAACTCGTGCCTGGGCCGGAAGGAAACCAGCTTGCTCTTTTGTCTAGAGAACTCGAGGTGTGTAGGCGAATGATACGAATGCGAAATAGTCCAACTCTGGTTAATACTCTCTTTTTTGGCAGTGGTGATATTTTGGCACAGCACGTTATGGCAGTGAAAATCTGCACGTGTCCGAAAAGGGATTGCACTCAGGACGAGCGCCATGTAAATGGCAGGAAACGCAAATCAGACCTTGATGAGGATGCCGATGTAAAGCCGCTGAAAGAACGTCGTCGCACCGTGTCGTACAAGCGCGATGTGAAGGATGAAACGGAGAGCAATGACAGCCATAATACGGAGCAAGCACTGCCCATCGACTGGCAGGTGTCGCGCACCCATGACGGTGAATACTGCCTAGCCCATAACGTGCCCCAAAAGGAATGGCTATTGCAGAATATCGAGGGCATGTTCAAGGAATCGGCTGCTGAAGTGCTGCGCAGTCCGACCGAGCCACAGCGGCGTAGCTATGCCAACAATTTGTTGAACCTGAAAAGTAAGATTTGCTCGCACATCCACCCCATGCAAACCATTTCATTTCATATTTGTATCTAATTCCAGAACGTGCCTTTGATCTGCCATGACCTGATGCCTGGCTATTGAAAGTCTGACAACGTTCCAAAATGAATAAGCTAATATTTAATTATTTTATTATTATTAAGAACGAAGTGCTTAAATCTGCTTAAAGTTCAAAGGAAACTCTGCCCAACTGCGAATGCAAGTTGTTGAGGAGTAAAAGTGATACAGAGGAAAATACAGTTTCATTATTTTTGATAAGATAATATAGTACAGATATGTATATAGATTTATTTTAACGCGCAGTATTGATTTATACGTAACGTGTACAAACTAAACTGTTGGGCAAGGGCCAAGCCATGAAGGTGAATTAAAAATGTTTTAAGTTTATTAATGCGATGTCAGAAATTTCTTATAAATCAAAGTCTAACATAAAGCTAGCTGCCAACTATGTGTCAGAATATTTATAGACATTTTTTGATTACCTAGAGATTACCCAGGCTGTAATAATGTTGTTTAAATTATGCATTCGGTTGTAGTGCTATATATTTGTTTCATTCAGGTATTTGTGTAGTTAATTGTATATTTTCTGTGGAAGAGACACATATTGACATAGGTTGAGGTGGCGTTCAATAGCTACTGCAGTGTACGACTGGCAGCTTGGGCAATTTTGGCGTTTTTTTTTTAAGTTTAAAGCGCGTATTAATCATTCTTGAAATCATCCTATTGTCAGCAATTGTGAGGGCCCTGCGACATGTTTTGATTAATCTCTAGGCGAGTGTAGTTCAGGCCCCTGCCTGATGTTTCCCCACTTTCTAGCCGAGGTAATGTACATCAGATCCTACTGTACATATGTACATCATCATCATCGCGCATGCTATGGCTCTGTGGGCTCTGGCTCTGTGACATATGTGGCTTGTGTGGTGCGGTCATTGCTCCGCAGTGTTCTATCTCAGACTCAGGCCGCAGCTAGGCTGCAAATTGTTCTGCTGCATTTAAGCACACATTTTATTTATACGCATGCTCGTAGCTGCGCATCTTTGGTTTTAGTTCTATGCTTATTAAAAAATAAAAAAAAAACGCTACGTTAAATAGCGCATGCGTTGCATTTTGCCCACGCCAAAGTTGCACATGTGCGTGAGGATGCAAAAAAATGAAAATATATATAAAAAAAAACAACAGATGTTGACACTATGCCGCAGCTGCAGGCGACTTTAGCTTTTGCCACATGCGGCAACTGAATGTTTACGCCACAACCAGCCCACCGACTGCTGTTGCTGTTGGTGCTGCTGTTGCTGCTGCTGGTGCTGTTCATTGACCTAGGGCAGGGCACATGATACTATGTTCAAATGCCGTTTGTCGTTGCCTTCTTATCCATGACCATAAGCCAGGCATAGCGGATGTATCGGCTTCCATTTGGGTGCCTTTCCTTTTCCACTTACAATAACCTCGGCGGACACCTTACCAGTTTTCGACAGTTTTGGCATTGGCCGCATGAAAATGGGTCGAAACGATAAACTGCTCAAAGTCTCTCTCTCTCGTTTCTCGTTTGAGCGGGAGAGTGGGAGAGTGGGAGAGAGACTCGTCTTTGGCGACGCACTCACCTTAGTTAACCAATTAAATATTTGAGTTTTGTTTCGATTGGCTGCTGGCAAAATGTTGACAGTTGGAAAGTTTTGATACAGTGGGCGAGAGTTAATGATTTTACGAAAATTATCAAAGTCTTGTTGGAATGTTTACAGGATTGCCTGAAGGAAAAACTATAATACATGGCATAAAAGGATAAAAGGGAAATACAAGAAAGCTTTTTAGTTGATGTACGGATAGAGCTACATAGATCTATGAATGTGAATTGATGGTAATTTTTCTAAGTGATCCCAGCTCTCAAGATAAACAACAGATTAGCTAAACTTACCCAAAAAAAGCTAAGATTTCGATGGAACTTTGGTGATTCATTAGAAGACTTAAAGGCCATCTAAGACGGATATTTAAAAAAAAAAAATAATGTCTTATCAAAATCTCATTTCGACTTCCTGGCAGTAAAGCTTACAGTTGCGCAGATATACTTTATTTTGGGCATGGAATCTGTTGCTTATCGTATGCCTCAAGTTTACGATGCGATGCCCAGATAAAGGGCCAGATAAACCAGGCAGAGATTTACACCGAATTATCTGCCAACATAGGCAGAGCCATGCCCACTGTGTGGGCAAACAAAAACAGAAAGTCAGGTGAAACGAAGACTGCAGGCAGCAACTCCACTCCACGCCACTCCACTCGACTCCACTCCATGCTAAATGTTCGTTCCATTCCACTCAAAAGAGTGGCACTGCCCACTCGAATGTGCAGTTCGTACGAGTTGTAGATGTAGATCCCAAAAACCAGATATCAAGCAAACGGCGGCGCTGCTCTCGAGCCAAAAGCGATCTTCACTCGTGGGAGAAAGAGTCGAAAGCTTGACAAGCAACGGGCCCGGGCCCGGGCCGGGCCAGTGTCGAGGCGGCGTACTTTGGCGTTCGCATTCGGTTGTTGGCTTTGGCGTTGGCGTTGTCGTTTGTCGTTTGTCGTGTTGGTGCTCACTCAGTGCATTGTCCGATCTTCTCTCCGCTGGCACGTTACGTTGGAACTGTGGAGCTGGCGAGAAAACAAACAAAAAAAATACAACCAAGCAAAATAGAGATCCCCACACCCCTGAACAACCCACAAGCTGTGCCATATTTTTGTTTTTGACCGCGAAAATATCCGAGTGTGGGTTCGCTTCAGCTGCTTTCTTGGCTGTAAATAAACGTGTAATTAAATAACATTGTTAAGTGCAACTGACGACTGTATATAAAAATGGTGGAAATGGCTACCACAACGACTGTAACGCGTACAACCATCACGGCACCGCCTGGACCTGCCACAGTGCCCTCATCTTCGGCCACGCCCACGCCTGGCACGCCTGCCACGGCTACCACGGCAGCCTCGCAGGCGCGTCGCAACGATGAGACCACCCGAGCCATCTTTAATCTGAAAATTATCTTCTTCCTGGTGCTGCTGCCGCTGATACTGCTCGCCGTGGGACTGAAGCATCTGCTGGACTATCTGTTTGCGCTGGGCCTCAAGGAGAAGGATGTGAGCGGCAAAGTGGCGCTGGTAAGTGCGACTGAAGCTGCAGCTTCACTTAGACACCATGGCTGGCCCATTAATAATGCTCGTCGTTGGGTTGTCGTTGGAACTGTCAGATATCAATAGTCAGCTATGAACCCCAACCAACCAACCAGCCAGCCAGCCATAGATGAAACGTCACGCACTTTCCTTTTCCAGTGGCTGCTTGCACCCACCCACCTTTCCACCACTTCTTTCGCGGCACTGTCGGAATGGAATGTCTCCGAGTTATCTGAGCTGGGTGCGGCACGATCGGTTGGCTGCCTCTTGGCTCTTGGCTGCTCCATGTTATTTGAGTCAATGTTTACGCGTCTGGTACCAGGCCGTGTTGGCTTGGCCAACTGTTTATGTTTATGTTTGTGGATTGTTTTCCTTTTCAACTGCTTATTAAAGGTGCTCTTTGGTCAGCTATCTTTTCTATCTGACATCATATTCAATGTAAACCGAACCCATTGTACATATTGTATATCTAAGAATATCTCTAATTGAATTTCGAAACACTTTGTGGCATCGTATCGCGCTCTATTAATCACATATTACACATGGGCTGGCCAGCCCAATGGCTGCTGGCAGACGGCGTTACTTTGGTTTTGAATCATTATGAAAAGTCAATTGGCGGGGGTTACAAGGTCAAGTGTGCGGGCAACTGAAGAAGAACCTGATCAAATTTATATATAAGTAAATTAAAATGGCCATTAGCATGCCATTCTTGTCTGCCAGCTTTTGTGGCGTGTGTGGTGTGGTGTGGGCGTGTGCTGGCCATAACTTTGTGAGTCATTGCAGCTTGGGTTTTGCTTTGAGTCTCCGACTGTTCGATCGTTCTCCCAGATACAGATACAGTATGATGGTGACAGGGGCGCGGGGCAGGCACTTAACTGTGAGAAACAGCCCAATTAGCAGATTAACATTCAAAGATACCTTTTGCTGCGACTTCATTGTTTTTGAGAGTTTTGCTTTTTTTTGGTTTTGGGAGCGCTGAGAGCTACCCCCCACTGGCTACGCCACTGTGAAAACCACAAACTGGTTTTGTGTGTCGCTATTTATAACAAGAAAAGGCAAAAGTAAAATACAAAAAAAAATGCAAACCTCAGGAACTTCACTTTTGTTTTCAGTTCAAATCGATGACGTTTGCAGTCGATCTTGCATGTAAACAAAAAACACTGGAACCAGCGAGAGATGCTCGCTCCAAGCGGCAAGCGGCGTATCTATCAGATGCGTGTTGTTGAGATACAACCCCATACAGATACAGTTACAAATACCGATACTGATACTGACAGATAGCTATGTGCCTACCTACTGCTATTGCTGCTGTTGTTAATTTGCATATGATATTGAAATTCCTTAGGAATAGAATAATCAACAAAACAACTGCGCAGCGTCGCAACTGCGTTGCCAGGTGCGCGCTGCGCGGTGGCTGTTATTTTTCGTTTTTCGATGATTTTTTGTTGGCATACCCTGGGGCAGAAGGGTAGAAGGGTATGTCGGCACAAGCAATGGCTTTGGAAGCTCAGGTGCGAGCACTTGTACGCAGCTCCAATATTAAAAGAAGGCAGCTTTTGGGGTGTGCGTGATCGATCTATGTATCTATCTGATCAGCCTCGTTACAGCCATGAGGCTAGGCTCATGTAGGCTCTAGTATCATCCATCACACATATGTATCTATATACGAGCACCCTTAACAGCGCTGCTTTATCTTTTACTACTAATTGTAATTTAATTTAATTTAATTTAATTAATTTAATTCCACGTATCTGTTAGTCTAGTTTTTCGGTGTGTTCTTTTTTTTTGTCGAGGTATCTTCTGGTCTAGTTTGTCTCTCTGTGTTTTATTTTCCCCCACACATATGTTCACGAACGTGCCAAAACTTTGAGTTGTGGCTGAATGTGAGCTGTGTGGCAGCGTGCATTGCATTGGTCGCACCCCCAACGGGTAGCTGAGGTCACAGTTCGCTTTAATTACGGTCAAAAGTCACTCAATTGTATGTGCCCGTGGATAGAGAGAGAGGGTTCGGCCCAGGCCCATGGAGCGTATGAGTAATACTGCTGCTCAAGTCGCTGCTCTCTGTGCCTGTTGTTCACATAATTGACATTAAATGGAATGGTTTGGAGCGGTTGGAGGGTTGCTTTTTGTTCAATGCAAAGCCACATTAGCTTAAGTTGATTGTTTGCAAATTAAGGCAATTAATCTGTGTACGGTACGAGTATAATTAGAGTTAAATGCGTTTTAATCTGCCAGGTGACTGGTGGGGGCAGCGGCCTGGGTCGCGAGATCTGCATGGAGCTGGCCCGTCGCGGCTGCAAGGTGGCTGTCGTCGATGTCAACTCCAAGGGCTGCTACGAGACCGTGGAGCTGCTCACCAAGATACCCCGTTGCGTGGCCAAGGCCTACAAGGTGAGTTAACACTAAAATTTGGCTAAATGGCTTTCCAGAGGATAGAGGATAGCTGATAACTGGCCATAACTTTTTGCCATTTACAGAACGATGTCTCCTCGCCGCGTGAACTGCAGCTGATGGCCGCCAAAGTGGAGAAGGAGCTGGGCCCGGTCGATATACTGGTCAATAATGCCTCCCTGATGCCAATGACCTCAACGCCATCGCTGAAGAGCGACGAAATTGATACAATTCTGCAGCTGAATTTGGGCTCCTACATTATGGTGGTGTGTGTGTGTTTCCGTTTTCCCCATTTTCTTTTCTGTCTATCTTCATTTAATGTGCATTGGTTTTTGCTCTGCAGACCACAAAGGAGTTTCTGCCCAAAATGATAACACGCAAGTCCGGCCACCTGGTGGCAGTGAATGCCCTGGCGGGTAAGTGCCACTCCTCCTCCTACTCCTACTCCCATGACCTCTCCTTTAATTGTACAGGTTTGGTTCCGTTGCCGGGCGCTGGCATCTATACGGCCACCAAATATGGCATTGAGGGCTTCATGGCCGCCCTGCGCGCTGAGCTGCGTCTCTCGGACTGCGACTATGTCCGCACCACAGTGGCGAATGCCTATCTGATGCGCACCAGCGGCGATTTGCCGCTGCTCAGCGATGCCGGGTAAAACTGCTGGCCCCCAATCCAGCTGTGTGCATAACGAATTCAAGGCACTCACTCTCTCTCTCTCTCCCACATAGCATTGCGAGCAGTTATCCGGGCCTGCCCACACCCTACGTGGCGGCGAAGATTGTGAAGGGTGTGCTGCTCAATGAGCGCATGGTGTATGTGCCAAAAATCTTTGCACTCAGTGTTTGGCTGCTCAGGTAATAATAATTGAATTGAATTAACAGCAGCAGCAATTTTAATTTTCATTTTCATTTTACATTCTGTTTTCGTAGACTTTTGCCCACCAAGTGGCAGGATTATATGCTGCTGCGTTTCTATCATTTCGATGTGCGCAGCTCCCACCTGTTCTACTGGAAGTAAAGGAAGCAAAGGCAGGAAGGGGACATATCAGCATTTACATGGACAAGCTCTCGAATGTTGCCCGGCATTTGCAGCTGTTTAATTTTTAATTGTAGAGATGGAGTACACGTTTAGCTATTTATACTAACTCTAAACTTTAAACTTAAAGTAAATCTATTTTGAAATCTATTTAATGTGGCAGCCAACCATGTTGCACGGGCATCTATTGCTTGCGCAGTCTCAGCGTCTGACTGTAGCACTTTTGCTGTGATCTCTGCACACAGGAGCGCTGCTCGTAGTTCCAGCTGTAGTTCAGGGGACAGCGATGGATGATCTTGTAGCCATTGGAGCAGTAGTAGAAGTAGGCGCAATTGCGCGGATGCGGCATGAAGCCATAGACACCGGTGAGGCAGCTGCTTATGGCTCTGGCCGGCTGCCGCTGAGCGCACGACACCAGCTGGGCGGGTGTGCAGGTCTTGGCCAGGCCCGCGCCCTCGTAGCACACCATATAGGGATAACAGGGCCCAGCATTGTGCAGCAATCGCAGCGTTATGGCCAGCGGTTGTGGTGATGTCGCTGTGTTCACTATCAAATCCGTAAATATTCGCCTGATTCGTTGGCGATTCGGTTGTGTTGCCTGCCAAATCCACATCCACATCCAAGGCCTTTGCCTGACATCGCTTCACCAGCGCACGATCCACGCAGCGCTCCAGGATGTCGTCGTAGTAGTGCTCACCGAGGCACTCGGCCTCAAAGGAGCCCGCGCCGGCGCAGTAAATATACTTGGAGCAGTTGGTGTGGCTGGCCACATACACACCCAGCTGCGGGGCACTGGCGCACTCCTCAAAGTCCAGGGCCAAAGTTCGATGGCCCGTGAAGGTGAGCAGCGCTCCAATGTGGAGCCAGAAGATATTGCTTTTCGCTGCCATTTTGTGCGACCGATTTGCTTCGATTGTTTCCCAAGACTGGCTGCTGTGCGGCTGCCTGTAGATAGTGGCTGTCGGAATATATTTTTGCATGTGACCAACTGATAAGAAACCTAGCCTTGTAGCCTGGAATATTACGTGATAATTTTCTGAGATAATGTTGATGAGTTTGGGAGTTTGCAGGTGAGGCGCGCCCCCGACAGCCCCGACAGCCCCGACAGCCACCGACTCGACGATGTCAGGTTACGCGCCACTCATTTATGTTTCTCCTCCCCAACAGATTTCCATAGCATACTTTCCAGCAGATAACACACACAAACACACAGAGAGAGAGAGAGAGAGAGAGAGATTTTAATGAGCAAACCGCAATACTTCATAATAGTACAGTGCACACGGGCGGCGTGCACACAGCTCAATAAAATTGAAAACGCACTCAATACACAATTAAGTGTCGCCACTTCCGCCCAGGGCCAAACAGTCAGCCACACGGCCACACAGACCATACTCATTCATTCACATCATCATCGCCATCATCGCCATCCCCATCATCAGCTTGTGGATGCAGCAGCAGCATCAGCAGCAGCACATCCATCCATCCATATATATATACATATATACATGCGTAGTACATGGCTGTTGGGAGTTAAGCGATTTAATATTCGATGAGATATTCATAACTTGCAATTAGGTTTGGTGTCGCTCGATTTTCAGCCGGATTTTCACTGCTCCGCTCTGCCTTTTTTACGCTGATGATTAATGAAGAATTACCAGGGCAAATGGCTGGGATCTGTGGGCATTATCCAATTCCCAGCTACCCGACTGTCATTAACATAATATTCGCTGCTGTCAACGGCCAATGGCAGCGCCAATCGTGCGCAAATTAAAATATTATTAATTGTTAATTAAACGCAGTCGAGTGCCAGAACGCCACAGCCATGTTGTGGCATATTTTTCGATTCATCTTTAGTCAGATGCGCGATATGAGATACGATTGGGCCACGATGTAACAGGTTATCCCGAACACAAAAAAAACCCCAGCGATCCGGAGACCAGAAGCAACGTCAAAGGACCCCCCCCATATGTTGCAGCAATGCATCTCAAGTGATTAAGTGCACGTTGAAATTTTCAAATGCAAACTGCAACTCCAAAGGCAACTCCAAAGACAAAGGCAACATGTGCGCCAAGAACAACAAATACTCGCACTCGTACAAACAGACAGAGAGACAGAATGAGAGAGGGAATATCTCAGAAAGTCAGAAATTCTAATTACAATTATGTACGAGTGTGCATGGAAGAAGACCCCCAGCACCTGCAGCATTCACCATGCGCATGCGCAGTAGCGGCAGCGGCAGCGGTGGCTTCCACTCTAACCCGATCCGATCCATAAAAATAGCACACTAATTATTTGTATGCTAGGGTTACAATTCACATAAAAAACAAACAAACTGTCGAGCATTTTTATGGATCTTCTTCTGTGTATTTGCCCCCCCCAACCCCAGCCCAGCCCTTCTGGTTTTTGGTTGTGTCTTTGTGCCCCCGCAAAGATTTTATTTTCCAGCTTCATGTTCAATTCGATGTTGATGAATTTTTTGTATTTTCAATATTTGCAGTCGAGTTGTTGGCGGCGAGCTGCCGCTGTCTAAATTGTGGCATCTGGATCGCCGTATCCACCATGCCAGCGCGCCGTATTCGACTCATCCAGATCGTCCATGGACTGTATATACTGTCGCAGCTGGGCGAGTACGCGATCTGTACGCTCCTCCAGATGATCCAGCGCTCTATTCAGCGCATCCAGATTCAGAATGACACTGTCCATAATGCGTTCCGTGTTCCTTCTGAGGATCACCAAAGCGTCAACGCTGGCATTAAGTTCTCGGTTTCTGTGCCGCTGCAACTCGTACGACTGCCCGTTGTCTTCCCTGCGGTCCATTTGGGGGTCTTTAGCGCTGGCCACAAACTCTCGACTATGCAAATGGAAACTGCTATTGATTTAATACACAATTTTTGCTATGCTGACTGCATAATTTGGATGTTATTTTTACAGTGTGCTAAACTGAAGTGTAAAGCAAATTCCATTCACTTTGATTTAAAAAAAAAACAATGGGAAATATTTAAAGCTGTTAATAAAAAATTGGCTTTAGCTTCTGCTGCGCTTTTCTAGTTAATTTTAAATTTAAAAAAATATATATATCTGCTCTACTGATGGGCTCTGCAGTTAGTCTATGGATACAAATTTCTCGGTCTCTCTCTGTCCCTCTCTCTGCACTTAGTAAAGATAACAGACGGCTTAGCCGCTTTTTAATCGTGTTTTTCTTGCAGGGATTTATTGGCACCTGTTGGAAGAACGATGCAAAGAATTATTCAACTTAATATCAAGTGTCAAGTGTTTTTATACCTTCAGTTCCATTATACAATATAGCATAGTATTTAATTTAAAGAAGAGCAGCCTGAACAGCCTGTACCAGTATAAGTTTGATTGTCCAAGTTCTGTTGAGTTATGTTGAATTAGTTGCAGAACGACTTACAGGAACTAGGTACATGGAAATTAACTAACGGTCCAACTTACTTTATGATGGTAAATACTATAATAAATATAATGCTCCTTAAATCCAATGCTAACATTTCGAATTTAGGTCAGACAGTAGAGAACTCTCCTCAGAGGGTATCTGATAGTTGTCATACCTGATTTCAGCACCATTATATTATGTTTTGTTTGAAAATGAGCAACCATTACAAAACGCTTAAATCGTTGATTACATTAAATCCATTTACAAAATGCCACTGCCCATTATTCATACACAACAATTATAAATCGGTGCGCTGCGCTTGCAATATTCATATTCACTTGTCAAAATGTCAACTCAAAATAGAATATTTATGCATTTTTATTTACTCCACAGCCGCTCCGTACTCCATATAGAAAATGAAGCATTCATCGTATCGTGGATGGTGTGGAAAATGACAATCCAAAACTATAAATAAATATACGGCGTGCAACCGAAGTGAAAATCAATTTTTTTTTTGTTTGTTTTTGGCCCCATACTGCGGCAGAGCTGCCGGAGTGGAGATGGAGTGGCACAGAACTTGCCACAAGAGCTAGTTGCCGCAATTAACTTTGAATTAAAAGCAAATGGCTTTTTGCTTGTGGCTTGCCCTATGATTCCGGTTTCTTCCTGTCATTAACAGGCTCAGGTGCCTGTTGGCCAGCTCGCTCGGTGCAACGGTAGACCAACTTTTGGGCTGTCTCTTGGCTGACTCTGTCGTGTTCAACTTAATTAATTTTCATTGAAAGTGACTGCAACAAGAATGTCCACTCCAACGGCTTCAAAATGTCTCAAGTGCACACTTCCTGCCACACACACACACACACACACAACCATTAACCGGCCTGCTTGGTCCGTCCATTGCGACTCCTGACGTCCTGACGTTTTCTTTTGTGGCTTACTCTCAAATCTGTTATTATTGTCATTAAGGAGGCTTTTGTTGTGTGACGTTGTCTCTTATGTATGCTTGCATTTTTCACTCTCCTCACATCCTTAAGCTTTTGTTGTTTGATTTTGCTTGGGCCTGTGCTTGAGATTGTCATCGGCTTCGTTATTGCATTTTCCGCACAATTTAAGGCCGAAAATGTAGGAACCTTGTAGGCCTTACACACTTGTTGCTGTCTTTCCTTTTGTTGCAGCAAAATCGTGTATGCATTTTAAGATCTGCCCCACAATTGTGTGCCTCGTTATTAGTTGAAAGCGCCGCTTCGTTTGCATCGTTTGTTTGTGGGCAATTTTAAAACCTTTTACTTAGAAATTGAAAAGATCTTAGCCACACAGAAAAACTAGCATTTCCTGTGTCATCTTTCTGTGAGCAATCGTACCTTAGTTCTGCTATATTCCACTGGAACTGGGGGCTTCTCGGGGCTCGGCCCTAGCAGCTATCCTTGCCCTGCTTCTGCTGCCTCCTTTAACTCCATCACTGGCTCTGTTTTCGTCATCAGCTTGATGCTGCTGCTACTGCGTTTGGTTTTTACATTGTTTTGGCCAAATGAAGGCATTTCATTTATGGTGTGCAAGGGCCACGTACCCGAAGTTCTCGTCCTCGTCTTGGCCAGCTGCGGAGTGGAGAGAGGAGAGGCGAGGCGAGGCGACGGTCTGGCATTGCTGCTCTACATACTCTTAAATAAAGTTCATAAACTTTGTCACGGCTTCGAGATCGTTTCGCCCCCCATTTGGGCTGGCTGTGTGTGTCCTGCCTGGACATGACTCCTCTGTTGTTGGCCGGACAGTGCATCGTTGGCTGTTATTGTTTTCCAACTTTTCACTTGGGCTATGAAATGTCCAAAGCGGACCGCCCAGTAGTCAGTTGCACGTTTGCCTACCCCTACCCCTACCACCCCACTCCGACCATCATCATCTTTATTCTGTGCGGCAGCTCATCCACAGCGCCTGACCCGTGACCCGACTTGGCCACTCCAGGCCGTGGACAATGTGAGTATTTTGGCCAGGCTTTACATTTTGAGTGAGTGTGTGTGAGTGTGTGTGAGTGTGTGAGTCTGAGTGGGCAGCCATGGGAGTGTGTGTGTGTGTGTGCTGTTATGCTTATAGCCTGCGGCTTAAGTATTTGTTGTTTTACAACGGTTCAGTCTGTTTGCCAAGTAAATAAAAGCTGTTAACTAGTTTTCACACACCAAGACACAAAAGAAGAGCAGACAGAGAGCGACAGTGGAGAGGGTGCGAGGGGGGCACAAGGCTACGGCGAATAGACGGAGAGAGAGAGAGAGAGAGAGAGAGAGAGAGAGGGAGGCACGTGCTTGACAATTTTTTGCCTCAGTTGTTTCTGCTCTAAAACTGCTTTTGTGCGTAGCACTCCTCGTGTATGAGCAATTATTTAATGCCATCCTTCTGCCTGTCCGTCCGTTCGTCCGTCCGTCCGTCAGTTGCTCTTGTTAACGTTGTGTTTGGGACTGGCGTCTGGGATTGGGCTTGGGCTGTGTCGCCTTTGTCTTTGCCACTCCAGGGCAGGAGTCAGCCCCAGTCCCAGCCTCGGCCCCCCTTTTGTGTCGCTCACATATTTGTGTTTATCCTTTCGCTTTTAATTGTGGCTCTGCTGTCTCCGGCCTGTGACCATCTCTGTCGCACACCGGCATACAATTACAAGTGTTTGTTGGGTAAATAAAAGCGTTACCTCTCCGGCTTCTGCTCCGGCTCCGGCTTCTGCTCCGTGTCCGTGTCGAGTTGAGCCCCATCGTTGACGCATCGTTTGCATGCTCACTTAATGCCGTGCACCATTGTGCCCTGCCACTGTGCTGCTCTGTCCTGCTCTGCTCTGCCCTGTTCTGTTCTGTCTGTGGCATGCACAATTAATTACAGGAATTAAGCTGCAACTAAGGACTGATAGCCGCCACAGGTGTTGGCATGTTGGCACTCACAAATGTAACGTATTTTCCTTAGATAATTCCCATACGAAAAATTGGTATCCATCCACAGGCTGCACCCAAGAAATTGTCTGCGAGAGGCGGGTTCATCAATTCATTCACCTAGGACGCACAGAGACACATGTGTTGCCCATTAGGACGCGGCCACGCCCACGCCCTCACCCACGCACGGGCACGGCCAACGAACCATGCGACGCCAAAAATTTCCATTTGGTTGCTTGAACCGTGCATAAATATGTCAATAAGGATTTTCCCTTAACCCCAAGGCGCACAGAAATCTTACAAAAAAAAAAACCATAAAAAAAACTAAGGGAAAAATAGCAGAGAGCGGGGGAAAAGCCGCAGCCACAGCTAAAATAAACAAGGGGAAAAATAGGAGCAGGAGCAGGATCAGGATCGGGAGCTGCAATTTGATTATCCTGGCAACCTGCCACGCATTTCCAACTGTTAAATTATGACATGCAACTGTCAGAGTCAGAGTCAAGTGGTTGCTGCTGCTGCTGCTGCTCCTGGCAGGCGTGAGAAACTGTTATCCTTGCACCTAAACAAACACATACGAAATGGAGATGCAGTAGCTGTGCCACAGATCCTTCAGACAGCTACTACATACGCGTACTCATACCCGTAGCTAGCGGTGTCGTATGGCAAAATGTTGTTCGATCCTGGAGCATCCTTACGCATTACACGACCAGCTAATTTATTTACTTAATTTTACTACATTGTTTTCCTCTCTTTGTCTCAACGGGAACAACACATGTTCCAGGATAATAATCAAAATGGGATGCTGCCGCCGCCAGCCAGTGGCTGGCTCATTAGGTCCTGTTTGCCGCAGTAGCACTTGAAATTTGGTGTTGACAGTTGCCTTGAGAAATTGCCTCGCCCTGCCACGACTTTGCTCTCTCATCCCCCCGACCCTTTGCCTACCCGGTACATGCTAATGTGAAATATTACAGAAATAATGGAAAAAAATGGAGAAGCCATCAAGATTAACGCGTTTGAGCCACTCCAACTTCGCTCAACACTTTTCACTTTCTGTCAGACGGGGACCCTGTCCTGCCTCTGCTCCTGCTCCATATCCCCTTTGCCGTGGGAAAAGTTCGGTGTTCGGTGTTCAGGTTTTAACCAGCACTAATCCTTTACCTTAAGTACTTTGCTGCATTTTTTTCTCCACTCCACTCCACTCCACTGCGCTCTTCGCCCGCCGCCAGTGTTCGTTCTTCTAGGGCCCTTTGAGGCTGAAGTGCCTGTTGTCGAGCCACCGGCAGCAGTGCAGCTCTGAGTGGCACAGAGTTTTGACAATTAAGGGGGTCACACAGTGAAGTGGTGCCGCCAGCACGGCATGTATCTTTATAGCTTTCGACTCCCGATAAGGCGGTCGGACGGGGGGAGTGTCAGCCATGTGCTGCTCCTCCATTTGCATACGCAGACGTTGCGCACATAAATCATCAAAATCGAATCGTCACAGGAACAAAAAAAAAACAAATAAAAAAGCGCCTGCCAAGCGGCACCACGTGCACAAAGTTTGACCCGATTTTGGCCACATTAAAAAAAAAACAAAAAAAAAAAGAAGTGACGGAGCATTCGCTAAAATAAATATAAAATTGCATCACGTGTAGCGCAGCGCCAATCGAAAATAAAAGAAATGCGGAAAATTCTTCACGGGAGCACACACAGACAGCGCAGCCCAAGGAACAAATTGTCAGTCAGATAATTGCGCCAAAAAATGCATAAAGATATAGCAGTGGGCAAAATGCCATGCCTCCATATGGCTGTGGAGTGCGAGTTGGCGGCTGCGTAATTATATGCTTCAAGAGGGTGGCCTTACTTTTAACTAGATGTTTGCCACGCACAGAAGTCATGCAAAAGAGTGGCTTGGGATTACTTTGGAATTCTATGAATGAAAATTATCGCAAAAATTTACTAAACGGTGTACATCGATATGTGGAAAGACTAAAACATATTTATATGCCTATATATTTATTTTATATTTAACTAATAAATAAAATAATATGTACATTATGTAGGAACATTTACATATATATTTAAATATATATTATACACACTTGGACATAAATATTAATAAATAAAAATGCAAGAGTATCCAAAGCTGCAACCTTCAATAAGCTCTTTCTGCTCTGAATTTATATTGCTTTGCATTAAGCTGAGGGCAAAAAGACGGAACGGAACGCCTTATAGTCAGGCAGCGATCGACACATGCCCTCGAGTGCGTCAAGTGCAATAAATTGATACAAAAAGTGTCGCAAGTGGAAATGTGGTTGGTGCAAGTGATGGGAGGGAGGGGAAAATCGTGCACCACCTTTGTGGGACTAAAACTCTATTAAAATGCTATTTTACCCAAGCAGAAGAGAAAGAGTGAGCGAGAGAGAGGGGAAGGAGGAGATTGAAAGTGTAAAACGTTTAAACGTTTGTTAGCATCGACTCTTGAATGCCCTTCAATATAATTTAAATCAGAGCCCCCATTTTTTTCCACTGCCAGACCAAATGTATGCCCAAATCGTGCTACCTTTATTGTGGGCATCCCCTGGACCCAAACTGAATATGAAATATACATATTTCACGTTATACGTTTTTGTCGTTCGCTCTCTGCTATTTTTAACTAAAAACCACAGCCGGCAACTGCTACGCTCCACTCTATGCTGTGCTGTGCTGCGCTGCACTGTGCTGTGTGCTCCATCTATTCCCTACACTGGCCATACTCCGTTTGGGCACTCGCACTCTATCCGTGGCACTACTTTATTCCGGCACTTGCCATCTCTCTTTTACCCAATATCAATTTATCCTTTGGCTCTCGCTCTGCCTCTATGTCTCTATGCTCCATTTTGGTGTGGGTTCTTCTCTATTTTCTTTTTCAATTTTTTTTTGTCTTTTTATTGTCAGAAAATCAGAACATTTTTTTTTCGTTGGCATCTCTGCGTGTTTTTGTTGTACATCTTTGTGTTTATTGAGCTCTAGCTATAGGAGAGAAATCTACATACATACATATGTACATAAATATATATGTATGTAGGTACATACATGTGCGGGTTGTAGTCTTTTTGTTGGATTTTTATTTATTACTAATGGGCTGTATATTGTTATGTTGTTGTTGTTGGGTATTGCTGCTGCTGCTGCTGCTACTTCTGCTGCTGTTGTTAATGTTGGTGCCATACGCCGTATATTACTTGGGGCATATTGTATACATGTTTATCATCTGCAACATAAAAAGGGAAAGCAATAACCGATCAAGCCGATCTTAATGCTAAAAATATTTTGAATATTTCTGCAATTTTTATTTACTTTCACTTGAATAATTTTATCACAATTTTTGCGATTATTATTTATATAGTTTATGGCTGTTAAATTTCTAATTTGACTAGTGGGTATCTAACAGTCGACTCTGGCGCCGTCTGGCTGCTGCTGCTGCTGCTGTGCATATTGAACATTACTTACCGCGTACGCTGCTGCGGCTGATGCCGTCTCATCTGTGCAGGAGGTGAATTTTCTATTTATTTGCTGACAATGTGTTGTTGTTGTGTACGTTTTTTACAAGGGGTTGCCTGACATTCTAAATGGCTCGTCATTTGAGAGTTTGAAGCACTTTTGGGGCAAGCGTAGAGGTTCACAGATGCGTAGCAATTGAGCCACTTTGTTTCATTTCAGCTAATTGCCAAAAACTTTTTTTTTAACTCGACTTGCTAACCGGGTCAGTGTGGTATGAAATGGAATGGAATGGAATGGCTTGAATGCAGTCGATTGAATGGCTCGCTGAACAAGTTTCACGCGTGCTGCGCGCCATTGCCATCGCCAGTCGCTGCCGTCGTCGTCGTCGATGCCGTTTCTTGACTGATATTCGCTTGGGCCAAGCCGAGCGATCAAATTGTTTTCGCAACTCTCCCAGCCCGGTCGTCGCTCGCCAGCTCAGCGGAAAATGTCGATAGCAAAGTCTCAGGTGAAGCTGCAAGCTCTTGCCGCTTTGGCAAGCCTTGCGTTACTCACTCCGCTTCTTGTGGCAGCGGCGCTGCTTTGGAAACTTTTCTGCAAACTATTCTGCTGCTCCTCTCCCAGAAGCATCGTGGGCGACGTAGCTGTGGTGAGTTTTTCGCCCAGCAAAATTCCAGTTTAAAGCTGGCAGTTCAATGAGGTTTGCTTCCGGCCATCATAGGTTACTGGCGCTGGCCATGGCCTGGGCCGAGCCATAGCCCTGGAACTGGCGGACAAGGGCTGCCACATAGCCGTTGTGGACATCAATATGACAGGAGCGGAGAGCACTGTGAAGCAGATCCATGAGAGGGCAAAGGTTCGTGCCAAGGCCTATAAGGTACGCAAACGGGTTTGATCAAACTATATATAATATATAATTAAATCACTTAATTTAAATCAAGGCCGATGTAAGCAATTATCTGGAACTTGTTGAGCTAAACAGCCAAGTGGTTAGCGATCTGGGGCCAGTAACGGTGCTGATAAACAATGCAGGAATCATGCTGCACCGCAACGCTGTGGATCCGGAACCGGCCGAAGTGCAGCAAATGATTAATGTGAACCTAGCAGCGCACTTTTGGGTGAGTTCTCCCAGAGAGACAGAGAGAGAGAGAGTTCTCCGCTATAGTTAAGCATTATTTTCTCTTTCTTTTCAGACCAAAATGGTTTTTCTGCCCACCATGAAAACATTGCGCCGAGGTTATCTGGTGAGCATCAGTTCCCTAGCAGGTTCGTTCGTTCGTTCGCATGCTTTGCTCTGCTTTGCTACTGCTTTGCTACTGCTTTCTACTGCTTGCAGGACTGTTTCCGATGCCCTACAACACCACCTATAGCGCCACCAAGGCCGGCACGACGGCTCACATGCGGGCGCTGCGCATTGAACTGACACTGGAGAAGCAGCGGGATATTCATGTGTGCACGGCCATGCCCACCTTCCTGGAGGCCAACGAGGATGTGGTGCAGCTCTCCCATCAGATCAAGATCGCCGATTTGTTTCCGCTGATCAGCGCACAGAGCGCTGCCCGCCGGATTGTGGATGGTATGCTCAAAGGTGAGCGGGAGATAATGCTGCCCGAGCTGTCCGCTCTCTTGCATCGTCTGATCACCCTAATGCCCGTCAGCTGGCAGGATCGATCGACGATCCTGTGTACTGGCAGTAGGTTTAAGCAGTACATCGCGCTACGCAACTGAGCGGAGTTCACGATTGATTTAGCGCTGTAAATACGAGGTGTAAAGTGTACAGGTGGTAGTGGATAGATTTGGTTTAAAACCGATTAAATGGCACGTATTTTACGGACTACAGGTCTACAATCTACAGATTGGTTGGTTCACGTGTTTCTTTCATTTAATTCCAGTCAGCCAGCGCCAGCCAGCATTGCTTTAATTTTGCAGCTTCATCCGGGCTTCGTCCGGGTCCGTGTCCGCCTGTTTGTCCTGTGTGTGTGTGTGTGTCTGGACAGTGCCTCGATGTCTGCATTTGTCAGTTGGGCGGCAGGGCAGGATTGTGCGGCGACATGCAATCAACTTGTCAGCAGGCGTAGCACTCGTTTTGCTCCTCTCCATTCTCTCTCTTGCGCTGCTTTTCTCTGTCTGCGACTCTTTTTGTGTTTTTTTTCTCCATTTCACACTCTTTTCTTTCATCTCGGTTGAATCTCATTATACAACTTTTATGAGGTCATTGAGGCGGCGTGATTTATATATTTTGCAAAATTAAAAAAGCTTTACAAAGGTTTTTAAAATTTCATGACACAAACAACAAATATTTGTCTGTTGCATTTTCATTTGTGTTCGCTTTCATTTGAATATTCAGGGTTTTAGGAACAGCATTTTCGGATCGCGTTCCAGAAACCTGCAACATTTCTTCTATTTTTTTTTTTTTTTGTACTACTTGCTCGCATTGTTCTGTAATAGGGTCAAATGCGAGCGGGGGGCGAGGAGCAGGCGCTAGCGGCCCATTAAAAAGAGTGGAATGAAGAAAGAACTACTTGTATTATTTTGGTTAAAGTGATTTTTTACCACCCACCTCCCCCAAAAAGATTTTTTTTGTCCTCTCGCTATTGTGCAGAGTGAAAGAGCCTGACAGTTCCCCCACCCGACTGCCTGTGCCTTTGCCGTTGCTTTTCTTTATCTTTATGTTGGCAGAATTAATGCAACACATTAAGAAAAATATTGCCAGCGTTGCGGAGAAGCAGCAGTGGGAGTGGTAGTGGTAGTGGTAGTGGGAGCAATGGAGTCAGAGCTGGAGCTGCAGCTGCAGCAGACTTTCCCATTTTTCTTATTTTGGGAGCACAGACATTGTACATACATACACACTGCATTTCTTGCATATTTTCCCCCGCTCTGCTCTGGTACGCGTCGCACTTTTCTTATGCTCCTTGGCTCCACGCTCTGCACGGGTTCTCTGTCCAGGACGCTTTTATTTTATTTATGCTATCACTGCAACCTGAAATGCTTTAGCCACACACACACACAGGCAGAGACACACACACAGATACAAAGGCAGAGATATGTACACGACAGACAGAGACAGAGACAGGGAGAGAGCGAGAGCGAGAGAGACACAGATAAAACAGGACAGGGAATGGAGACGAACTGCTTTTATGCGAAATTTCTTTTCCTGCTGCATCTGCTTTTTGTTGTTGTTGTTTTTTTTTTTCTTTTCAGTTTCTGGCAAGCCAAGGACATCAGGCCAGGACATCAGGCCATGGCAGGACAGGCGCAGAGGCCTGTGCGCTCGTCACAGCATATGCATGAAAATTTTAGTAAAATTAAGAATAATATAAAAAAGAATAAATTGCAGCAGAGAAAGGAAACGCTTTTTTGCAAATGGAAAAATAATGCTGCGACATGCGAAAAACCAACATCAAGAAATGAGTAAAACTTTATCCTTTTGCATAGCTTAGAAAAAAAAAAAAAAACCTGTAAAATAAAAGCTGAATACTCGTGTATGGGAGAGAGAAGAATATTTCAGTCAGCAATTCGGATCGATTGTGTGGGAAAGCATTAGCCCGGGAACACTTACTTCCTGGCCCTTGCCAACATAATTCCCCATTAAAAAGCCGTTAATGATGCGTGATCCCCCACCCCCTACCCACAGACGAGACCCCCAACGGAATCGAAGCCCCAGACGTGTCGCATTGAACGCCTCAATGGCAGACTGATTGAAAACCCAAATGTGCTGCCCCCAAAACTGATGGAGTCAGAGACACCCAGTTCTGTGTGCCGCCGCCCCTGATGTTCTGTTCTGTTTCTTTGACACTGAGCCAGCGGAGCCAACGGCAGCGGCTGCGGCAGAGCTCACTTTTTAATTTCGATGAGTTGTCTGCGGACAAACGAGGCATTTCCGTGCCTGATTATCGCTTCTGGCACAGCATCATCCACTGGGAGAAGGAAGGGATGCGCATTCATTGCCGACTCCAGCGATCGACTTCCCCGACTTAATTATGAGCTGCTATGTGAAATGCGTGGGAAGGTTGATGCATCACAGACAGCCCTCCGTGGGTGCCCCGGGGGAGCAGTTGGATTACCTGTTGTATATATCCACTCGAATCTGCATTAACTCACAAATGACAGACCTGACCTGACTTGCCTAGTCGAGCAGTCAATCAAACTTAGTGGAACTGCATTGTTTTGGTAGTTGGGAATCCTAATCAAAGGCGTATATCAACTGTCAATCTGCCAATCTGCCAAATGAATTTAATGAAGAGTTGTTTGGCAGGATGTTCACAAAATTTTCATTTACATTTTCTATTTCGATTTGCGGCTTCGCATCTCGCAACTGTCGACGGTTGACTGTGGACTGTTTTTGCTGGTGAAAGCTAATTAAAAAACATTCCAGGCCATGGTCATGGATAAGGTGCACGTTACCAATTTTGATGGTCCATTGATTTGCTATGCAAAACACAAACAGACACACACACAGACACACAAACTCGTGCGACAGTCGGCCATTAAATTTCAGGGTCCTGCAATGCGATACGAGATACGTGGGGCAGGGAGTGGAGGAGAGCTGGTTAGGCATTAGCTCTCGCTAGGTGGCATAAATCACTGGTTTAACTAATTAAAACGAAACGGTAAATAACGATCTGGGGGCCGGTCAACTGGTTGATGTTGTTGTCCCGTCTAGTATGTCGTCCATGTCGGGGTTTAATGAGTAGACAAAATGCCACCGTTAAACGCCCTTCGGGGCACACAAATGTGGCCGATCATAAAAATTATAATACTGGCTGCAGATGGGATCTCCGAATGCCCCGTCCCCCCCCGGTGCAATAATCATAAAAATTGCATATTAAAATTCATTCGGGGGGCGTGAACTGTTTCGGATTCCCTTTATGCTACCCACAGATCGTCTCCTTTGCCTTTGCCTTTCCCTTCGTTTTTTTTTTTGTGCGACGCCTTTAAAATGTTTATAAATACAGTCAATTTGCTGTCAACTTTTGAACCTGCCACATGTGTTCGGCTTCGGCTTTCGAGCTGTTGTAAAATGTCAAGAGGTCAACGGCAACAGCTCATTATAATGCCACCGCCGCCGGCCCGCCTAAACCAAAGTGACTGACACATTCGGAGAGCGAAACCAGCCAAACAATCCAACCAGAAATCGTTTTTGAATATTCGAATTATGCTAAAACATACATATTTCGCTGCACCAAATCGTAGACGGAGCCGATAGCGACTGCGGCTCTGCTCCGACATGCATGTCAACGCAATCATTTGACATTTTGACAGGAAACTGTGTGAAGAGGGTGAGGGGGGGGTGTGTGGAAAATGAGAGAGAGGGCACAGAATATTGGAGAGTGTAGAGCAATGTGCGGAGGCTAGTTCAAGTTGAATGTCGCGCCGGCGCGTCTCATATTACAAATTAAACATTGACAATTTCTGTGTTTTCCCTCCACTCATTTCTCTTGGCTAAACAAAATCAAATTACGCTCTGACAAATTTACTTGCTGAATGAGATATATCCATGGGGAAACAGTCAAACAGCAGAGCTGTGATGCTGATGATGATGCTCGAAAAACACCTCCACAAATTGACGAGAAATTTTGCCAGTTCCCCAGTCAGACAGAAAATGCAAAGATATTTTTTGAAATTTTGCCAAAGTTGCGAGCAAGCGGGGGGAAAGTGTTTTTGTAGCCTTCTTGTTTGTGTGTTTCAGGCAATTGGATTTTGGGGAAGCCACATGAACGAAGAACCTCTTGAAAAAATAATACCAATTTCAGATTTGAGGCAAGTGCCAAAAGGTTGTAGCCATCATGGTACGAGTTGTTGTTGTTCTAGAATCGTAGGCTTACACAGCTAAAGGTATGCTGTGAACAGGTACATATGTACATATGTATATGCCATCACAGCATTACAATTTTGATAGCTAACAATATAGTTGCTCTGGGCTTGCATCACCCTTCTTCAATCAGGTGCCATTTTCTGCATCGATTTCTCTGCTGTATGTTGGTAATCAAGGGACTTTGTTTACACATCATTCTATTTTGACAAATGAGTGTGTACTAGTGTAAAACTCAACCCAACAGAATCCAATTGGTTGCTTATTTATTTATTTAAACACATTTTCCAATCACATGCAAAGCAGCGGGCCCCCAGATGATGTCTATGATTGGAAATAAACAAAAAGGCCATAACCATTTCGTTTCTGCTTTCTTACAATTACCCTAGATCTGACACGGCCCCCCGACCCCCAATCACAATACCAAACAAGACCCTGTCAAAGGGGAATGTGAAGGAAATAAATGCGCCCATTTCCAGCATTGTCAAGTGGAAAATCATTGACAAATTTATGAACCCAGTCGCATGCACATATACACAAGTGTATATATACATATGTATGTATATGTATATTTTTCAGCGATAAACATAATGTTAAAAATTTCATTAACAAATCGACGCCACACAGTCTCATTACTTGGCAACAAATAAATTGTATTAAGTACAATTTTTTTTTTCGCTTTTTTTTCGCAATTTTATTTACGATTTTTCATTAAAGTCATTCGACGTGCGGTCCGTGCCACCGCCCCCTGCCACATTTCTGTGATGAACTTATGTTGTTGACCAAACATTCGGCATTCGAGTATATCCATTAATGTTGTGTATTTGTTGCAGTCTGCAAACTGCAGTCGGGAGGAGAAAAAAAAAAAAAAAAAAATATGAGAATTTCATTGGAAATGTTTGCGTAAAGGCACTCGTGTGGCCAGCCATGGCAAGGGTCATTCATTCATTTCGTGGAGTTGAAAGCTTATACAGCTAATTAATCTGATGAGTTTTTAAAAATAACGTTCATACAAATTCACTCAAACGAAATTGCATTCACCAAAAAAACATCAAAAAAAAGAAAGGAGAAGAGAGTGCAGTGCAGTGCAGTGATTCACGGCCACAATTTAATTGAAATTGAAACTTTTGCTCAGACAAAATCATACTCGTAAAATTGGGAGACGGCAAGGCACGAAGCACGGTGCTGTGCTGCCCACGCCCAAGACAAATTACCTTAAATCTTGTGAAAATTAATATTCGACAGAGGGGCGGCACAGCAGGATTTGACAGCGGAAATGGTTGAGTGTTTTCCCAAGAAAAAGTCAACGCGCGTCATCGGCTTTCATAGAGTACCATAAACATCAAGTCGCATTGGCATCGGTCGCAGTCCAGGAGCTGACCACAGGTCTGGTGCGAGTATGCCACAAAAAAGAATGGCCAAAATCGACTAATTTTAACAATGATGTAAGTTGTCGCAATTGAGCGACTAACAAAGGCAGCGGCCACACGGTTTTTTGGCCAGAAGCCCAATTTTTTTTGTTTGTGTGTGTCGACTTTCACACAAAATGACAAACGCGCAAGTGGTAAAAATTGTGTGTTAAACGTTTCTGAATTGACTTGACGCGACCGGGGCAGAGGGCCCCAGACCCAGGAACAGACACAGACCGAGACCCAGGCCGAGGACCGAGGACCGAGGGGCAGCTGCTGCCATACCGACGAACGTGCGCCAAGTCGTGATGCTTGCCAAAAAACATAAAAAATATGAAGATTACGAGTATATGGAAAATGAAGATGGCATCATTTAATGATGAAGTGCCCACAGGCCACTGTGGATGGGTTGGGAAAAACTAGAACGTATAGTGATTCATATTGATATTGGTAGCACTGGAAATGGGAAGCTGGAGGTGATTCATGCTCCGGATATGTCACTATTACAACAATTACAATTACTGGCGGATTGGCAGCTGCACTTTCCGGAGCCTAGGACAACAAGGAGTGCAGTTGGGAGTGGGGTGGTGGACGGGGGCAAGCAAATAGTTTCGCAATTGCATTTTTGTGGCGCAAATTAAAAACATATTGTCAGGCATTAGCGGGCAGGCGGCACTCCACTTACACTCTCAGGATTAAGAGCTAAAAATAACCTAAAAGCGAGAGAGGTAGAGAGAGAGAGAGATCTGCCGCTCCAGAGACCAATTTGCCTGTTGGGGAGGGAGTGCCTGCCTGTGTGCTATTTGTCTCTTCTGTAGCGGCTACTCCTCCTCCTCCTCCACCCCTTCTGTAGAGCCTTAATAAATTTAGCTCATGCGCTCGCTTGTACTTACTGTACTTTCCGCCCGCCTGCCAAGCCAACGTACATAAAATGGGAGGGGGCAAAAAAATGGGAATTATGTGGCAATAAAAAATAGTGCTAAAACATTCGACAGCCTAGCTGCAACAAAAACAACAACAACAACAACAGCAAGTAGCACAAGAGCAGAGCATCATTGCAACGATGACGATGCAGTGGAAGGAAGGCAAGAGCACACTTGCACACCATGTGGTGCAATGGCAAGATCGGCAGGCAGCAGCAGCAGCGACAGCGGCACACAGCGGCAATTGCCATCGCAGTCGACCGCTGGAAATGTGCGCGTAGAGGCAAAGATATCAGACAGTGCCACGGTCAAGTGCTCGGTGGAAAATGAGGCACATGAAGATGTACATTAAAAGGAGAAGCATATGTAAACATACAGTACATATAGTGAAATTAGAAACCAGATGCGTACATAAATTCTCACCGAAGTTACTCAAACTTTTGTGGAAAAGCGATGGAAATGGGAAATTAAACAAAATATACGTGGTTCCTTGAATAGTAATACACATACTCGTACTTGTGCTTACACATATTTATGAATAAAAGCTGCCTTTCTGAAGAGAATACATTTTGAAAGAAGATTCGCTTCAGAATATGCAGTTCGTGAAAGGTGTAACTGCTTTACTATGAGCAAGCAGTCAAAGCTGTAAAATTTACAGTGCACTGCAAGCAGTAAAGTAATAGTTCAAGCAGCTTAAAGTACAAGCAGTTTTAAAGAATCCCATCATAATAAAATGCTTCAATTCTGTATCCATTCCGCCCGTGCACAACAGTTTTCCCTTTCTGGATCATCGCATTTCCCACCGGGCACTCTGTGTACGACTCACGCATAATTTTCTATACACAAACATAAGCCTAAAATAACAGTATTAACAAGAACAACAGCAACAGCACTAAAAACACGACAGGAAAACCGTGACATGGACAGAGGGACGCACGGAAAGTTAGGGGGGACAGTGGCAGGGGTAAGTCGCAGCAGCAGCAGCGGCGGCGGCGTCGGCTCGGCAGAGCGATCAGAAGAGTGAGGGGAAGCGGGAGCACATGTGCGTGCCAAAGAAGAAAAACCAAAGAAGAGTGCGACACCGATCATGGCAGAGGGCGAGTCGCAGCAGCAGCAGAACCGAAGGCAGGATCCAATGCTGCTCCCGTACCCCGTACCCGCACCCCTACCCTCTAACCATCTCCGCTCCCGTATCCATTCCGCTCCCATTCCCGTTCCGGGCATTTAAAAACCGTGCGGCACCAGCGCTGCGGGTTATTGTCAGATAGAACGCGGTGGCGTGAACATCACAAGTACCAACAACTCAACTCAACTCAACAACTAATGAGAGCCAAAGAACAGCGATTATTGAAATAGAAGAAAACTCTTCTCTCTCCTCCTGCCGTGTGTGTGCGAGTGTGCCGTGGTGTTAGTGTGTGCCGTGTGTGTGTGTCTGTTCTTTTGGGATTTCCCGCGTTCTGTGACCATAAAAAATATTGGCACTTGGCCCAAAACTTGGACAATACCGCTGCCAAAATCGTAGAGCTAGACAACTGCCGGAAATGCGAAAGTGAAAGCGGTCGCCCCATCGTGACACAAAATAAAATAATCAGCAAAATCGTCAGAGACGACAACGACGTCCCATAATATGTCTTCCACGCTCAAGTCACAGCAACTGCCACTGAGCATTCCCAGCCACAGCGGCGGCATGTACGCCGTCAAGACAGCACCATCGATGCCCGGCAAGGCCTTCGAGGAGAACACTTGCTACAGTGGCTTCATATCGCCCCCGCTGAGTGCCACAATTGGTGGCGGATCGGCACATCGCAACGACACCTTTCGGGCGCCGCTAAAGATGGAGCCAGCCGGCAGCGAGGCGTACAACAACTTCACCAGCGGTGAGCTGCAGTTTCCGGACTTTTCGCACCTCTGCTTTGCCGCCGAAACACCCAATTCGGTGTTCAGCGACTGCCATAACTATGTGGGGCAGGATCAGGATCACGATCGGGATCGGGACTTTGACCATGATCAGGATGATATTGTGTGCGCCGCGGCGGACCACACGGGCATGCCGTACCAGCAGGGCCAGTACACACAGCTCAATCGCGAGGATATCTTCCGCTTCGAGCCGGAGGACATTGCCCGGTTAACCGGTGAGCCCGATTTTTCCGGATTGTTGCAGCCACCGCCGCCAACGCCCTACACACCCTACACGCCCTGCAGCGCCCAGTCCAGCCAGTTGGCGGTCGCGGCTGCCTCGTCTTTGGCCGCCTCGCAGGCCGACTCCATTAACCTGGATATTGATTATTTTAATTATGATGAAATTAATTGCCAATCGAAAAACCAATCACCGTGCTCATCACCGCACCTGGATGCCTGGTTGAATTTCAATCTCGGCGAGATGCCAGTCACTGCCACGGCAGACACATCCGCCACGGCAGCCGCCACATCCACATCCACATCATCGCCCAAACTGTGCAACATGTACGATGGACTGTTGCTGCAGCAGCAGCAGCATCAGCATCACATCAAGCAGGAGTCCTCGCCCACCAAACTGCCATCGATGAGCTCCACATTTGGCACACCCAAATGCATTCCCATGTGCGCCAGCAATTACGACGATTACTCAAATCTCTATTCGGGCCCGGGTGCGCAATATGCGGCCGAAAATTATCAAAATAATATGTCGCACGCCATCGAAAAGCCGAACCGTGAACACAAAATCATCTGGACGATTGACGAGCTCGACGAACTAATGCTGGGCGACGGCAGCAGCAGCAGCAGCAAATCAGCGGCCACCGCAATCCCAAAGTGCCGAATCCGATATGGCTAATTACGTTGCGGATGAGTTGATCAAAACTGAGGCAGTCATGGGCTTGGACAGCGAGGACGATGACAATGAGTATGAGGAGGAGACCCACGACCTCGACCTCGACAACGAGGTGTTTGCCCAGCCCAAGGACAGCGAGTACAAGCCGGAGAGCTGCTGCGATGCGGATGCGGATGCGGCAGAGGTCGAGGCAGAGGCAGAGGCCGAACCACTGCCACTCATCTGTCGCTGGAGCGGCTGCAATGTGGAGTTCCCCCACCAGCAGGCCTTCGTGGAGCATATCGAGAAGTGTCACGTTGATGTGCGCAAGGGCGAGGATTTCTCCTGCTTCTGGCTGGACTGTCCCAGGCGCTACAAGCCGTTCAATGCCCGCTACAAATTGCTCATTCACATGCGTGTCCACAGCGGCGAGAAGCCAAATAAATGTCCGGTAAGAATTGGTCGCCAGTCAAACCAGCCACTGCAGTGGCAAAACCTTTCCAATCTCGTCTGGAATACCATTTCTCAAAATCAGACAAGTGGAGTTTATATTGTTTTGCGAGCTGCACAGCTGCTGCTGCTGCTGCCATACTCGTATTTGTTTATGTTCGCAACAGGACTTTCCACTCAAGGATCCTCTGGCTCTGGACCAAACACAACCCCCAACAAGATTGTTGTGTTAGTTTCCTTTTCTGATACGATACCCTGCACTTGTGGAGTCAAAGCCGGACTGTGAACTGTGCGCCCTAACTATCCACCCAAAATCAGTTGCACTGCGTAAAATCTTTCAAAGAGATTTCCAGCGTTTCTTTGCTGCGTCAGAGCCTAACCCAAATAATTCCCACATATATATAGAGAGCATCTTATAGTCGTTTAAATGTTTCGTATTTCCTTTTATCATGCACGTGTTGACATTTGATGCGGCATTGGGGCCTGCCAGCGCTCAGATGATGAATTGTGCGGCGCAAAGCAATCACAGAAATTGACAGAGTTAGAGTAAGGCTCTGGGGCTGCAGGCTGCAGGCTCCAGGCCCCAGGACCCGAGCAGGAGTCCAGAAAGTCCACCTTGAAATAGAATGTTATTAGGGGCACACACACACGCACATAAACCCACTCTGATTCTGACTCTATCTGCTTTGTCCCATCTCTCTCCGGCATGCTCTTTCATTTTGATTTTTGAGTAATTGATGGATTCTTGGCTGTTTTTGGGTTGGGTTAAAAAATAACCAGCACTCTGGATAGATTCCCCATGTCCATCAGCAGCTTGGAGCTGCCTTTGCCATTACACTTGTTTCCTGTCGTTTGTGTTGCAAAAGCGTAATTTGCCCCTTTCACTGGGTGTGTGACAGGTGTGTGTGTGTGTGTGTGTGTCAGGGGGAGGGAGGGTCTGTGTGGAAATGGCTACCTGCGCGACACCTGGGGACAGAAACGAGCAACATCGAGGTCACAATTTTATACGTCCTTCGGACACTCAACCCAACTCCACTCCATTCCACTTCTGACTCCCCTCCACTGCTGACTCCCCTCCACTCATCTCAAACTGCCTCCTTTATGCAGCTGCTTTCTGCTCCCCTCTCTCTCTTCTACTGCGACAGTAATTGCAATTTTCGATGACACCTTTCATTTTTGTTTTCGTTTGTTTTTTCTTTTTTGTCCATTACAGTTTCCCAGCTGCAATAAAGCATTCTCGCGTTTGGAAAATTTGAAAATTCATCAACGCTCGCACACGGGAGAACGGCCTTATGGCTGTCAGTATAAAGGTTGCCTCAAAGCGTTCAGCAATAGTTCGGATCGGGCGAAACATCAAAGGACCCACTACGATACGGTGAGTACATGCCCCATGCCCCAGCGTATGTGTGCCTGTGTGTGTGAGTGCGTGGGGCAAGCAATTTGCAATGCGTGTCAAAAGGAAATTGAAGAGCTCGCGGCTGGAGGAGCAGCAGCAGCAGCAAGATGCAGCAGTTGGGGTTCCCAAGCGCAGCTTAAAGATTTAATGGATGCCAAGGCGCTTAGCGGCACCGTCCAGACAGCTGAGACAGAGTCACTTAAATAAAAAACAAGAACAATAAAACAAAAAGAAGACAATGCAAGGGCAGGACATGGTCGTGGGTCGCAGCTTTAAATACTCTGATGCAGCTGCAATGGGTCATGAAAAGTGAATTTTTATGTGCTAATCCGATCCTGTGAAACAAATGCAAATTGATAGATTGATAAACCTGGCTCTATGGACTCTACGTCTGCTGCTGATACCTCAGGCCATCAGACATGCTGGTCCGAATCACAATACCCTCTGCAAGAGTACAAAAATGTGTGGCACAGTTGCTGCTGCTGCTGCTGTTGTGGCTGCTGCCAGCATGACATGTGCACATTTCGTATTTCGCTGCCTGAGTGATTTATAGTTTTGCCCCGGCGGCAAAAGTAACAGCCACGGCAAGGGCCCAACACGGCAACAGCTAGAACAGCAGCAGCAGCAACAGCAACAGCAGCAACAGTCGCGTCAGCGCGTGGTACAGCCGGAAAAAAGGTCACAGCCAGCATGAAGGACCAGTCAGGCAGCAGAAGGCAAATCGAATAAACTAAACGAGTTAGCAGCGCACACCCCGCCCCACCCAACTAGGGAGCTGCCAATCAGGATCTGAAAGGGATACAATGTGTGGATGGTTTGGAGTGTGGGTGCTGCTCCTGGTGCCCGCGGACAGGACACGGGACACGGGACACAGGACATTGGCAGAACAAACAAAATGCAGCATGACATTTCAAAACGATTTGACTTGGCAAATATGCCAAGCCATATGCAGGTCCCCCACTACCTACCTAACCATGTACCTATTGTAGTGTGTGTGTGTGTGTGTGTGCTGGTCATGTGTGGGCAGGGGAACAAATCAATTGCATACTTTTAGGTAGCAGCAGCAACAGCTACAGCAGCCGCTCGCCTGTGCTGCGGTCCCCATTGAAGCTGGCAAATATTAATGCAACGCGTCTGCTCTATTCTCGCTCTATTGATACAGAAACCGTATGCCTGCCAGCTGCCAGGATGCACCAAGCGCTACACGGATCCCTCCAGCCTGCGCAAACATGTCAAGAATCACGCGCTGCGCAATGCCAATGGACAGCTGGTGCGCCGCAAATCTGCCGGCGGCGGCGGTGGCGTCGGCGGGGCTGGCCCATCGAATGCCAATGGCGCCTGCAGCAAGAAGGCGGCCAAAACACGCCGTCACTCGGAATCGGCACTGGCCCAGGCCCAGGCACAGGCACAAGCACAAGCTCAGGCGCTGGCTCTGGGCGGTGGTGTGCTGCCCGTAGGTGCAACGACAGGTGCGGCGACAGGTGAGCAGCAGCAGCAGCAGCAGCAGCAGCAGCGACAGCACCGCAGCAATAGTTGCAGCGATTCGATGCTTCACTTTGAGAACGGGCCAACGACTGCGGACAGGACAAACCGCAATGGCTGCGGCAATGTTGCAGCTAATAACAATTCAATGAACTTTAATGAGTTGTCAAATTGCATTGTCATCATTGAGCACAATCAGAATGAGGCAACAACAGGAGCAGCAGTAACAGGAGCCGGCCATAACGTGGCAACCACAGCAGTACAGACAACAGCATCGGCAGCAACTACAGCAGCAGCAACAGCAACAACAGCAACAACATATGCTCTTTACGATGCAACCGGCAACATGGCGCCCGCAACGGAAACGGATGCGCTGAGCGTTTGCAGCAGCAACAGCAACAGCAATAGCAATAGCAACAATTACAATGGCTACAGCCATGGCAGCCATGAAAATATTAATCAATTAAGCGAGCTCGAACAACTGCTGACAGCAGCGAATGGGCCCCGTACGGTACGGACGGCAGTTGCCTCAGCCTCAGCCTCAGCTAATGGGATTAGCACCGTGGAGGACACACAGGGTGGCAAATGCCATTTGAGCGAGTTTGTGTCGTTCGAGTACGTGACAAAGTATATCACGGACACGTACGACCCCACAACGTCCAAGAGCCCGGCAGTTAATTTACAATTACAATCGGAATTTGATAGTAATTTCGATATGCTGGACTTTCAGGAGTTCATCTGAGTTGTAGACATTAAGATTAAGATTGGTTAAGTTTACTTTGCTAGTTCCTAGCTAGAGCCCACCAAAAGTCAGCAATTCTATATCCAAAGATCTCAGTGCCTGAGCCCCTAAAGGAAGCCTCATACCCAAAAAGAGAGACACACCACCAACCACCACTTGTATATAGCATATTATTTAAGCATAAGAAACGTTCCTAGATATCCGCTAGTTCCAGTGATTAGAAGCGTCTTCCTTCACCCTCCTTCTCCTCCTGCTCAGTCATGAGCCATGCGAGAGGTGAACTATCAATTTAGTTGCTCTACAATTAAGTACACTCGAGAAGTGCGCAGTTAAAGGTTCTCAAACAAAACAAAACAAAACAAAAAACCAGCCCATTTACCATATTAATTAAATTAATTTCGATGATTTTTTCTTACGCAACTTGTTTGCATATGTAACGTAATTATATTAAAATATGCATATTAATTACTTTGCCTGCGTGAATACAGAACACAGAGAATATATATATACAGACAATATAAGGAATATATACGTATAAAGTTAATGTGTTGGATCAAAGCAGATTTAATGGAATAATCAATGCAATGGAAAGGTGTTCAAGTGCAGGCCGAAATGGGAATCGGGAATATCAACCCATCTATTGCACTTTTTTCCCTTGTTGTCCCTCGGAATCACTTTTATAGCATATAGACAGAGCAGAGGAACGTGCAGCCTTTTTGCTGATCCCATATTAATCTGTTATATATCATCCGTAGATTTATTTCTGTGGCCACTTTTTTATACGTTCATATCTTGCAGTGGCAAGGGAAGGGAAGGGAAGGGCAGGGTCCACTTAAATGTATGCACTCCTGGGTAACCGATGACCCTTAGGTTCCACTTCGATTTCATATGTGTGTGTGTGTGTATGGGTTTATTACACCTGACACTCGAAGCAGAAAAAAAAACACGGAAAGGGAGAGAACCGAAACAACATGCTGGGATTTCCGTTTCATGTTTGCCCGCCTGACTTCACTTAATTGCTGTGCATTCAAAAAATAATTTACACCAGCGGAGCAGCTACCCCGCTCCCCCCTCCCCCCTGTATGTATGTATTTATGTAGTTAATTTATTATACGAATTTAACACATTTTCAGATGCGCCATCCATACACATAAAATGCGCGTAAATATTCGTTCGCATTCATTTACGATTCATACATATAAAATTCATAAAAATGGGCTTAAGCCTTCAATTAATTTGTGATTGTGCATTGATTTCGCATTGAATGTTTTTTTTTGCAGCGAGCCTGAATGGATTGAGAAAGTTTTCCTCTAATTTGATTTAATATTAAACAGCGAATACTCCTTCGTTTCCTTAATGGAATGGCTGCCCCATGAATGCGGGACTCATAAATGCCCTAGAGCCACTGCCACCGCTACTGGCTGCAGCAATGTTGCATTGCCAATGCAATTTTAGCGACTTAATAAGGCCCAAATGTGCTCTTTCGTTAACTGGCTGGAAATTGCCACGGTGGTGCATGGTGCATGGTGCATGGTGCACACAGCGGGCTGTTAATGTGTAAACAACTGCCAACATATCAATGAGCAGAGCAGGACAGTAGAGGGCAGGGCAGGGCAGGGCAGTGCAGAGCCAGGCAGTCAGGCAAAAATAAAGTGGCCAGAACCATGGCCCCGTTAAATGAGCAGTTAACATTGGCCGTTATGAACTTTAATATTAATAACCATTTATGCTTATGACAGACAATGAAAGCCGTGCACAAATTTACTTGCTGCAGCCACACCCAACACAACCCACTCACTCGTTTCCTTTTGCGGCTTCTGTTTTTGCTGTACAACAGCACTAAAAATGCTTAGGGATGGGCGGGTGTTTTTTGGTCATGCAGCTGCATTTAAAAATGCTGCAAGTGTGCCAGTTAATATGCAGACCGACACGGCTCTTCATTACATGCCCCCAAACACATACACACACACTACACAGGGACAACATCAACAAAATAAACAACGAAAATGCAAAGCAATTAAAAGCAGCGCCGCAGAACATAGCGCGGCATATCCTCCACATAAAACATGAGCACACAGGGCACATGATTTTGACTTTTGTCGGAGCTGTCTTTTTACAATCACTATGTAGTGCTCTCTCTATCTCTATCCTGTGTCTCTGTCTCTCTAGTCTGTGCGATGCGACTGAAAGATACCCCTAAGCGCGCGTGAGCGGTAGCAGTAGTATTTCCCACAGCTGTTACACTCTAAAATAAAATAAAAATCATAGTTGAATTTCTGCTCAGAGAAGGTAGAAATAATGTGGAATCCCTTTGCTGGATTGACTATTAATCGCTCTTGTTACTCTTTAATAAATATTTCCCCATATGCCACTATGCATAATAAATCTGTTAATGTTACATAAAACATCTCAATGGGGTATGCCCACATACTTGATCCCATTTACTGATCATTTGCACGGACTGCCTGCTGTGGGCTACAAGTGGTCATTGGCTGGCTGGCTGGAAGTTCTGTTTTCGGTTGGGGCTGCCGTTTTGGATGTTAGGTTTTGGGCCCCAAATGAATTTTTGCGCTTCCGAGGTTAAAGTGCAGAAATTGGTGCAGCAAAAACACCGAGAGAGATGGCAGCTAAATATTTACTAGCTCACACACAGGCAAACAAACAGCACACAAACTCGCAGACACACAAAACTGACTGGAGGCTGTGAGAAGTTTTATGAAAATGGCTGCCGCTACCTGTACGAGTGTGCGAGTGTGCGAGTGTGCGAGTGTGCGTGTGTGTTTGTAGGAGTAATTGTTATACCAAAAGTCGCGCGCTCACAATTTATTTTTGTTAATCAGCAGTCCCACCCAGTCGACGCGCCACGCCCTCGAATGAATAGCCGTGCACATATGCGTGGCAAGTGGCAACAATTCGACAATTATGTGGCATTTCCATTGCCGTTTTTGCTGTTCGTTTTTATTTTAATTAAAAACTCCCACAGCCAAATGGAAAGGGGTACAGGGGTGTAGGATGCAAAAAAGCAGGAGCAGCTTTCACGGTTCCCAGCCAAAGCACTCGGTCGGCGCTACCCCAACCCCCCTGCAATCCCCCCAGCAACCCCATGTGTTAGAATATTTGATATTTATGTGCCTCCTGCAACAGAACCCGACAGAAGGCAGAAGGAAAGAGAGAGGAGTTTCGCTCGCCAGTGCCCGGTGGCAAGTTCCACTCCGATAAGCATCTGCTGCTGCTGCTGCTGCTGCTGCCACAGGCTGCCGCTGTTCCTCCTGTTGTGTGGCTCCGATTTTCAGTGCGTTTCGGCGGTTTGTTCCGCAATTATGCAAATCCAAAGATCGCCACACAACGATATACAAAAATTCCATGCATTTACAATTTTCTAATCAATGGAATTTTAATTTTAATTTCAAACGGAACCCCCCCACACCCACTGATTTTTCCTGCTTGCCTTGTTTGTCCTTGTTTGCAATGTGTCTTTCCACGTTTTGTTGTAATTGTGGTCGGCGAAAAATTGTTTAATTTGCTGTTTGCAAATGGTTGGTCTCTGGTCTGAATGAGATATCAAAGTGCTCGGTTATGGTACATTCATATTTTACGATAGGAAAGGAGTCAAAGGGTTGTGGCTGTGGCTGGTAGCTGGTAGCTGGGCCCTGTCATGTCACTTTCCATTTTGGCGAAGCCGATCGCCAGCTGAGTTTTCGATTAAAGGGGCGCGCCTGCAATGTTTCAATTAATTCAATCTCAGTGTGAAATGTGTCACTCACACATGTCCTGTGGAGTGTGGCTGGCAAGTAAAGCGCTTTGTTGCCTATTTATGGGAGCAGTGCCGCCTGAATGGTAGCGCTCTGCATTCATTTCATTTCATACTCGTATTCGTATTCACATTTTTAATTTAATCAGGCTGGCTGCCGCGCTGCGTCGCTCAACCATAATTAAGTTTCTTTGCACTGCTTGCACCATGAATGGAACAACAGCAAAGAAAGCAGTGGATAAGATTTTCGTTTACGACCAAAAGATACCCAATTAATGTGAGAATATCACCGATTTAATTAATGGGGAAATAATAAACTTGAAGCTGCAATATCATTCAACGAAAGACCACAATTAGTTGCCATATTCGTAATGCCACAAGACTGCCATCAACACGATATACCCTCCAGTCTGTGCAAAGATATAATGCTGAGAAATAAAATAAATCAGACATACTCGCCTATATGCCTGTATGTAGCATATTTTACTGTGGCCCCGGCACCCCATCGATAATGCAATAAAACATCCGTGGCGCACGTTTTTCAACATTTAATTCAATAAATAATTTCCATTTACTACATGTACGTATTGCCCCTGCACAATATACACAACTGACAATTTCAAATATTCGAAGGAACAAAAATTTAAATATGAAAATATTTTGCACGCAGCATCTGCATATTACATTTTCCATTGTGTAATTAATTAAACATTTCCGGTGGCTCGTCAAAGTTTTCACTACACAAAATACATACATACATCTGTATGTAGATATATCTACATATGTGCACGTGTGTATGTATGTGGGAGGGGCCTGCTCGAAAGTTTACCCTGCCTGAGAGTAATTAGACGACAGACCCCCCCACCCTGCCCTCTATATACTGCTCGCACTTGGCGCTGGGCGGGGCAGGACTCTGTCTGAGTGCTTAAAATGCTCCTTTGGCGTTAAATTTATGACAACCGCACATGTTGTTTGCCGCCTAAACAGTAACAATAACGGGCCATGAGGCAACAGCCAACAGCCAGCAGCGTGCAACATAGAGCACAGTCTGTGGGCGGAGGGCGTGGGCGGGGGGCATGGGCGGTGTTGGGGTTTGGTGGCTCGTTAGAAACTTTCTAAGGTTGTGGCGGTACACGGAACAGCTGTGCCGCCAAAAAGGGCAGAATTCTCCGAATTGTTGCACGCTTCAATTGCCCCCTTCCTTGGCGGGAGGAGGGAGCGGGGGTGATGGTCACATTGTTGCAAAGCTGGCTGCCACGGCCACGGCTGATAAGCTGCCCTTGGGGCAGGCAGGCAGCAGGCAGGCAGCAGGCAGGGTACGTTCGGTACTCATACGCCGTGTGGTATGCTGCTGCACTGACGTGACCCCCAAAAACATTGCAGCAAGTGCTCAAGTGGGTGTGGCAGCGAAATTTTGCTCCAAAGTAAATTTATTGTTTTGGCCATTACCACTTAGTGAGTTGCCCCATGCCCCCTGCCCCCTGCCACTGCCACTGCCACTGCTCCTGCCACTGCTCCTGTGCTGTTGCTGTTGTTGGTGCATGGCTGCAAAACTTGCCCCAAAGTGCCGTTTATTCTTATGCAAGCGAACAACTTACAACTTTCTGCTGCTGCTGCTGCCTCTGCTGCATCTCCTGCTGCTGCTGCTGCTTCTGCTGCCTGTGCTGCTGCTGTTGTGGTTGTGCGGCCAAGGATGCAAATCAGAATCTCTAAAGTGCCCTAACCGAATGCTTTAACAATCTCTCAAGTCCTGTGCCTCCAACGTACAATTTTGCAGTCGATAATGAGTGCTTCGCATTAATTAAAAACCAAATGGATGAGACTCCCTGTGGCTTCCCCGGCAGCGGCTGCTTACCTTCAGATTTCTTTTGATTCACAAGTAGAAATTAATTGAACTGCACACCGCAGCAATTAACGTGGAGGAGGAGGAGGAGCAGCACTTGTTCCGGTTCCATTAATGCTACCAATATCAATGGCGACCCTCGAAATTGCTGTAATTTCGAATAGATAATGAAATGCAATTAGAAAGTGTGCGACACACAAACACACACACTACACACAAACACACACATACACGTAGAGCCATGGAGAAGACAGAAATAGAGAGAGAGAGAGAACAAGACTGGCAACAATAACAGCAATTTAAACAGATTTCCAACCCAGCAACAAAAACCCCTCCTACAGCTGCTGACTGCCGCATAATGTGGCATAGAAGTTTGTAATTAAAGTTTGCCGAGGCCAGGTGACGGTGACGCTGACGGCCAGCCAGTGACGACGCCACGGGATATGGCCGGGGCCGTTTCACACACACACACAATGCAACAGCAGCAAATCAATTTCCGCATCCTGCCCGGATGCCCGGTCGGGCTACGGCTACAGCTACGGCTACGGCTACGGCTCTGGCTTGGGTCCTGGCTCCTGGGCCTTGTCAGGGGCGATCAACATGGCAGAAAATAAAATTCAATTAACGCGCTTAAATTAAACTGCCACTTCCGGTTTTGATGACATTTTCATAGCAATCCAAGCAGGCAGCATGGGGGCTATAGCTGGGACTGTAGCTGGGACTGTAGCTGGTGCTGCTGCTGGGACTGGACTTCTGTTCTGCTGGTACTACGAGTTGTGCGGTTGTCCGGACTAGGATGAATGCTTGCTGCTGGCGTTGTTTACTCCAAGCTGACATCTTGCCTTCTTTCAACGCCTTGCCTTGCCTTGCCTTGCATCGATATTAAATGGTAAATGGCCGACATAATGGCTGTCCCTCTGCGGCTGTCATTATGGCTGCAACCGGGACAGGACAGGACCGTTCAGGACAGGGAGGGTATTCCGCCAGTGGCCAGTCTGTTCGGCTTAATGATAAGTAAAGCTTATTACGCGCTTCACTCTTGATTGACCAGCAGCTGCGGGCCCCAAGTACTTGCAGTGCACCAAGCATCCTTTATATACGTACAAATGGTTCCATTGTGGTCCAGCCGTCCATCAAAGTTGGACTGGGAGCGTTGCAAACTTCATTATCGGGCCACGCCAAATGACAAAAAATCATTGAAGCGTTCAGCAGTGATTAAATTAGAAATCTTCATCGCCCAAGTTCTCTAACTGCCTGCCTCCTGGTTGACTGGCATCGAGTGGAGGAGCAGCAAAACCAACCAGTCTGCTTTGCATTCATGGAGCGCCCTTCTCTGCTCTCGCATAGATTTCTTTTAGAGATGCCCAAGTGCCCGATGGGGGTAAGGTCTGGTCTGTTCGGGCGATAAGCAACTTTGGCAAAGCAACTGGCGTTTAATTTAATTAGTACACAAGAACAAAAAGCAAAAATAAAAACAAAAACAAAACCAAACCAAAAAGAAATACAGCCAAAAGCAAACGTCCCACTGATAAGTGCATGCCCGTTGATTAAGTTGGCTGGCGGCAACTGAATGCTCAAAGCAGACGAAAAGCGGATTTGTAGCAGCAGTTTTCTCGTTGATGCTTTTGCTTTTGCTGCTGCTGCTGATCCTTGTCCTGGCTCTGGTTCTGGTTCTGGTGCAGCGTCAGTTCATCATCAAAAGGCAAGGTGCACTCGCACTCGCAGTAGAGCAGAGAGGCTGGCTTTGTTTGGACCACCTGCTCGGGCAAATCCGTGCCACATTTACTCAGCGTGACAGAAGGTGGTGCTGCTGCCAGCTGGACCGTACTCGAAGATTCATTGACATTGCATGGCATACGATACTCGTTTAGGGGATATTGCGACGGGGCCAGTGCCAGGGGTCGACTTTTTCCTATGAAAAGCAGACTGTCGGACTGCGGACGCGTTGGCCAGGAGCAGATGGAGACGGAACTGTGGCTACTGCCGGACTCCTCCTCCTCCTCCTGCTCCACATCGCCTTCAGCTGGGACATTACTCTCGGCATTGGGCTGCCCTTTCAGCTTAACTGTTGCATGCCGTAAATCATTTGTTGAGAGTGAAAGATGCCCCGAAATTTCATCATGTGACGGATGCATTGTTGTCGTCCTTGCCATTGTGGCACTGGCTATCGGCTGTGTCGGCTCTGTCGGCTGTGTCGGCTCTGTCGTCTCTGCTGATTGTATCGTTTCATTGGAGGCATTGAAGTTGTCTGTGGAATTAGTGCGCAGCAGTGTGGCCGCATTGGACTCGAAGAGATTCTCCAGCGAGTCAGTGCGACCGTCCAGCAGCTTGGTCAGAAATTTATTCGTTGGCAGCAGCGGCCTTCGTTTCCGCCAAATGCTTGGGTCAGCAAGTGTTTGCGCCGGCTGCGTCACGGCTGGGACTTTGGTGATGCCCGCGAAGAGCTTTTGTCGCAATTTATCTTCGGAGCGACACATCTCAAAGGCATTTGCAATGGTCAAGTAAATCTGTTCGGCCAACAAGGCCCGGCGTGGCGTGTAAAAGTCCCTGCAGATGGGACAGCGTTCGGCCCGAATGCGGCAATCAACGCAGAGCACATGTCCGTTCTGGCATTGCATGGCCGGCGGAATTATGGTCAGATTGCAGATGGGGCACTCGACCAGCCGCAATATACTCTCAAGGGCAGTGGAGAGCCGTCTTAGGCTGGTCGGCATGGGTGCACAGCATATGCTCTGTTGGGTTTCACAAAATTAAGTTCGGTTTTGAGCGCTCAATTGGATTTACTTACATTCTTATCACAGTCCTTTTCACAGCCACTGTTCCAGCAGAGCATTGTGACGCAGTCCTTTTGGCTCTTGACTATTTTGGCCACATCTGCGACACGCAGGCCAAGGACATCTACGCCATTGACCTGAAATGTGTGAGTAATGTTTAAGTATTTCATTCTTTCTGGGCAATTGTCATCTTTTGATTGCGGTTTTCGCCTATTTTCTCACAGCTAATTTATTGCGCTGCAAGCTAGTTTTTTTTCTTACATTTAAATCATTAAAAATCATGAAATTAAACGTTTATTTCTAAGTAGACTTTTTAATATTGCCCCCCTGTTTACATTTCAAGTTCACATACTGCTTGCATGCTTGATTAGCAGTGCACTGCTTTCGACTGCTTGCTTTATGCAGAACCGCTTGCCACTGTTAACTTAAGCAAACTGCATGCACTGTTAAGCAAAGTAACAGCGCTTTGACGCCGCTGTATGTCGTTTAAGTGTTTTTGTTTGCTTTCCACTTTGTTTGTTTTAGTTAGCACTAATTAATCTTTTCCGATTTGCTGCGTTGAATATTACGTATGTATGTATAGTCGTTAGTGCCTGTCCCGGCAAAAAGCTGGTTCTGAATGCACCAACTGTTTCAGAGTTTTAGGTGAGTGTTTTCTATTTTCTACTCACCATCTGATATAGCTACTATAAAAATCCTAAGATGACAATTAACTAAGCTGTATTGAATTGCTATTTAAAGCAAACAATCAACGCTTACAAAAGGCAAAGTCTAATATAATATATGTAAATCTATGTGTCATAAGAGACTTACACTTAAGGAGGGGGGAGACCCATTACATCTTACCTCTAGAACACAGTCACCCGTCTTGAGGCCACACAGTGCTGCAGGTGTGCCCGCGGCCACCTCGCAGACCTGTTTTATGTGAACACAATATCGGATTAAAGATCGTAATAGGATCTGCACTTATGGTTTCCCTTTATTACCCATGGATAGGGATCCCACTTGCTACGGGTCAGATGAAACCCATAGTTCTCAATGCTGGGTGCAGCACGTGGTATCCGCAAGAGTCGCACGCACGATGTCGCCGTATCGCTTTCGGCCGAAGCTGCATTTGGCCGTGAGCTGCGATCGGTCAGTTTCATTGTTCCTAATCCTCAGAGATCTGTAAAGACTCGCGCGTTGCATACAGCCAAAATCCAGACGGTACCGATAAAGTGGCTAGCGCGAGACGTGTTCAACCTGCGCTCTCAGCTGGTAAACTGTTTTTTTTTCGAGTCTGTATTTTTATTTTTCGTGCAAGTCTCGCGCGCCGTCTATGTGGGCCGGCTGAAAAGTTGCCGAGCGCTTTGGGCCGACGCAATCGGCTATGAAACAAAATTTTGGCTTCAGCTTTCAGCCGCGCTCGCAGCATCTCTCACCCATTGGCCGCGGCTTCTAGCCTACGTCTATGTGTGTTGTAAGTTGTCGGCGCCGAATTGTGGCTGCGACCAGGGCCGCCAGATTCGTTGCCTGACAGCAGCAGGTTGTGCGCATGGAAATTACTCTTACGTGTAGAGTATGTGTGTGTGCTTGCCGCTTGCTGGGGCTAAGTAAATATTTGAACTTTTGCTCGAGGTATGAAGACATATGCAGCTTTTGTGTGCGCTACCAAGATAAAGGTAAACACACACATATATATTTACTCAGATATGACTAAGGAGGGAGATTCATGATAGGGGGGCATAAGGTAAGTACATGGGCTATCAATAGCCTGTTGGAATTACACGCCAATCTCATCTAATATGAAATTAAATTACAAATAATACGAATATTACCTGAAAATACTTGAAACTTCTTAAAAAACTAAAAGAAGTAGCAGATTGAGAACAGACATAAAAACTTCTATTAACTTTCGGCTGTTTAATGAATGATAATGTATGATAATTGGATAATATTCCCACCGAGTGTTCACTTCAAACATTTACTGCCGCATTCTCTACACGTTTAAAGTTGTGTTTATTGGCTTAATTTTTGTGTGGCTAACAACGCCCAAAAATGTATGATGTTTATTTTCAACATTGTAATTCAATTTGAAAATAAATATGATTATTTTGGAGCTTAATTGCGTGCCAGTGCCAGTACCAGTGCCAGAGCCCCAGTGTCAAATGGCAGTGCATTGCCATTGAGTGGCGCAAAATCAGAAGGCGAAATGAAAACATCGAATCGTTTGGTTGTGATGGGGGGGGTGGTGTCAGTGTAGGTGGAGGTGTCAAGCGAGAATAAACATAAATAAGAGGCCCTAAATAAATAGCTGGCCCCAAAAGCCAGCTCGTCCATTAACCCTAACAATGATAACTGATGGAAATTGGCAGCTGACAAATGGATTTGGAATTGCCACCAAAACACAACAAACCATACCGAAGCGTTGCCCCAATTGACTTTCGCTTTTTTGTTGCTTTCCATTGTTTTGCTGCCAATTGATGGGGCAATTTTTGTTTGGCGCTTAGCCGGACATGAACGTGCATAGGTTGCTGCCCAAATAACATTGAAATAGGTAATTTCATTAAATTTTGCGCCCAGCTAAATGACCCTGGGTGGTGGTGCGCGGCTTGGCTTTTGATTTCGTTTTGGGGTTTTCAATTTGTGAGTTCAATTAGATTTCATTTGAATTTATTTGTGCTATTCAGAATGGCCTGGCATTTGAGTGGCCACAGAAGCGGACGGCAGCCGATAGACGTCAGCCGTCGGCATTGTCAAAATTAACCAAATACTTACAAAAGCCAATAACATCAAATTTCATGTTTCTCAATGAGCCAGAGACGAGTTCGAACTGCGAACTGCGAACGCCTACGCGTACTTTATGGCACGGCAGCAAAGTCAAGCAATTGACTTTTATTAATCGGGCCAGCAATTAGCCAAGAAGCTGGCAGGCTGGCTGGCAGGCAGGCAGGCAGCGGCCTTAAAGGCAAATGGCCCAATTCAAGTGCAGTCACGCCATGAGCCATCGCCATCCAGTTCCATTTGTGGATGGCTGGTGCTCAAGCCATGGGCTTATTTATGGCTTACATGTTTGAAAAACCGTTCGAAAGCTTGCTCAGCCTGCGGAGCTTTGCCCGCAGAGGGCGCTGCTCGTCGCTGCTCGTGCTCGTGTGCTGGTCAGCTGTTGCGCAGACGCCGGATCGGCAGCTGCTCAGTTTCTTCCCAGCTCGCAAGCAGTGCGCACGCGCCTCCGCAAGTTCCGCAAGCAGACGCGAAGTGCGTGGCGCCGGCGCTCAGACCAAGACATCGAATTGAGACATCAGCTAACCCCACCCACCCTTCGAGTGTGTGTGTGCGTGTGTGTGGGAGGTGACGAAGCGAAAAGCCGCAAAGTTCACAAGGAAAAAGTTGTGAAAATTGATTTCCCAGCAAGGCGCTGAAGCCAAACCAAAAGCGTTGTGTGCTCGTCTACAAAATAAAACGGTGTGTTTTTGTGTGCGTGTGCGTGTGTGTGTGTAACTATCAAACATAATGATTGTATTAACGATTGTTCGGTTAAGCCATACGAGACCTTATGCTGTAAAATTATACCTCTCTAATGGGCCACATGACCTTACGCTTACGGCTAGCCCTGAGCTATTGTCGGTGGTCTGGTCTGGCCTGGCCTGCCTGGCCTGGCCTGGTCGCTTTGGTAACGTTGTCTTAGGTCAAGGCGGCAGCTACCTCACAATCTGCGTGGTAATTGCTCGCCCCTACCCCCTCCCCCCCCCTTACGAAGCACTTTTCAATGCGGAAGTGTAACGCACAATTATAAACGCATTTCGCATAATTAAAGACATGAAACAAGTTTGTTTAGCTGAAGCTACGAGTATTCTATTTTGATTCTCATTTCCTACTACAAACGAAACGAGTCTAAAGTGAATTAGAAAAGCGCTCATAAATCATAGACGGGCCTCTGCCGCTGTGTCTCTGTGCCTCTACGCATGCGCAATGTTTGTGCGAATTTCACACTCTGTGCGAAATCCAAACAAAGTGAAGACAAACAAGGCAGGCAGGCAGTCAGGCAGGCAGGCAGGCAGGCAGGCAGGCAAGACTGAGGAACCGAAGCTTAAGATACTCTTTAGGTATTTAATTTAAATTCACATATTAACTAGAACTCCGGCTTGTTAAGCTTGGTTCTTTCAAAGATTCTTGAACAACAAACCAGTTCTTTCGTCCCACAAAGACTTGTTTCTTCAATAAATTTAAAAAAATCTTAGTCAGCTGGCTTTAGCACTTATAAATTAATTTTAATAAAAATATGGACATCGGTATGCCTTTTTTTTTCTGCATTTCAAACATCTGCTCACCATCGTAAGACTCTCTACAAGGGTACAAGCAAACGAAAAAACCCAGGCAGTATCAACGAATCATATTCAATTGGAAATTTACACGGCAACGCAAGTCTTAGCTTGCTAATTGTAGGCTGAGTCAGAGTGAGACCGAGTCAGAGATAGAGACAGATAGTGACAGAGAGAGAGAGAGAGAGTCAGATGCAGCAACGTCAATGGCGCATGCGCAACAGTTTTGCCCGCTTTGGGGTTTCTGGGTCTCTGTCTCTCTGCCTCTCGTCTCCGCTTTGCCTCTGCCTCTGCCACTGCCATCGCCTCTGCCTCTGTTTCTGTCGTACGTTTTCGCTTGCGGTTTCTTTCGTGTAATTGTGACGCAATTTTCGTGTGAGTTTGTTTTAGTCTCGCACCGTCAGCTGCGCCCCTGCCCCCCCCACCCCTCCCCTTGAACACGACTTGATATACTGCTGAGTACTGAAAACGAAAGCGGCAAAAAAAAATACAGAAAAAAAAATCTGCGCTACAGATGCAGCTACTACTCGTACTACTATATGTAGCTGTTTCTGCCGTGTGCAATGTGCATTACCTTCAAGTGGCTGGCTTGATCCGTCGACTGACTTCCAGTTAGGTTAGTTGCAATTCGCACGCGCCTAAGCACAGTTCGCTTCCGACAAAGAAATATACAGACAAATAAATAGAGGAACAAACTTTACGGTATAAATGTGGCAATTAATTAATAAAGTTGGGCTCGAATTGGAGCGTTACCTACCCGTAAGGAATGGGTAGGAGCGTGCGGCGGAATGTGCAGTGGTGTGTGTGCTGCTCTTCCTTTAGTTGGATTTCGTAATTGTTTGCTAACTGCCGCGCTTCATTGACTTTTCAACCCAAAAACAATGGCTGAAACGTGGCTTTCTGTGGTCGCTTCTGCTTTCTCGATGGTTTGTTCTCGATTCTCGTGTACCTACCAACTGCTCGTATTGATGCAACTCCGCTGCTGCGGTTGCCCACTCAGCCGAGGCCCCAAAACTGTTGGTGGTTTTTTGGCATGGACTTTTTGGGGGCGCAACTTTAATTAATTTTGTGCGGCTTTGAAAAATAATTAAATCACTCTCCTTAATTGCCCCTCAACTTTCAGGGGAAAGTAAGGTATACAAAATGCACGAAAAAAAATCCAACAAAAATGTGTCCATGCATAATGCATAATTGAATAATGGCCAGACAAGTATCAATCGCTTTTAATTGCTGCTACAGCTTATTTCGATTTATTGTTTAATAATTTATTTAACTCTTTTTTTTTTGTTTTTTCTTTTTATTTTTGTGCGCGCTCACTTTACGCTGTCGACGTCATAGCGATTTCATGGCCAATGTCAGTAAGAAGTGAAGTGAAGTGCGCGCTCAACAAGTTTGTTGTATCTGTATCCGCGTGCGTACAGAGAGCGAGAGATAGATTCCATGTCCCCTTCTCCACAGTCTCAGATATACATATATATGTATGTAGATGCTTGAACGCAACGCTGAAAGAGTTTCGAGTGTACGAATAATCAATTTCATGATGAGAATCTTCTAAACTGACAGCCCCGCACTCTGACGCACCACGAAACCGGAGACTGGAAGCGACAATGTCAATGACTAGACGAAAGAATCTGGTTTGCAAAAGTCGCTGCCAGGTACGAATTGAACGCCAGTCTGTAGATTTTGCTTCTGGGTCTAATTGTTGCCTACTACAGAATGAAAATGTTCTGAAAACATATGCGACAGACATCAGACAATGTCCGGAATGCAACTTAGTTTTGTATGAGATACGTTTAGAACATCTGCGACAGCTGCTGGGTACTCGAATTGCAATGAAATGTGGTTCCAATTTTTGCCTTGCCAGCCATTGAGTTCCGGTTGTGGGTTTTGGGTTCTGCTCCAGGGTTTTAATTGATTTTCTGTAGTTAGTGCAACTTATCAAGAAAACCTTTTTCCCTTATGTTTTTGCCTGCGGTTCAGATTGGCGCTACGGCCAAACTTTTGATTTATGTGAGCAAATTTCAGAGCAGGCCAACGCGGTGGCGTATGCGTAATTACGGCCTCACTTGGTGGCAAAGTTTTTTGGCCACCTTTCGGGTAGCAGCTTTGCTAATTAATTGCGCTTCGACGCAGCTGCCGAAAGGTGAAAGAATTGCCCACATAAAGGTGCAAATGATACAAGTGGTTGCCCCATCCACACACACACACATGTACACACACATGCAAACACACACGCAGCCACACACGCATGTATAATATATATATGTATGTACAAGTGGCTGCTGTGGCTGTGTACGTGATGGGAATGTCAAAGGCAGGAAGAGGCCTCCGCCGATGACACGCCCACTCAGCAAGGGGATATAAAACAGTTTGGCACCATTTTTCACAGGCAAAACTAAGCACGAGACGTTGTGGCATACCTCTCTCTCCCCCTATCACTCTCCCTCTCACTCACTGTCTTTCCTTCTATTTCTGTGTGTGTGTGCAGGTAATTAGACATGTAACTGAGTGTGTGGGTGTGTGTGTGAAAGTGCGAGTGTGAGTTGTCTGGCAAACGCCTCAAGTGTTGAAAATTGGCCATATTTATGTCGGCCAAAAAGCAGTGTCTGGTCTGGTCTGGTCTGGTGTGGTCTGGTCTTGTGTGGCCTGTCCCGGTCTGGTCTGGCCTCTTGGCAGTGCGTGTGTGTGCCGAGACATAAATTGCATTGAAATGCCACAGACGTGTGCGACCTTGAGGGCTGTCGTTGTAAGAGTTTCTGAATTTAATTCAAGCCAATTTCTCTCCGTTTATTCGCAGTTAAACTTGAACGATAATGCTCCAATTGTGCACCATCTACGCGTGCGCCAATGGTACGCTGGGCCTGAATTTGAGTCGCGCCCCCTGGGATCCGTATCCATGGGTCAGCGGGGTGCAGGCGAAATCAAATGCGGAGCGCGGCGGTGTACGCATTGGCGATACTCTGTTGGAGCTGAATGGAGTGGACATACTCGGCTTAAGGATCAGTGAGCTGGCCCATCGACTGGCCGAGCACTGGCACAGTGGGGCCGAGTGTGTGACCATGATGATGTGGCGCCAGCAGGCAGCCATCACATCGCCCGAAGATGCTGAGGAGGCATCCCATGCTGTGGTGAGTACGAAAACGCGCTGCATAATTGGCATGGCCATTCTGATGCCTCAAGTGCTGGCAGCTGGCAGCTTGTACTTGTAGCTGATTTGTCGATTGGTTAAATGGGGCATTGTCATACACGAATTTGCTGCAAAGTGGGCAGCAGTACTCGTAATGCCGCTGCTTGTTGCCGCTGCTGTTCACGTGCCACTGCACGTTACGTAATGCTGATTGGCTTAATGACTGTGGCTCTGTCTTAGTAATTAGTCGCTCCGCAGCTTGGTCCACTTACTTTGTGGGCAGCGTAAGCAATTTTCCCCGTTCAGAGTATTGCTCTAACAAAAAAAAAAAAATGCATCCATGTACCTTTAGCTATCCTTGAGATACGCACATTGAATGCTTTTCATTTTCGTGCTGTAACATCCCAGCCACGCCCTGTAGGTGTCGCCTTCGGGCTTTGCCCACTGGGCGTGTTGGTTTGTTTGTCTGTCTGTCGACCAGTGAAGCTGTTTATTTTATTATTGAATTCAATTGAATTGAAATAATGCAATTTTGTTCTTGACACATCATGTGTACTTTATTACAATTCAATTGAGCCATGGTGCTCAGAGGGTGAAATGGGAAACTGGCTGGACAGTCCACACACACACACACACAAATAGCTGAGTGCATACCTGCTGGCTGATGGCACACGTGGAAAGTCCATTTCAATCAAGGCTGAAGGCTATGCTAGGCATCTGCAACCGAATCAATCCGAGTGTCTGTCTGCATCGTATCTGTGTGTGTGTGTGTGTGTGTGTGGCACGTTAAACAGATTAAACTTGGCCATGCCGATGGATGGATGGATGGACTGATGTGTTGTATGTATGTGTTACTGGTGGCTGTTTAATCATTTTATTGAATTACAATAATGCAGTGCTTTGCTCGTTTTGATAATTGAATATGCGTTGCATGGACATCAGCAGCTCAAATGGATGCATTTAACAGCATTAAAGGCATTCTTTGGATGCATTCATTCATTCGATTGAATTCCGATCACCTTGAAGCAAAACCCTTAAAATTAACCAAAGTATTCGTACGCTTTCTTTTGTGTCTTTGCAGCAGCATGGAATTAATCAACAATCGCTGCAAAAGTTTGCAACATGCCTTCAACATATTTCCCAATTACTGGAGTGTCCTGTGTGCCTTGAGGTAAGTGGGTGGATGGGTGATGGGTGGATGTGTGGGGTTGGCACGAAAAGGGCAATCCAGCCGCTGTTGCATGTGCGTTGCATATCGATGAGGTCGCTCTGCTGGCTGGCTGGCTGGCTGGTTGGTTGGTTGGCCCGTGCATCGACTCCTCAGTAGCTGGAGTAGCTTTAGTTTTAGTTCGTCATTATCTAAACTCAACTCGTCGGAACTCTCTCAAAACTTAGTTGCCAGCAGTTGCCGCTTGTTTGCCTTTGAGAGGCTCTGCTGCTGCTGCTGCTGCTGCTGCTGCTGCTGCTGCTGCTGTTGCCCGTCCTGATCTCAATCCCAACCCAATCCTAGTGCCAATCCCAGTCGCAGTGCCAGTCCCCATACCCATCCTCATACCCTTCCGGTTTTGCGTTGATTTTGCTGCGCAAGTTTGTTGCTAATCACTTGACTGTATATAAAGTTTTGCAACGTTGGCCTGCCAGTGATTGCTGCCCCCTTGACTCTTGGCTCTGTCACCCGTTACCGCCTCTCCCGCCGCTCTCTTTCTCTCACTCTCTCACACAGCCTCTCTGTCAAGCAGGTATAGTACGGTGCTAGCATTGTTTACTCAATTACTCAAACGACGCACCACGCCAGAGCCGAGTTGAGCCGCCTCCGCCTATGCCTTTGCATCCGCCTGCCTTCCTGTCGTCATGTTGGCAGTTAATGGCCGTCGGTTATGTTCTGGCCAAGTGTTTTTATATGAGCACCCTTACCTGAGCAGTGTACTATGCATTTAATCAGCTGTTTGCAACTAATACTTAATCCTGCGCAGCAGCAACAGTTGAGTCCGCATGCCAGTGCCCTTCAGTGCCCTCCAGTGCTTTATTTAAAAGTCGAAACCGCTTGATTTGTATCATAAAATCATAATAGTTATTGTTCCAAAACAAAAAAGGGCACTGCAAGGGTATTTTAGCCATCGATTCCAGCCAGTTTTTCCTGCTTGTTTTTGTATGCTTCGTTTTTGTTTTTTTCGTGCTATATTGAAGTGGGTTTTTGATAAATGTTTGCCCTGGCATGTGATTTGATTAGTTTGGCAAAATACATACATATACATATGTACATATGTATGTATATGTATATAGGAGAGTACGAGTACAGAGCGTACCAGATCAGGCAATGTGATTGATTATGTCGTTTAAAAATCAAATATTGACGATTAGGCAGATGTGTGCACATACAGCTATATATGTATACATATATACATATGTACATATGTGCATATGTAGTGGAAGTCAGTGTGACTAATCGTGTCATTCGCCTGCGGATGTTCCACCCACTTTTCGGGCTGCTCCCGATACTCATTCTGTTGCGCCCAGAGCTCGTTGTGCATTTAAATTGAAGCTGCCGGCGAGTGTCGGGGGGCTTTAAATTTATTTATGTCCAGCTTGTCAGCAAAAACATAAATTTAATTAATTAGACAAGATAAAGAGTGTCGGGACCTGCAGGCGGCCCAACCGACCGACCGACACTCGCTTGCCGCTCTTGCCACTTGCCACTGCAGCACTGCCGTGCAGGCCATTTAAAATGTAAAGTTATTTTCAAATGAAATTCTCGCTTGCAGCACATCTCTTCGTGTGGCACTCACTGTTCGTGTGTTGGCCAGTCAGTGTCAGTGTCAGTGTGTGGCTATAAATTAAGCATGTGCAGGAGAACCGGCACCGGTCCGGAGTGGAGCGGAGTAGGGACAGGGACTGTAAAGGACACATCACTGCCAGTACCAAGAGCAGAAATAGCCACGCTGCAACGCCTTCAAAGTGGGGCAGCCAGCTAGAGCCAGCCGCAGAGCTGTGTCTGGGAGCTGAGAGCTGAGAGCTGGGACTCGAACTCCACTTGCAGCTGCACTGAATAATTTGTTTATTAACCCAAAATCAGTTTATGCCGGCTACGCTAGTTCCACCCACCCATCTCTTCCGTCTTCTATCTCCATCACTATCACTATCTCTGGGACTTACCCTGCTACTCGTACTTTCCTTGCCTCACTGGCCTGCGGCTTAGTTGCTGGAGAGACAGAGAGAGAGAGAGAGAGTGTCCTTTAGATTTGGCAATTATTACTGAAGCACGAAGCAGGCATTATACGAGTTTTGTATTATGAGAGCATACACTCGTACATATGTACATATGTATATGTGTATATGTATGCTATATGCTATATGGTAGTGCCATATTCTTTATGCATGCATGTGCGAGCGTGTCTGAGCGTGTTTTTGGGGGGCTATTTTATGTATGCAAAAACACACACAAGTCCATTAAGTTATTAAGGGATTTTGTTTTGCTAGCCTTTCAATACTACGAGTAGTAGTGTGCATTCTCGATTCCCTTCAAAGATAATCGCCTGCATTAGCCATGCCATCCTGCCATGCTCCATCCTGCCTTGTGGCATGCTCCTGGCGGTCGGATAAGGATTTAGCATTAGGTTTCCCTTGTTTGACATTAAATCGGGCATGAAAATGTTTTTGTTTCATTTAAATATGCATAAATTTTCAGTTCATTTAATTTTCATAAATTTCCCAAGCAAACAGCAAACCTGAAAATTCATGAAATTGGCTTTCAACATCAAAAGGAGATGATTAACTTACACTCTTTACACTTTAAACCAAAAACCAAAAACCAAACGGCCCCAAGGCCATTGCTTGGCTTAAGTAAACGAGCAAATTGTGAAAAGTGCATTGCCATTTGAATTTTATTAGCTTTCCTTTACCCACTTGTGTGTGTGGCAAAACACACACACAACAGAAGTGCAATTATTGGTTGGATGTACTAGGCACTGCTTTAGGGATTTACATGAATTTTTCGCGTGGAACAACATTTGCAATCCCCAAATTCAGGCAACCACAAATTTAGAGCTCACTTTTATGTAACAAAAAAAAATAATGCAAAAAGAATGTTCGGTTAAAAATTATACAAAAATTTCAAATGTACTTTCATTGGTATTTATCTACATGATATCTACGTACCAAGTACATGCTACATAAATTCTACATGCGTTGAACACACTAAAAGTGTTGCATACCTTTAAGCTGAATAATTAAAAGTAGTACAAATCAGGTATAAATTAGATTTTAAAATCGAAACAAAAATTAAATACTATATATTTAGAAAATGAACAATCCACTCAGTCAGTGCAAACAATTGTATAAGCTCTCCTTGTTTTGTACAACGAATGTTTTAATTTCCTGTTCCATTTCCATTTCCACTTCCCTTTCCATCAATATTGTTTTAGCTTAGATCATTTAATTGATTTCCATCACTAATTGGAGTCGTTGTTTATGTATGCAGGGGTATTAAAATTGAAAGCGTTTGCTTATGGCCATTTAAGCCAATAACAAACAATCAAATACGAACCAAACTAAAAACTCCTATTCCGAACACGTACACGTGCTTGAATATATATCCCAGCAGCCAGTATTCTTATTTCGTATTTGTTTTTGGTGCTGGCTTTATTTAAAAGAGTACTGCTAGGGTATATTGTTATTTTATAGAGAATATCAGTTCCCATATATAGAGTAGAAGAATACTAGAAGAGTGTACGCTAGTTATAAGGAAAGACAGTAAGCTCCAAGTGGGTTTTGTAACTCCCAAGCTCAAATAAGTGAACATCTGAAAGTCCATTCGATAGAGATGTAATCTTGCTGCTGCTGCTGTACCTGTTTTTGTGTTTAAATTGCAATCGAATCGTTTTACATTTGTAATACTTGCAAAGCAGTTTGGCCAAATCGTTATACCAAAACAAAAAAAAACAAAAAAAAGAAGAAAGTCTGAAAGCTTCAGACCAGAAATTGTTTCTTTATTCAGCCAAATTTATGTTTGGCTGCATATTTACAACAGTTTTTGCTACCGAACACAGACGCACACGTGGCCGCCCCCTTTTATGGAGGGGCAGAGACAAAAAGCATCATCCAAATTTCAATACATATTCTTCAGTCTGTCAGTCGATCCGATTTTCCGCTTTACGTTTTTCTTCTTTTCTTTTATTTTATTTTTATTTTGTTTTATTTTTATATATATTTTTTTTTGGTATTTTCTGTTGTTTTTCTGTGTGTTTTTTGTCAGAGGGCCAGGGCCAGGGCCAGGGCCAGCTTGAAATGCGCAAAAGTATTTTTGTGCGCATCAAATACCCGTACATTTGTATTATTTTAAATCCGCTTGCAATATTTTCAATTTGATTTTCAATTTAAATGGAAAGCTTTCTGCGCACAACATACCCAATAAAATACATTTTTCATGTCAATGCGAGTAAAGGAAAAAAGACAGGAGCAGCCTCGGTAAGAAGGCGGCACCATGTTGCAGGGGATTGCCAAAAATATGTACGAGCAAGCAATAATCAAATTTAGTTTTGAGTTCTGAGCATTACATATGACTAGAATTGGTTTTGTTCTTTCTTCGGAATCCAATTCGATGTACAGTGTACAATCAAGAAGCAATCAGAGAACGTTGCAGCGCGCCCTTTGAGTTTGCTCACTGCCCATGATAGTTATAATTAAATGAAATAAAACCCCCAATGCCCCCATGCCTCATTGTATTAATTAAACGTACATGTTTTCATAAAGATTTTCTCTTCTTTATTTCTTTTTTTTTTGATTTATTTTCACTATGTGGCTGCACTTCCTTTGACTTGGTTTCTCCCTCCCTCCAACTGGCAAACGAACAACAACAACAACAAAAAATCAGGTCATCAAACCACCTGGATGGCAGTGCTGCAACGGACACGTGCTCTGCAATAATTGCCGCAGCCGGTCCGTCAAGTGTCCGGTGTGTCGTGTGCCACTGGGACCCAGGGGACGCTGCCTGCTGTCGGATAAATTATTCACCCTGCTGGCAGAGAGTTTTCCCTGCGATGGCGGTAAGTTCAACCCACATTACTTGTTGTATTTATAACTTTTATCTAACTAATCGTGGTAAAACGATACCCAAATTAGCGTTGTCATTAGGCGACATCTGTCTTGGGTGTGCGTCTGTGTGTGTGAGTGGATGGATCTTGAGCCAAAATATATCAAAAGATATATCATCATCATCCAGCTGTCATTTAATTTGTGCCCAAAAACTTTTGAGTAGCGCCAAGTGTCAATTTTTTCACTTAAATCTCAGCTAAAACAGACAGAGAGAGAGAGACAGCGAGACTGAGAGAAAGTCCTGAAAGCAAATGAAAGCAAAAATGGTGAGGAGCGGCAAGTCAAGAGTGCTTGAAATGGAGCGCAATGGCTCATCTTCTGCTTCTGCTTTTGTTCTTCTTCTTTTTTTTTATAGCATAATTATGTAACATAAATTGCTAAAGTTTTTCACGCTTTATGCTGTTGCCATATTGTTTGGCATTGCGTTACATATTCCAGTTGTTTCTGTTGCTTCTGTTGTTTCTGCTGCTTATAGCTCTGGCTACGCTTAAAGTTTTGGACGCCCCTCGTTGCCATTTTCAATCTGTGTCGTGTCCGCCGTCCGTCCGCCCAACTCAACTTCAAGTGAAGTTTACATCGTAGGTAACAAGCGGCAACAATAACAAACACGAAAGATTCTTTCGCCGTTGTCTGCATTTGCTTTTACTTGTTGGTCTTCATTTTTGCCAACTTCCTGTGCGTTCTTTTCCGCTTGTACACGGTACCAGCAGAGTACGTGGGTTTATTACCAGCCAAAAGACAGCAGCAACAGCAAGCTTAAGATATTTATATTTTATAGAAGTGAATTATGAGATTTTGAATGGTTTTGGGGTGTTTAGTGTGAATTTCTTTTCGTTGCAATTCCAGAGGGTTTCAGGGATACTATTTACCGATTAGCGGGTATCTTACAGTCGCAATTATATGAACTGTATTCCCCACTTCTGTTTTTGTTTCCTCTCTTGTTTAGCTTAGTCTCTGCTTAGTAAGTTTTTATTTCTTCTACATTAAGTGTGCATTCTTTATGTTTTTGCTGAGATTTTCTGCTCCTCTTCCGGTTCCTGATCCCGTTCATATTTATATAAAGATGAAGAAATTTATTTACTTTGCTTTTTTTCTTCTGCTTCTATTTTCATTTGCCACTTAAACTTCTTGAGAGTTGCCTGGCCAAGGGGCAGGTGCAGGGCTGGTTTGTGTAGGGACCTAACGAGCGCAAAAGGACAATTCCAACTGCAGAAAAACTTGAAAATTTTGAGGCCATCAACAATTGTGCGTATGCCATGGAGGGGGGCACCCTGAGGGGCAGCTGAATGTACAGTGAATGACAGTGGTGGGCCCATGGATATTTATTCGTGGCAACAGTTATTGCATTTACATTTTGGGACCCATTTCTGTTGCTGTTGTTGTTGAACTTTTACCCATTTTGTTGTTGCAGGGAAAACCAACAAGGTGACTACGGACCAGGACCAGAACCAGGACCAGGCCCCGCAGGTCCAGCGAAAACTGAGCAGCGTCAACAAGTGCACAAATGAATATCATAATCAACCAAAAATGGCGCTGGCCAAGTCAAACTCCGGCAAGAAGTGCGGCAAACAAATCTCCAGGCAACTGCAGCTGGACGCAGTGGCAGTTGTGGTTCTGAATGGCAGACACAGCAGCGGTGCAGGTGCAGATGGAGATGGAGATGGGGATGGCGGTAATGGCGGGGTGCTGCAGCAGCACCAGCACCAGCAAATGCCAAAGGGAAATGAGGAAAATGCTCGAATTCGAAATAATGTCGCCGACAACAGAAACAGCAACCACAACAGCAACGGCAACAGCAACGGCAACGCCAACGGCAGCATCACCAGGAGGTGGCACAGTCAGGGCCAGGACGAGAAGGACCTGCAACGTTGCACACTGATAAAAGTGCAGCACCAGGAGAGTCGTTTCAACGAGCAGCAGAAGAAGTCGGCGCTGGAAGTGCTCGAGAGCAACAATATGCTCGTTAAACCAAAGTTAAAGTTGAGTAGAAAAAGTTGTCGGATTACAGGCAAAGATCAAGACGGATTGCGCTGTGATGAAGTTGCAAACATAAATACGGGGCAACACCCAGCAACGGGGCAGAAGGTGGAGGAGGAGCAGCTGGGGCAGAAGCAGGAGCAGGTGATGCAGTCAGCTGGCGGCAAAGGCCAGCTGCAATTTCAAAATTATCATTGCCCCACTGGGAAATCATGTATCTTAAGCTGCAGCAGCAGCGTCGCGCTGCTGAAACTTTCCCAGCCAGCGGCTGGCTCTCGGAACAAATTGTCAAGCGTCATAGATGGGGACGCCACCGCAGACGCAGCGGCACTGGGTGCCGGAGTGGCAGCTCCTGTGGCAGCCGAAATTGCAGCGGCCACCTTATCAGTGGGGAGCCATAAACAGGCGCCAGCATCTGAAGTAAATCAGGCAACGTCGTCGCTGGTTTCGGGGTCGGGGTCGGGGTCGGGCGCGTCGTCATCAATAAAGTCCTGCGAGTGGCAGCTGCTGAGGCATCTCAGCACCGAACACCGCCTGGCCGTGCTGCACTCCTACGGCACGTTCGGTGAGCGGCTGCACGTCCAGCTGCCGTCCCAGCAGACGGTGGCATGCCTCAGTCTGAGCGAGGATGTCAGTTTGGGCCACGAGAATGTCAGAGTGCACACATTTTTCCTGGCTGTCATACCGATCAGCGCAGGGCATGGGCATGCCGTCTTCCTCTGGCACCTGGACCGGCCACAGGAGGAGCCACACTTTGAGACTGTCATCGAGACACAGGGCGGGCGTGTCAAGTGGTTTGGTGCCGCCCACTCACTCAGGCGCAGCTGGCCGGAGATTGCTGCCACTGGCCATTTCCTCAGCTGCCACAACCTGCCGGAGAACGCCTGCGCAGCCTTTGATATCACAGTGAAACGAAAGTACCCCCAGCCCTAGACTTACGGCCAGCATTCTCCGCTATTTAGCTTTAGCCTAACCCTAATTAGTGTTTAGTTTAGAATATTAATTTGTGTGTGTGGAATGCGAAGACTGCAAATGAATTTCGCCCATTTATAATCTGTGTAATTTGCAACCAATTTTCATGGCATTCCATGTTGAAACAGTTGAAATAAAAACCGAAATACCAAAATATGCACAAGTGGAGCCATGGGAATGAAAAATCTCTTGACGAACTTGACGGTTGTGTGCTTTGTAAATTATATTTGCATTTTTTTAACGGATCGGCTCTTGTTCGTGTTCGCGTTCGTGTATTTATTCGCAAAAATGCAAAACGCAATTTGGAAATGTGTTTAATGTGCAATATTTTTAATTAATAAAAACATTTAGAAATTTGCTGGCCACGCAAATTGAACGTCATGTAAACATCGATGTTTTAAATACCCTGCATTGAATTGGTTAGGAATTGGTAAGGCATAAAGGAAGTTGCAGCTACCTCGCACACCGATACCACAGTATTTTTGGATCGTTGGGAATGCACACACTATTGCACAATTTCCCATTTTCCGATATTTTAATAACGTGCTATTTTGTTTTGCTGTTGTTGTTGTCAAGAGTATTCCGGTTTCGTGGCTCAATGGGTGAATGTTTCTTTCTTGTTGAAAAATAACACCGATATTTGCATTGCAGACCACCAGAAACGGGCAGCAGCGACTAGCGCTTGTCTGTTTGCTGCCTCCTGATAATTGACTTGCATGCAAATTAATGTTTTTTGCCCCGATATTGTTTTTGCTGCTCCTGCTGCTCCTGCTGCTCCTCCGTGTTCCTCCTGTTGCCCTGTCCGTGTGCGTTTGGCCGACAAACAGTAAACACGGGGGCCAAACCCATGAGTAATTTTCATCAGTGCCATGCAATACATAAATCTCTGCACCATCGATGTTTACCATATTTAAGGAAAAAACTTCAATTTTCATACAACAAAAATCACAGTGCCCACCAACTATACTATACAATAATACTATACTATACTATGCTATACCATACAGACTTTCTATATAGTCCATGTTTGGGTGCGCTGACTGCGTGTGCACGTGCAAATAAAGGAACGTTTTTTTTTATTTTGTTGCTTTATTATAAATTTTTTTGTGCGCACTCGACCCCAGCCTCGGTTTGGTTCGGTTTGCTTTTGTAGCCTTTCCACGCTGTCGCCTGTTTGTTTTTGATGAGCCATCATCATCATCATCAACATCTTATGCACTGCGCTGCCATTGAGGTATGGCATGCATGTGTATCGGGCAGTGCAGAAAAAGAAAAAAAAACTACGAGTTTATAGTTAAAATAAATTAAAAATTTCTGCATACGACACTTTTTGTCGCTCAACCTGACACATTATGTGCGCCTCTGATGATGAGGAGATGATCTGGTTGCCAACACGGAATATGGTCGATGGAGGGGTGGAGGTGGACAATGAAAACACTGTGCTGCATCCTTAGCGGTCCATCAGGTAAATTAAAAAGGCCGATGCCGGATCGCAATTACGAAAAAAATTGGCAAAAATGATGAGCCAGTAAAAATGCAAATTTCAGAAAACAATTATAAAAACCAAAAAAATGCATCGTTTGGCGGACAGTCGACCCATTAAGGATATCAAAGAATGTTCGAGAGGTAATGCAAGCAATTGGTTCAGGAAATGCAACAGAAATGATTGAAAGCTGCCAAATTGGATACGAAAAAATCGTTGCTAGTTTTTGAACTCTCAAATGGAATTGAATTTGTAGTATTAATGATACTTGATAAATATACAAATCAGATTCTGATTGATTGATTGAAAGTTAATGAAATTGATAAGTATTTACTTTTATTCCGGTCCGGATCGGGTACTTATTACTGAAATGAAATCTAAGAAGCTCTCTGCTTGACAACCACATACCCAAGTTGCGCAATATTTCAGTAGCCAGCGCTCATTTCTTTATCAATTCCGGATATTTTACTATCGTACTAACATTTCATTTATTTATCGGGTTATTGGGCAGCTAAAAAAAGAAAAATATGGGAAATTCAATCGTAATTCGTAGGAGAGATAAGCGTTTCTGGTTCAGCCGGTTCTTCGGTTCTTCGGTTCGACTTCAACCCAGCAAAGCTTTCACGCAACTGCAAAGCGCCTTGGAGCAAGGCATATTAATAAATGAGGTAAGCAAATCCACAAAATGTGCTCTCACAATATTTTCTGGGGTTGAGTGGGGCAGCCAAAGGACTGACCCAAGTGTCTAACCGCCCAAGAACTCCTTCTTGTTCTCGTTCTTTGCATTCAACTGTGCATTCCAATCCTCTTTCATTCCCAGTCGGCACACTTTTTGTGCAACTTCATAGCCGTCTTGGCCAGCTCAAGGGGTGTTAAAACAAGGAGAAGAACGCTCACAGAACGCTCTCACTGTCTAACACACCTACCATTGCCTGTACAGACTCCTGCTGACAGGCCAACTCTCCCATTTCCTCTCTCTTCTTCAGCCAACCCTTCCCACGCGCACGACCCTTGCCCATACATAATCTCTCTCCTCTTTGTTAATATTTCTCCATTTTCGCGGACAAGGCGACGTTTGTTTTGCGACGCTTATTTTGTTTGCCAATTAGTTTTAATCGAAGAGAGCGCCCCACAGCCGCTTCTCCGGGCAAGTGCACAATCGCCGCCTCAATTGCTTTTCTAATTAATGCGTTGCGCCAATATTTGCCAGAGCACGTGTAATACAATTAATGAAATCCGATGTGCCCGCTGGCCCCAGAAGCAGCGGCAGCAGCAGACACAGACACAGACCGAACCCTACTCTGGCTGTGTCTCAGCGCCTCGAGCGTCGCGCGTCTTATTGTTCTTTCTTGCAGTGCAGCGTTCGGTCTAGTTCGGTCAAGCGGTCGCTCGGTCGATTGCGTAGCTATCGCTCTATCTCTGTGCCCTGTCGTTCGTACGTTCTTCTCTCGGAATCGGCTGTCAATAAAGCTCCAAACGCATACGTCATCCATTGAGTATCAGCGACGGCGGCGACGCGACCTCTCTTTGTTTTGTGCTTTTTCGTTGTTTTTGATTTTTGCTCAGTTTTGTTTTGCTTGGCTCTTCTGTTGCTGTGCCGTGGAGTCTTGTGCTGAAGCGGGAGAGAGGGAAACATGAGCAGCGAATTTGGTGAGTACCCTTTAAGGGGGAATATTCGTGTTAGGTATTTATTTTGTAACTAATCGAAAAAAACAATTAATTTGACAATTAAACACTCAGACATATAGCCAAAAAAAAGTTAAAATAGTGCCACATAATACAAAGTATTATGGAAGCATGAGCATGTATTTATTCCATCAAAAACAAACAACTATCCCCTGCTTAACAGATCCGCAAGGGTATCTAATGCGCGACTCGCATCTTTTTTTCTGTATTTATTTTTATTATATTTAGCATGTGGACTTTTTTTTGGCCACTGCTGTTAATTGACGAGTTTATGGTTAATCAATTAAATACGCATTGTTTTTTGTGTGTGCTTGTGGCAAAGTGCCAATAAATGAATCGTGTGCAAATAAATCGAATTTCGGGAAATTGATTTTGCCAACTACCTACTAATGACCGAAACTCTCATACCGACAGATGTGTTCGATGTGGTGGCCGGCGACACTGGCCCCCAGCTGCAGGCCTTTCGCAGCAGTAACCCGTTCGATGACGCCTATCAGGCACCAGCGATGCCCAAACAGCAACGGCAGGAGCAGGAGCAGGATGCCCATCAGTTGCCAATGCAACTGTTGCGGCGAGCCAGCGAAACAGTGACCGCCAGCATACTTGCCGATTTGGAGCCCGAAAAGGAGCATCTGTTGGGGGAATGTGCTGGCATTGGGTCGAACAGGGAGCGTCCCCAGCCACCGCCACGCAGCCATGGCCAGTCAACATTCAAGGGGCAGCAAATCTCAGTCCCCATGCTGGCAGACGGTGAGTGATACATCTAATTGTGCCTTGTGTGTGCAGGGCGGGGAGGGAGGTAGTAGGAAGCTCGTATGGGATTGTCGTCATGGAGAGCAACGACGATTTTGGTGCTCGAGCAGAGCAAAAATATTTGCAACGGAAATTCTTTTCGTTTTCCGCACAGACACAAGAGCCCAAGGAGGATGACAGGACCAGAGAGAGAGAGAGTGAGAGAGAGAGAGAGAGTGAAAGAGAGAGACATTCAAATGAACATACTTTCCGCACAACGTCAACGCTTTTGTTGGCCAACCAAGCGAAGTGGGTCTGAAGAGAGAGCGCAGACAAAAGGCACATTGCACACATGAAGAAGATGTGCATGCGAGTATGCAGATGTAGATACAGATACAGTTATATATATATACTATATACATATATATATGTATGTATCAGCATATATTCATAGTTTGCTTATTCAAAGTTTTTGTTTCACTCCGCAGTCTGCGCTTGAATTTGTGCAAACAGCGCTGGCAAGTTGGAGGACAGGCAGGCGGCAGGAGGAGGAGAAGCGTGCCGCATGCTGTGTCTAAAGTCGAATCACAGTCCCGGCTCAGAGCTGCCATGAGCTGATTGAGGCATTTCGATTTTAAGTGAACTCCAGATACTGCAAAGAGCATTCTGCTGGGATGCTTGTAAGAGCCATAGATACTCCCAGAGAGAGATACTCCACGCTTGGCAGCCGTATACGTAATATTTCCGTATATTGACGCCAGAATGTCTGGAATTGGCATGGCTGCCTGTCCCGGCTCATTCGCATGCACTTTCTTGGGCTGTCATTGGCACTGCCACAGCCACAGCCACATCCCTTGGCTACCAGCAGCATGCATTCAAGGCCCCAATGTGCCCACTGGGTGCCCAGCCCATGTGAGCCTCCCAATGCTCATGGCCGCCTGGACTAGTGCACTCCAAGCTCTGGCTACTTTCTGTGTGTTTATTTGTCAGTTGGCCCTTCTCTTTCGCCTGTTTTGGCAGGTGGTCGGTCGCGGCTTGTTTTTCAACGAATCCAACAGCTATTATTGTTGAAATGCTCATGCAGTTGCGATTGTTTTGCATCTGTCCGTGTCCGGGTAAAAACTTTTACCAGTGCCATTTCGGCGCTGTGCTTTTTGGACTATTGTGGCAGGGTTAACACTGCCTGCCAGCAATGGAATATTTCACACGAATAATGAGCTGTTTTAGTTGCGCACAAATGCCCACAATCAGACAAACTAACACGAAAGTCCCGGACTCACTCTGGGCACCGCTGATGCCGATGCTGATGCTGGTCCTGGCTCTGTCCCACAGGCATTCCATTCGGAAAAGTATGTTTCCATGAATATGCATTAGTCGGGGAGCTCATTTCCTGTGCATTCAGTTCGAGTTTTGCGCCACCCCACACCATCCCATCCCGCAACTGATTCTGCTCGAAAAAAGTCATATTTAAATAGATTCTCGCTGCAGGCCACAAAAGGGGGCCACCTACATAGCTAATGCCAGCTCGTTTATATTAAATAAATTCCATTTAAATGCTGCGTTTCAGGCAATCTCTCAAGCTCAATCTTAAATGGATGTATACCCCGATCTCCTACCTCCTACCTCCTGCCGCCTGCTTGCCTGCTGCCTCTGGTCGTCTGTCACTTTGGCGACGTTTCTGTTAACTAAAGCCAACATGATATACGCTTTGCACACACACAAACATTCTCGACTATTGATAAATGCAAGGCATGTGCCTGGTCTGTACCGGTGGAGAGTATTGTATGGGTACGGTACTGCGCTCAGGTCGGTTTATTACGTATACGCAGTGTATGACATTTATAAATGCCAACGTTGTGGCTGTTGTTGTTGTTGCTGGATGCTGCGCTGTGACTGAGCATAATGACTGCCAAATGAATGGGAAAATTTTCAACTTACATACCCATAGCCGTGTACACTGCACAGTGTAGACGCCCCTGACTTTTGTGGCACAGATGTGTGTGTGTGTGTGTGTGTGTGAGAGACTCTCCTTTCGACGCCATGTGCATTGACGTTGATGCGTTTTGCCCCACAGCATTTCGCTTTGACTTGCTGTATGCTGTACGCTGTATGCTGCACTTGCACTTGTCACGCAAACCGTTGACTGAGTTTTGAGTGCCACAGCTAATTTCTAAACTACGCTTAATCGAGCGCTTTCCCCATCGTTGTACCCAGTCTGTGTGTCTGTGTGTGTGTGTGTGTGTGTGTGTGGCATATCATCTTTGACTGTGTTTTTTCTTTTGCTGTTTCTATGTTTTTCTGCGAGTGACTGCCGAGTACTTTGTTTATTTGGTTTTTGCATTTGCAATCTGTCCTTTTATTTGCTTAGCTGTGAATGGGCTTTGGGGCTGACCTGTTTCTATTTCTATCTATTTTTTTTTTCCGTTGCGTTCTGTCTCTGCAAGCTTGAAGCCTGGAGCCAAGAAGCTGACAGTTTCCACTGATTTGCTGTTGACGTTGCAATATACTCGCATGAGCACTAAATTAGATGCGAATCGCTGAAGCGTGAGTTCATCTCTTGGCGGGAATGCAATGTGCTGGTGGTGGTGCTGCTGCTGCTGCTGCTGGGATGCTCGATGGAAGCCATCAGTGCTCTGTACATACAATATATTCTGCGTAAAGAAATTACATATTTTTGTTGTTGTTGTTGAATGTGCTTCCACGCACTGGTTAACAGGCAAGTTGCAGGTACATAAGAGGATGCAACAGGAATCCTTCTGTGCACACATTCAGAATACGACAACGACGACTCCGACTCCGACAGACGGCAAGGTGGGTGCGTTCCAGAAAGTATGATGGGGTGGTGGCATAGTTAAAAGGTGGCACGCTTAAGTAAACATAAACAAAATAAATGTATGTTAGGTACGGGGTAAAAAAGAGTGAATTGATATATGTATGCTGCAGACACGGACACGGACACAACACACTCAGACAAGAGTCCTGGAACTTGAAACTCTTTAGCAAAACACACACACAGCGAGCAGGGAGGATACCCAGCAGCAGTCATCATCATCATCAGCATCAGCATCCACATTATCGTCGTCGTCCTGTGCAATTTACCGTTTAAACATATTGAAAAAAGGGATCTGTAAATAATGAATAGTTGAATAACTCATATAAATCACTTGAAGTAGTTATGAGGGCGCCCACCCCAGGAAGTACTGCCAGATAGTTGCACTGGAGCAGCAGTGAATGAATCAGTAAAATATATAAAACAAATTTATGACACTTTTTGCAGTTTCCACTCCATGCCCGACTCTCCCCGTAAAAACAATTCTAATAATGAAAAGTGACAAAAAAAAAACGGGAAGATAAAGAAGAAGAAAGAGCAAAATCTTTCAACAACTTCAACAAGAACAATAAATTTTCCATTAGATCTTTAAGAAGTTTGCACCGATGTCGCTCTCTCTATCTCTCTTTTTCTCTCGGGTGAGATTTTCCAAACTTGTTTGGGTTTTTGCCTTAGCCCTGAATCCCGGTGCCTGTGTCCTGTGGCCTGTGGCAAAAGTGTTTGCCTTGATTCCAATTAACACCTCAGATGTGTACGCAACTCATTGTCCACGATGCAAAGGCGAGTGCAACGATGCTGCCAGACTTTGGTACGCTCGGGCATATGACAAGCGAATGACAAAAACTTTTACAGTCGCCCGGAAATGCACTCGTCGCCATCTCCGGGGCAGCGTGAGAGCGGAGTGTCTGTTTTTTGTGCGTCAGTTGCAGTGCCAGTCGTCGTCGTCGTCGTCGTCGTTGTCGTTGTCGTATAATTTGTGTGGAAAGTTTCGCCAGCAATTGAAAAGCGAAATTCTGTGCATCGCATCTATGGCGCGCTGGCTTTAAAAAACTTTTGCATTATTTTCGTGCCTGGTCACTTGAAAGTTGCTGAAAATATGACAAGATAAAATTCCGAAAAGTGGCACGGGGCAACTGCGCAAAAGCTCAACGATAGCCCCCGCTCAATTGGCAACAATGGGCGTGAACGAAAGTCTCAAGAAATATACGCCCCCCCCTGCCTGGTCAATGGTGGGAGAGGTGTGGTGTCCCTCTTCTGCCCAAAGGTAATAATCAATGGGGCGAGCTGCAGGCCCAGGCCCCGACCGTGGTCTTTGGAGTGCAAAGAAAGCCTTAATGACCCGCCCAACTTGCAGTTGAAGTTGGCTCAACATTTTCTGTGCTGTCTTTTTGTTGTCCTGCCACTGCCGAGTGCAGGGCATGAATATGAAATATCACAGAGAATTGCTGCCCCTGCCCCTGCCCCTGCCACTCCCCCCCATTCAGCACTCTACCAGTGGCTCTCCAGCCACTTGATTGCAGCCGAAAGTCCTGTCTTACAATACCTTTACTGTGCTGCGCTGCGCTCGCTCTCTCTCTGCTCGCTATCTCTGCTGACACCTTTGCACAATTTATGCATAATTTTTTTCCCATGCCTGACGAAAAAAAAATGAAGAAAAAAGAACTACAACATTTCGGTGTGGGAAGAACTTTTAAATGAGGCACATAATTCAAAAAAATGGTGCAGGGGGGCGATGTGCTATCATTCCCTTAGCTTTGCTTTGCTGCCATTTCCCATCTTCCATTTCCCATTACCCATTTGAGTGCCATCCTGAGGCCATGCCGCTAGACAGTTTGTTATTGCGAAGATATTTTAAATTAATTAGCTAAACTTAAATATTTGCCCATTGCTCAAACGCGAACTTCTCATTGAACTTGCAATAGGCTCGAAGCCACAACTGAACCGCTGCTGAACGCAACTGAACTGAAATGGCAAATATTTACCGAGCGTACATAAGTTTCTTTGTTGATTATTGGGGTGGGGGGCTAATTAATTGATAAGCAAACGCTCGTAATCATAATTATGCTCGAGGCTAAGAGGCTTGTTAACGGCGGGTAGGGGTAGGGGAGTGGCAGTGCACTTCTCTTAAATGTTAATCGATGTTCTAACTCTGTTTAATGTTTACTAACTTGATTGCATGCCCAGTGCTCTCCCTATTAGCAGCAGGCAACTCTTTCAATGTCACGCTGCTGTTAATTCCATTGTTTTTTTTCCTGTTAATAATCCCATATTTTTCACAGCTCTCACTCTCACTCTCGGCGCGCGCTCTCTCGCCCGTTGTCTTCCAATTTGTTTGCTAATTTTAAAATATTAAACAAATATTTTATGTATCTCTCTCTCTCAGAGACTGAGTGTCTGTATGTTTTTTTTATTAGCATAAGATAAAATATATATGTATATACGGCACAGACTTCATATACGAGATGTGCGATGCTTTCCATGAAAATTATAGTAGGAACCAGTGGAGAAGTCAGGTGTCAGCCGGCATCGAATGCGATTAGTTATCATTTGGCCTTTAATTCAATCGGTTCGGTTGGGCTTCTCCCTGCATAGAATTTACTACGTAATGTTCCATGGAAATTGTTAATTTTTGTGCTGGTTAAAAACTCATTTATTCATAGAAAATTGTACAGGTGAGTGTTCGCTTCGGTGGGGGTGCGGAGTGGAGGGTAGCCGACAACAAATTGACTTAGCTTCATTCAACATTTCGGCAAAATCTATTAAAAATAATTGTGTGTGTTTAACGCATAATGGGGAAAAAATGTATAACACAGAGTGCACAAGATTATTAAAAAAGTTCAGATTGCTGGTTATTATTATTTTGTTTTAAAAATTTGTTTATTTAATATTTTATATTCAGTTAGTTTAACGGTGGCATTTACCCATTCCATGGCTGATTATAATTTATTTTTAATGTAATTATAAATTAATTTTAAACTAAATTGTGTGCTGAACTAGCTGGGCAGCAGCAGAGGGCTTTTGTCTTTGTCTACCGAAATTGTTTGCTGGGTAATTGCTTGTTGTGGTTCGCTTTTGTCGGTACGGCTGTTGCTGCCTCTTTCTCTCTCTCTCCCTCTGAGTTTTTATTAGTTTCCTATTGCTCTCGCTGGATGACAGCAGTGGTGGAAATACTAACTAGAGATCAGCTGTGGTTGTAGTTAGGAAATATATGAATAAATCTAAGGTCAACAATGGAATGGAAAGACTAAGGGAGCCAATCTCTCGCGTGGGATGGAAAGAGCTGAATTTATGTGTGGATTTTAGAGCAGAGTTATACTATGTTAATGTTCTCTCCCGCTGAATGATTGGTGTTGGATAACCCCAGAAGATCAGCTGTGGATAGCCACCTGTGCGTATGAGTGATATCTGACTAAGTGCAGTGCCCATGCTGGAATCGATCTCTGAGATAGTTATCTATGCATGGATCCATGTTTTCATCTGCTAAGATAAATCAATGCTGATGGAATATTTACAGAGAATTAAATTGATTTCCTATAAAGTGAGCAAAAAAAAATATAACCTTCTGCTGATTGATTCAATTCAATACATTAAATCCATTTTGGGATATACATATCTTGATTAAGAGACCCCCCTTTTTGGGATTATGACACCCCATCTCCCATTTCATTTCGTGTGCGTATGAAAAGGTCGCATGATAGCCTGAAGACTCAGCGGCGACACGTGATCCAGGGGATACAGATACGCAAACAGACTGCCAGATTGTCACACGGTGTCGAACTGGAGCTCGAATTGGCGCTAAATATTTGCGGACAATTAACACGTAGCAGCGCCCCGGCAGTTGGGTGACAAATGCCAAATGACAAGCAGATTGTCTTCTAAAATCAAATACAAATACGAGTCAATGGTGTCGAGGAAATACAAAAAAAAAAAATGTAACAGAATCCAAAATCAAATCAACTGCTGATTGCATAGCCTACACACACACACACACACACACACATACACATACACAGACACAGACACAAATAGACACACAGTCACAGTCTTGCATAATAATTGTGAGAATTGAGATTGAAAAATTGTCGTTATTAGAGCAGCGCTTCATATGCAAAATAGGAGGAGCCACAGAAGTCTCCCATCCAATTAGCACGGCTGGAAGTCAGTCAATTGGCCGGAATGGTTCGACAGGCTGTCGACAGGCGGACCGGCATTAAGTGCGCTAATTATAAATGGAAATATTTATGTATTTCTTAGGCTCCTGGCAGACCTCCCACCCTGTCCTGCACCCTGTTCCGAGTGCAAAAGTGTGAAGTTGTCGCGGCAACAATAAGGGCAATTATGGCGCAGACTCGCAGAGGCTGTGGCCCCAGAGTCAGTGCCAGAGCCAGAGCCAGTGCCAGAGCCAACTCGACACACCTGTCGACTGGCAGGCTTTGTCGTGGCCTGGCGAAAACAATTTCCTTGCCGCCAGCAGGGTTATCATCATCCTTGCATCGTTGCTCTGCTGTCGTCGTTGCATCCACCACTCTTTTGAGGGTCTCCGTGGCGCTGGAGCTGGTGCTGGTGCTGGCGCTGGGGCTGGGGCTGGGGCGCAATCAACGCTTGTCAATCTTTGTTGCAATCTTCATTTTGCCATCGTCGACACCACCTTGAGTAGTACGTAGTACGGGTATTACAGGTAGTACGTAGTACGTTGTATGAAAGCCGCACTCGGCTGCACTTTGCAATTTAAACGTGCCGACTGCCGACTGCCAACTGCCGAGATGCCAGCACCGTTGACGTGGGGGCTCTTCTGCACCGGTTTTTACTTATGCATGAGCTGCAGAAATGAATGCAAAATGGGTTAAATGCAGCTTGTTAGCGCTTCCATTCGATGGTTTTGTTCGCTTCGGTTCGGTTCCCCATGCTCCATGCCCCATGCCCCATGCCCCACACACACATTGTGCACTCTGCAGCTGTCCTGCAGCGGCGGCTCTGACGTTGACATATCTATTAAAACATTTAAATCTGTTTGCCACTTACAGCTAAGCGCAGCAGACAGCAACAAAAGCAGCAGCAGCAGCAGAAAGGCTGACAACATGACACAGGATCAAGGCAGAAACGGCAATGGCAATGGCAGCGGCAACGGCAACTCTGTGCCACAGGACACACAGAGTGGCAACACTCCCCCCGCGCTGCATACGAAATTAGACATACAAAAATTCCCGGAAGACTACAACAAAGCGCAGACGGATGGCAATGGAGTTGGTGTCGGTGTCGGTGCGGGTGGAGCGGCTGGCGATGCCACACAAAACGCTGCAACAATAATTTTAACGCCGACATCATTAAATTTAACAACAAATACAACACAAAATGTTGCCGGTAACAATGCGGGAGCCCTGCCCATTCCTAGTGGCGTCGGCGGCGGAGGCGGCGGAGAAGGCCAGAGCGAGGAATACAAAGGACCCAAGTGGTAAGTGAAATGCTCATGTGGCCCGGATTCCGGACTCCTGCACCATTGTGCGGATCCATGCTTAACCCTTTGAATGCACTTCCGGCGGGACAGGCAGTGCCAGGCCGCGTCGCGCCGCCATTCACACTTGCATTGCACGCGTTTTTCGCATATCCGGTCTTTGCTTTGCTTTACTGTGCCTTGCTTTGCATTTGGTTTTCTATTTCTATTTCTTTTATGCGCTAACAATGGTGCTCATGGTTGCTGCTGCCGCTGCTGCTGCCACACTAGGCACCCGCGCGTGCATCCGCCTGGCTGTGGATTCGCGACTGGGTCCCAATTCCCGGGTCGTCGTCGCCGTCGTCGTCTAGTCGCAGTCAAGCCTGATTTCTTTTTTTGTATTTTTGTTGTCTCCTTTTTGGCAGTGACACTTACTTTAATAGCTGGCGAAATGCCTTGCTGGCTGCCGGCATTTATTCTCGATGTTGTTCTCCGTGCGGGGTGCAGACAACGGCACAACGTGGCGTATGAGTTACTGCTGTGTAGCTGCTGTTGCTGGGTTATGGTGTTGTGTTTAACACAATTTGTGTGGCCTGGCCCCCGGGGGGGTTTGTTCTATTGTGGCGAGGCTGTGTGGCTTTAGCTCTCCGTTTACTTGGATACTTTCAAGAGCAGGGCAAAGAAACTGTAGGCATTGTTGATTGTCTGCAGAGGGAACACACACAAAAGTTAGCAATGGAGTGGCAGAGTGGCACAGTGGCAGAGTGCAGGCTGATATTCTCCCCTGTCTCACCTTCACGAATATGGGCAGACCAATTTCAAAGAAGACTCCGGCTCGCACCTTGACGGGTCGCTTAAGGAACTCCATGTAGCAGTTGAGCAGCTTGCGCGTGGGCACCGAATACTCCAGCCAATTGGTGTGGAACACGCTGTTGGTCAGGGCGCTGGCATGAAAGGTCAGCTCGTTGCCGTAGTAGCAGGGCAGGAATATCTGGAAAATCATCACGGCCACAAACTGCAGTGTGGTGAGAAAGAGACCCGGCTGCTCCCTGAAGCTCATGTGGACCAGCCGATAGGCGCTGAAGCAGATGATGAAGGCGCTAAACACCACCTGAGCGAGGACATAGGGCGAGACGAGCACCTCGCACTGCTGCGTCAGGCGACGCACACGCGTGTGCAGCCGGAAAATGGCACGCAGCTGGGCAGCGGCTACCTGCTCGGGGGCCTGCTGCAGCGCCCTCAGGCGCAGGTTCATCACCCGATAGAGCAGGGCGATCTGGAACATGAAGTAGCAGCCCATGGTGTCCAGCAGGATGTTGGACAAACAGCACAGCGTCATGGCAATCACATTGTAGCCCCAGGCATAGTAGTAGCGTTTCGGGGTGCGCCACTCAAAGGGCACATAGTAGCCGAAGGGCAGCTCGTACTCCTCCTGAACGAGCACGCTGGAATAGCCCATCGAAGCCACAAATAGACTGCCCCCGATGTAGACGTAGAAGATGCGCTTGAAGTGCATCTGCTGGCGATGCCAGAACTCCAGTTCCTCGCGACTGCGTAGCTTATAGGCGGGATCTTGCTCCAGTTCGTGAATGAACTGTGAGACCTGCTCTCGCCGGTACCAAATGTTGATGAGCTTGGTGACCAGAGCCAGCTCCGTCACCGACATGTACAGCACCTGGCCAGCCTGCTCGAAATCGGCTGAGGTGAGTGCCTCCAGCCACATGAGCGCAATGTAGGTGAATGTCAGCGGCAGATGCAGCACGAATGGATAAATGCGTTTCATCCGTGCCCAGAGGTCGGTTCCATTCTCGTCTTGCCACTTAAGCAGACCCGCCCAGCGCTGGACCGTAATCAGAAATCGAACTGCAGCTAAACGATCCGTGGACTCCATTTTCAGTGATTTAAATAATTTTAAAATGGAAAAACGAATGACTTTTGGCTGCCTTTATAGACTTTTGGCCTTCCAAAACGGTCACCCTTTCACGTAATTCCGAACTAGGGTTGTATTCTTGATTCGTTTGCCGCTGGAGCACACTTTTTCGATTCTAGTTCGCATTTAAATTGTACAAATAAAGCCCAAAGAAGGTGGCTGGAATCCATTGAATGATTTATTTTTACTTAATTTATCATTGAATCGAGTGGAACTGGTTCTGCTCCAATGATGTTCCAGCCCTGATTCGTTTAGTTAATTAGCCAAAATATTTATACACATCTAAGGCAAAAGCAATTACAATAATTATCCCACTGACATAATGGGGAGCCATTGATTGTCTGTGTCTCCTACAAAATGTATCAGTCACGCAATGCCGGACAAGAGTGGGTGGAGTACAGACAGACTTGAGTTGAGGAGACATCCTGCTGCTGCTGCTACTTGAAATTTTCAGTTCATCAAAGGCTGTCAGGAAGTTCATGTGCCCTTTGACCGAATATCTTGACAAATGTTCTGAATTAAAAATAATGAAATATTTTTATTGAATCTATGTACGATATTATTTAATTGAATGTTTATTTATTACTTGATTGGCAGCTCTCTGCCCGATCTTTGCTAATTTCTGTTGTTGCTGCTTTTTGCGGACTGCTTTTGTTTTCTGCCCTTACTGCTTGCTTCTCTGCTGGACTGCTTGTGTACTGTTGATCTGCTGCTAATCTCGTTCTTCTGTTACTGCTGTTACTCCTTCTCTGCTGTTCTGATTGTTGTTTTACTGTTCCACTGTTAATCGCTTTTAATATTATTATTTTTAGAAAAATTCGTTATAGCCATTTCCAAAGTCGTAACCTTCAGTCTAGCTATAGAATCTGTTGGTCTGTCGTGGCTTTCGAAATATATCTAAGTAAATCTCCGTTCAAAATTTGCCATTATTTACTCTAAAGGCCAAGAATTATTTAAATTAAAAGTAACATTTATTTTCTCTTAATATTCTTTATTGCAACTCGTAACACCTTTTATTCAAATTATGTTAAATATTCATCATTCATCTCATTTGGAGACATTCAGCAGGAGGGCAAAGAAACTGTAGGCATTGTTGATGGTCTGCAAAAGAGAAGGAAAATCAATTAGTTTACTATATTGTGGTGCACCTCCTAAAACAGATAAAAACCTTTACGAAAATTGGCAAACCAACTGCAAAAAAGTTGCCCGCTTTGATGGCAACAGGCCGCTTCAGGTGTTCCATGTATCCATTGAGCAGCCTGCGGAGTGTGGGCCGGCTGTGGAGCCAGTTGGTGTGGTAGACCTCGTTGGTGAGCTGATGGGCATAGACTGTGATCTCGTTGCCGTAGAAGCAGGGCAGATAGATTTGAAGTATCATTACGCTGACAAATTGCAGCATGGCTATGAACTGGCCGGGATTGGCGCGGATACCCACATGCTGGAGACGATAGCCGCTGAAGCAGATGATCAGCGCACTCAGAATGATCTGCGAGAGAATGTACGGCGACACAATTGTCTGGCAGGTGTGGGTCAATCTGCAAAGGAAGGAGGAGTAGCAATAAAATATTTATTATATATTTATTATGAGAATCTTCGAACCTGCGCACACTGTGATGCATCCTGAAGATCTGACGCAACTCCTGGCCAAAGTAGCCTTCATCCGACGTATCCTTTAGAGATCTCAATCGCATGCCCAGCACTCGATACAGCAGGGAGATGTGGAACAGGAAATAGCAGCCCAGCGTGTCCAGTGTAATGTTCGAGATGCAGGTCAGCGTCATGCCCGCCATATCGTAGCCATAGGCCAGCCAATAGCCACGCTCGTTGCGCCAGTCAAAGGGCACGTAGTAGGCGAATGGCAGCTCGTAGTCCTGCACAAAGAGCACTCCAGTGCAGCCGCTGTAGACGACGCCCAGGCTGATCAGTATATAGATGTAGAAGAACCACTTGAAGTAGCGCTGCTCCCGTTGCCAGAGCTCCAGCTCTGCCTGGGATCGCAGCTGAAGCTCCGGCGCCTGCTGGAACTCGTGCATCAGCCGCCAGGCAGCCGAGCGATGATGCCAAATGCTGAGTATCTTGATGACCAGCGCCATCTCCGTGATGGACATGTATAGCACCTGGCCCGCCTGCTCGAGATTGCTCGAGACGAAGGCCTCCAGCCACATGAGTCCGATAAAGGTGAAGGTTATGGGCAGATGCAGCAGAAAGCGATAGTTTCGCTTCACAAAGCTCCATACAGTCCACCGCTCCCCCTCTGATAAGGACCAGGGCCAGAGGCCAAAGAGTCGCATGACCTGCAGAATCAGGTGCATGGACGAAATACTATCCTGGTGGCTGTCCATTTGGTTAGCGTTTGTCGGCAGTTGCTAAAGTCTGGGGGGGTTTTATAGTGCCCAAGGAGCACGGCAATTAGCAGCAATTATATTTACATAATTTACCTGAGAAACAGAGACACACGAAACTCCCGCACGGTTGGTTTTCCTTTCCCTTCTTCAGTATATTCTGAGCGCTCAAACGGAGTAGTTTTAACCCTTTTCGAGGAACTTCCTGTTGGCCATGCAGCCTGCGCTCAGTGTACACAGAGAGCAGCATTGTCTCTTGATAGATGATGAGTTCTCATGAGAGATATTGACATGACCAGGTATGTCCAAAATATATAGCCTGTGTTCTTCTGCTCAACGTCCTGCAGATTCCAGACCTCCTCTGCGTTAACGATTAAATTGCATAAAGAAACTCCAGTAGCGACGATTCTCTTCACATTGTGGAGCTACTAGTTCTTATCTCCCGTTGGCCGAATAGTTGTTTCCACTTAATAAAAAAATGGCGCAAAAAAAAAAGAATTCTCAATGTTCTTTAGTTCGTGACATTCAAAATGCAAGCATGAATATTCATGCTTATGCATGCCGATCCGCACGCTGAGAGCAGTTTCGGTCGGCACAGAAATGCACACAGCAGATAATGTACACAGCGAGAGCGAGCTTAGAAATAGACAGAGAGAGAGCTCGCTTCGATAGGGAGAGCGCTCGCTTTTTAGGGCAAGCAAGCAAGTGCAGAGCTTTATTAAGCAGGTAGGCGGCTGAAGGCAAGCAGCTTTTAGGTTTCGGCTGCGCACAAATATTTTTGTATGCACTTTGAGGTTGGGTCCGAAGAATGCGGAGCCAAGCTGGACATGGCATGGTCTTCGTTTTTGACTATCATTAAACTCGTTATTGAATTAACCATTTTGATGCGTTGCTTGCAGGTGGCGTCACATTGTGCTGCATTGGTCGCTGATTTCGGAGCATGTCGCCCTGCTGGTCATCTTTCTGGGCATCTGGGCGATGGCCTGGATTCTGCTGCGGGAATTCTCCGAGCCACAGACCGTCATCATGCGCATTGCATTCCTATTTGTGGGCGCCCAGATATCCGGCATTCTGGTGACATTTGTGCACTTGCCCGACATGCTGGGCATGCTCTTCTTTGGCGTGCTCTACGCCAATTTGGGGCTGGCCAATTTCGAAGGCTATCAGGGATTTGAACTGTTTCTGAGGTAAGAGTGCGCTGCGGTGCGGGCTAAGAGGGCAGTTCCCAATCGAAATGTGTCTAAACTTCTAACAGGGAAATGGCTCTGATCAATATCATGCTGCTGGCTGGCCTCGGACTGGACGGGGATGCGTTTAAGCGCCTGTGGTTTATGATTCTCCGCCTAACGCTGCTGCCCACAATTGCCGAGGTGGCGGCCATCGCCGGACTGGCTTACCTCACCCTTTCGATGCCCTGGCTCTGGGGCATTACTTTGGGGTGAGTGTTTGGGGTTTTGGGTTGTCTCTGGCTTGGGTTGATTGATTGGCTATCAATGTGCATTGCGTAATCCCCACAGTTTGGTCATCACCGCCATATCACCGAATGTGGTGGTCACCGTTATGCTCAAGCTGAAGGAGGATCGTCTGGGACTGAACAGTGGCATACACACCCTCATCTACGCGATGACCACATGCAACGATGTGGTGTCCATCTTCATGTTCGGCGTAATAATCAGCGTCATCTTCTCCACAAGTGCGTTGTGCCACACAGCTCGAGTGTCTGTCTGCCTGTCTACGGATGAGAAATAAATACTTTTGCTTTTGCTTACAGCCTCGCTCACCCAGCAAGTGCTGCAAGGACCCATTGGCATTGGAATTGGACTCGTTTTTGGTTATCTCTATGGCATGATGCTCCAGTTCTTGCCGTCTCGCAACGCGGTAAGCCCTGTCCATACCAGACAAAAGGCATAGACGTAGACGTACACGTATACGGCAGACGTGGTAGCGCACTCTTTTGGAGTCCGTGGAGGCGGCTGCACTTAAAATGCACATTCAGTGAACACTTAGACACTCAATCAGCGCATTTAATGATGCAAAACGCGCACAAGCACCGATGGGATTGGGCAGGCAGTGGGTGCCATATGCACCCAGTAGAAGATTTTCTCTCTCTCTCTCTCTGTCTTGTGTGTGTGTGTGTGTGGGTGCATTTTGCATAAAAAGACACTTACATGCAAAGCGGCAACGACGACGACGACGACGAGGACGGAGCTGGCGACATTTGCGACGACAGTTACTGCCAGCATCTATGTGAAGTTATGCTGGGGACATTGTGGCAGCCACAGCCGCAGCCACAGCCAGTGCCACAAAACTCATTGCCGCAACTTACACCGCTAATGGCGCGCATAATCAAACGCCATGGGTGGTGCCACCAAATGCAGAGACACACACACACACACACACACACCACATAGACCTCTCATAACTTTTGTTTTCTGTAACGCGCGGGCTGGCTCGCCTTTGCCTTTGCTTTTGCCATCGTTGTCGTCGTCGTCGTCAAGTGGCATCCGCAGCCACGCGGCGCTGCAGTTTGTACAAAAATTTCACGCTGTGCGACGTTGAAGTCGCTGCATCCTTATATCCTTGCATATTTTACACACACACACACACACACACATAGAGCTACAGGCTATTCACAGTTCACAGTGCGCATCAGTGGGGGTTGGGGGATGAGGGACTCGCCCTGTGTATGTGTGTGTGTGTTGGTGACTGTCATCAGGCCTCGGTTTTTGGTCTCAGCATCTTCTCGCGTGTCATTGGTGCTGCTTTTATTTTATTATGATTACGCAGTCTCTTGTAATTTCCACTGTCACCTTTCCACGCTTCGCATTTTACGCTTTTCTTTTGCGTTGACATTTTTTTTTTGTTCAATACGACATTCGGGGGCAAACGTCGCCAACTCCTTGGTGTAGAGAGAAAACTGCACTTATTATATACTAGAAAAATTAAAAGTTCAAGCGCTGGAGAGGAAAGGAAAGTCGCATTTTTGCTTCGCCTTCGCCTTCGCTTATCGAGTGTCCGGCCAGGCAGGTCGCCTGGTCGCCTAACGAAGCGCAATTGAATGCAATTTCATTCGATTTGAGCGAAAATGCAGCTTAAACCTTCTAAATCTGTGGACAAAGGAGTAAAGGAAAATTGAATTGCAGCGATTTGCGGTGGCTGCCAAAGTGAGTGCTCCGAAAGGGGGGTTGGGGGGCAAGGGAAAGCCAGCAAAGGACGAGAAGCCACATCAGCAGCAGCACCAGCAGCTGCAAAATTAAAAGATTTCAATCAGTTTCAACACCTGTCCAGAAAACCAACAAGCTGCACGTCTGCAACGACTAAAAACGAGTAAAATATACAAAATATAAGACAGAACAGAGAGAGAAAAGATAGCTTTGTTGGAGGCGAGGTTTATCAGATCAAAATCGTTGTTCAGGCCATTTAGCTACAAGTTTTTCAAGTTCCTAACTAAAAAATTTAGCATGCAAGCAAAAGCCAAAAGAACATCAAAACGAACAAAACGAACAGAACGGTGGAAAACGGGGAAAGGAAAATGTGAAGAAGAGAGAGAATTCTTTTTTTGTTTCGATACGTTGCGTATACGCATCCTGACCACACGGCGCACTGTCCATCAAAGCAGAAACAGCTCAAACAATGGGGAAAATGGAGGTGGGGTTGTGTGGTAGAGGAAAAACAGTTTCCATCAGAGTTTTGTAAAGTGATTTGGGTTTTTTCTTTGTTGTTGTTGTTGTTGTTGTTGCCTGCCTAACTCAACCATTTTCCCATCCACTCTTTTCACATCTGTCTTTTGATTCATCCCTTGCAGACATACGCAAATGGTCTCCGCTTCGTGCTGACCATCTTGGGCGGCACCATCGCCGTGATGGGCAGCCGCGTCATTGGCTATACGTCGGCCGGTGCCCTGGGATGTGTAACGACTGCCTTTATTGCGAGAATTGGCTGGAGGCGGGAGGAGAGCAAGCTGACACCGCAGCAACTGCAGGCACATCAGATTGTAAGTTGAAAAAAGGGGACGGTGGGATGGGACTGTGACTAGCTTTTTTTTTGATGCTCTTGAGAGTGTTTTTGGTCGAGCCTTTGCGTAACTGAGTGCTTTGGGGGCATGGCCATATGGACCCACCTGTTATTTTTTCGCTTTGCCTTTTTGAAAAATGTAGCATGCAATTTCGTGCCATTTTTTATATGATTCGTACGCCTACGAAGGAGCAACACAGCAACGGCAACAGCAATGGACAGGAAACAGCAACATCAGCCTCCATTTGGGTGTGTGTGGAGACTGGTGGTGACTTTTGCTAGGTAATTTGTGACATCACGTCCTTGTGCCATGTCAGAGCTGGATGTTAGTTCTCGATTTGTTTTCTTTTGAAACCGTTTGGCTAATACCTTTAGCCCAGCTGTTGTTGTTGCTATGCTTCATTTTTATTTCTGTTACTGCACTTGACTTACAAGTTAAAGTTTTTCCAAGAGTTTTCCTATGCTGCTGCCTGGCCAGCCAATGGCTTTTAATTGCCTCCTTACGGGAAGGAAACGACATAAGCAGCAGTCCTAATTGAATGCCAATTGGGAATATATTGATCTAATCAGAATTTATGAACTTTATCTCATGCTCTCTCTCTCTCTCTTTCTTTCCTTCTCTTTTTCTGTTTTTCTGTTTCTTTTGCTGCAGGCCAGTGTCCCCAAGCGTCTGGATCTGCTGTGGAAGTTCCTCAAGCCCGTCTCGTTCGCACTCATTGGCAAGGAAATTAATTTCAGTGTGCTGCAGGGCCATGTAATCGGTTATGGGGCATTGCTGGTGCTGGTCGGAAGTTTGGTAATTAAAACGGTCGCCCGCCGGTGGCCCTGCCGGTGGCTCTGCGGATGGGGAATGCAACAATGTTCTCCGTTCTCCGTTCTCCGTTCGCCGTTCGCCTTGCCACTTATTTAATTTCTTTTCGGCTCTCACTCAGCTTGTGCAGGGAATAGTACACTACTCGGCTGTGTGACGGTCCCCGCGGTCCCAGTGGTGGTGTGTGGCAAGGGGTACGAAACGTACAGCGGTGAGGTGAACCGAAATGAAAATGTTCGGGCACCGCAATGCAAATGTTACCTGCACACAACAGAAAAGAAAGAAAAAAAAAAACAGAGCACGGAGAACGGAGCAGGGAGAACGAACGAAAAAAAAAAATGACTGAGAGAACTGAGAGAAACGACTAACCAGAGATGACCCTTTTCTTGTTCTCGTTTGCAGTTTCGCTTGGGTTTTGCATATTTATCCACATATGGCGGAAATCTGTCGAGAAAGGAACGTGCCTACATTACAATTTCCGGTTTTCCCAAAGCAACTGTCCAAGTAAGTTTCCCGTTCCGCGTGTCATGTTGCTGCGGTTTGGTCCCCAGTCCCCCCAGCTCGACCTCTGCCCTTCTGCGCGTCTCCTGAATTGGTGGGAACTTTTTATTTCCGCCCCTTCGTTCAGTGCGCCCGTTGCCTGGCCATCCCAGCACCGCCCTGCTGGGGGGCTTTGTCTCTGTTTTCGACCAAAATGCTTAAGTTATACACGAATTCGCAGGTCGTCTACGTCGAGGACTATGTCTACTCTCTCATCTCTCTCGCCCGGCTGCAGTTGGCATGGAAGCCTTTTGTTTGCAGTTTAACCGCAAACGGACATTTTGTTTATGTCGCCTGGCCAATGCGTGTGTGTGGCTGTGTGTGTTGCATCTGTGTCTGTGGTTGTCTGAAATTTAAATGTTCCGCTGGCTTACTAAGCCGCCTGCTGCTGTTGCTATTACTGCTGCTGTTGCATGTGTCTTATTTTGAGTTTTCGGGCCAAAGCCAACATGTGGCATGTGGCACTGTCGCTCGCTGGCTGCCTGCTCAACTTTTGCCCTAATATGCGGTCCGGCGGCGGCCACATATTTCACTGTCCACCTCCGTTTTCCTTTTTTTGTTGTTGTTGTTGGCTTGCTGTTTTACTGATTTAATTAAAATTTTACAGCAAAACCGTATTTAATCTGCTTGACGCTGCGCTGTGCTCATATCACTCATACGCAGCGGCTGCCTGTTCTTAATTTGAGCCATCTAATCAGTGTGCCCTTCCTTTCTCCCTCTCTCGCCCTCTCTTTCTCTGTTTCTGTCTATCCTCCAGGCGGCACTGGGTCCCGTGGCACTGGATCTGGCACGTGCTGCCAGCGTGGCCAACGAAGCGCAGCTGGCCCTGGCGGGCAATGTGCTCATCATCTCAGTGCTGGCGATTATATTCACGGCGCCACTGGGCGCCATTCTCATGCTGCGGCTAGCTCCGCACTGGCTCAAACATGGCGATGCAGTGGATGAGGCCACCGATGCCTCCCCCACTCCAACTACAATTGTGCCCGAAGCTCCCTCAAACGCATACAAAAGGGCATAGACGGAGCTGCTGCTGTTGCTGTTGCTGCTGCGGGGTAACGATCTTGCCCTGCATTTGGATGCCATTAGGCTTAACTCTCTCACTTAACCAGAACTCCTCCAGCTAAAAGTTTTTAATCCAACTGTGTCGATGGTTGTACTTACATAACCTACCTACCCCTACCTACCTACCTACCCCTAGCCTGTGTAGTACTTATACTTATGTGCGTGTACTTATGTTGTTGCCATACAGAGTGCAAATGAAAATAAAACTAAATGCGAAAAGTTACAGCGAAATATCCTTAAGCTACGGCCGCTTCGTGCACCCTGGATCCAGATTCGAGGTAAGTTTTTCAATTCGTTTTCAATCTAAGCAGTACACACGGAGAACCTTTTTTTTATTGGCCTAATTTCCCAGTTATTTGCGCACTGGGTCCCCAAAAACTTGCCCTGAATTAACAAAAGTTGAGCCCCTAATCCCGGCGGACTAACACGGCGGCACCCACCCGGCAGCCCTAGCGAACTTTTGAAAAGTGGCCAAAGACTTTATTGTTTTTCTCACTCAGCGTCTTTAGCTGTGCCTCAAAAGAAAAGCTTTTTCGGCACCTAATTATGACTGGAATCTATGTTAATCCCGAAACTGAAGCCGCTGCTAATTGATTTTCTAATTAATTTTAAGGGATTTAAATGGTTTGCCGGAGTCTTTACTCGTGTTTTTGCCCATCATGTCAAATCAATCCGAATTAATGATTGACAATTGAAACAGCTGCTATGGGGCGGGAGCGGGGCGGGGGCAGAGGCTCAAAGACTTTCATCTGAGTTGGTCAAGTAAATGAAATGAACCCAAAATGATTTCGTTATTTTCAAAGAACTGTGCCGGCCCCCCCACTGTACCCCACTGTCCCACGCCTTTTTACGCCTGCTGCCTTTGTGGCAGGAACATTTGGCCCAGAGCATCAGCAAACAGCAGAAAAAAAAAAACACACACACACACACACAAAAAGCCGAGTGGAGAAAACATGAAATAATGGCCAAGAGAAGAATGCCATTTAATTGAAAAGTGATTGTGAGGCCACATCCACATCCACATCCAAAGACTCTGGCTCTGACTCTGCCTGTGCCTGTGCCGTGGGGCAATTGCCATCTTCTTTGCTTTTGTCGCCAGGCAGATGGGCAGATGCACCATTTGCAATGCAAACGGCTTAGAATGAACTTGGCTCAGTGCTGGCGGGCTGTCCTGTGTCCTGTGTCCGCTTTTGATGATTTTGTTTTTGCTGTGGCCGTTGCCGTTGCCGCTCGCATGACGTCCGACGCTAGTGGTAGTTGGTCGTCGGGGCTTCATCTGTGGCCTGGTTGAGTGAATGCTGAAAGGAATCAAATTAAAAGACGGCAAAGAAAAAAAGATGAGAAAAAACGACAGAATCGAGAGGGAAAAAAACTTATCATTTTTTTTGTTGTATTCCGTGCAGCTGCGCATATTTTTAAACTGGAAATTCTCTGGCTCTCTCTCTCTCTCTCTCTCTCCCGTCTCTATCTCTCTTAGAACATTTCTGTTCGCTGCTGGCATTGGTCGCCTTTGTGTGGCATGGCAAAAGAGTTGAGAAAATTGAAGGTAAATTAGTGTTATTAAAATTGCTGCACAAAAATAATTGTGCAACTAAATGAACATTTTTTTAATGAAAATTCTTTGGTTTCCTGGTACCTGGTGACTGCTGCCTGTTGCCTGGTGCCTGTTGCCTGGTGCCTGTTGCCTGTTGCCTGGTCTCTGGCCCTGCCTTATCTCTTTGTTATTTGTTGCATTGTTTTTCGCAGTTGATGTCCGTGCAATTAGCATAATGAAACTAGGTTCCAGCCATGCACCCAATGACAGTGCTACGCCAAAAGATTTACACAGCAAACAAAAAAAATGGAACTTCTGGCCCCGGCCAACACTCAAGGGAATTGGCTATTTACTTTTCATAATTGAAGCCAGCCAGAAGACTCATAATGAAGTGCGTAAGAGCCCAAGTATTGAGTTAACAATTGAGTTATGTTCGGCCTGCAAATGGCCGCATAGCATGCCCCCCGCAAGGCGCATCAATTTATGCTGCCCTGCCCCATCATCCTTCAGGCATAAGCCCAGCCGCCTTATCGCGGCCATTCAAGTGCCACCGGCCATAGATCAACCTTATCAGCGCAGCCAAAGTATTTTCCTGTGCGAAATAAATTCCAACAGTTTATTATTCTAATTCGCATGCCAAATACCGACAGAAAAAAAAGAGAACGCCAGGCACGTCAGCACCTTTGGGTAAAGCCACAGCCATAGGACCCACCTGCCACCCGCCATCCTGCCCCACACTCAGAAACTCAGACCACCAACCGATACTGCCACAAAAGGAGTTGCGCGAGTGGCAAACGGAAATCAAATCAAAAAGTTCACAAAAATGCCAAACCAACAGAAATTAAGTTATAAAATTTTAAGGACTATGCGCTGTTTAATTTCCAAATGCCATGCCAAGGGGCTAAACCCCCACACACCCCCCACACCCACACCCACACCCCCATACCCACACACACAGGTGTGCTATGGCTCGGGCTTGAGGGCCTGTGGGCGTGGCTGCTTGCCGGAGCGTATTGTGGTTTTTGTTATGCGCCGATTACCATAAAAACAAGCTAAAGAAAGTTGCGTCGTCGGAAACGGAAATCAAGAAAACAAAAAGAATGAACTGAAATGAAGTCTCGGGCTTGGGCTTGGGCCTGGGCCCTGCGACTGAGACTGGGCTCCTTCGGTTAATAAAGTTAGTTGCGTTCGCCTTGACGGCGAAACTTTTGAGTTATAAGCGCACAAATTATGGCTTATAACAAAGCCAAGTCCAAGTCCAGCCAGTCAAGGCAGTCGGGTGGAAAGCAACGGCAACAGCAACAGCAACAATAGCCAGGAATACCAACAAAAGGAAAACAATTAACATGACGAAGACACATAAAATTTCCACTTCCCGATGGGGTAGCTGTAGATCGTGGGGGGGGGGAGGTAGTTGGGTGCGTCGAATTAGCAGTTGGAAATTCCAGTTCGAAATGTGCGTCAATCACGTGATGGGTCTCCTCTCTCTCTCTCTCTCTCTCTGACTCTCTTCCGACATAGATGCCCCACCCTTCCCCCATTCATGACTCTTGTCGCTTGTCTAGGCCTGCTGCCTGCTGCCTTGTTTTTGTTAATTTTAATACATGTACTTTTTATCGCCCAAACATTCCTCCTGGCTCAAATGAAGCCATTTGTTGGCTCGTATCTGTATCTGTGGCTCGTTTCAGACTGCTAGGCATTCGATACCAGAGCGTAGTGGGGCGGGGCGCGGGGGTTCACAGGTCACAGCACATCACAGTTATTTTCGTGCAAATGGCATATTTTTTATGGCTTGTCGCTGGCGTCTTGTTTCTCGTGTCGTAATTAGACAAAATTGTTGACTCCGCCCATGAGCCGCAAAAACCCAAACCCCAAACCCGAAACCCAGCCCGGGTTCTGCCCATTTCCCAATTGCTCACTCAGTCTTTAATATCCACTCACTGGGCGACTCTTGGTGGCATAATTCTGGCGGTGGCAGTGGCAGTGGCAGTGACGGTGCCACAACCGCTGGAAGGTGTGTTTGACACTTGGCGTGTCAGGACAGCGAAAATATTTGTCCCTACCCTTTAAAACGCCTTTGGGGGCAATGGCGGGGCATAATCTTTGTGGGACAGCAGTTCGTGGAGTTTTTATTGTTGCTATTTGGAATGCGTGGAAGGCAGCAGACTACTCAAAAATAATTACAAATAATATGAAGGACCTTTTGCATGAATTTACTCTCTGTATTTTGTTGTCCTCAGCAGCACTCTGGTCGTGGCCTAAATGGTAGTTTGCCCTGCAAGCACCACTAGAACCACAAGAACCACATCTGGTATATATATATGTGTGTGTACTTACGCTTCGACTGTCGCACAACTACAAAGCTCTGTGGGTTTTTATATGAGCCACTTCGACGAACGATTGATAACCTCTGACCGCAGCAGTGATGCGAATGCGAGCGAAAATGCCTGATAAAGCGACACAAATTATAAATTATATTATTTGGAAATTTTTTGCAGCCGATTTTTGGTTTGCTTTAAATTGGTTTATCGCAAAAATTCAATTGCATTTGAGGTGAGCGCGGCACAGAGCACACAGGTGCACACACGAACATTTTGGTAAATTTACCTGGCACAGGAATTGAATTATCTGCATGGAGCGTGGACCGCAAAATTGTATAAATAAATATTAGTCAATTTTGGTATTTGCAACATGCGCATGCATAATTTTTGGGAAATCGTGTGACACTCGGCCTGGTCGGGGAGGGGGCACAGCCACAGCCACAGCCATGACAATCAGACCAAACCATTTGCATAGAATCTAAAACGGGCATAAAAATACAACATTTAAGGGCGTGGCGGCAAATGCACTTTAAGCGGCTTTAAGTGATAAGAATCCAATTAGAAATGAGCTGGAGCTTAGCTCCGCGCCATTCATATCCATTGATCAGAGGCTGCCACAAAAGCCTTCACATGCAAGCGCTGCCTCTTAATTCAATGGGGAAAATAACAAAGCCCTAAGCCAGGGTTCGAATAGGCCACGAACAGCCTGCTGGCATGCTTATGACATTGTCAATGGCCGCTCCATAATAATACGTATAGATAGAGATGCTCATTGAGGCAGCTTTGAGACAGCAGCAGCAGCAGCAGCTATGCCAATGCCAAAGCATAAGACTTGGCCGCTTGCAAACTATTTGAATAATTGATATTAATCGTTGCCAAGAGCTGTCAAAATTAATTTGTGATGTGTTTTCCGAGCGATATTATTGATGATGATTATGGGGCCAAGGACTCTAATGAATGCAGAGGCTAATGGATAACCGTTCGACAGCTGAGTAGCACGCTGAGTGGCTGCCTGTAGTTTTCCATCTTTACTTGATTCCATCTTCCATTGCTCCAAGCATTTAATTACACTTTGACTCGGGGAAATTGACTTCCTCGGACGTGGCAAACTTTATTGTCTTCTTCTCTGGCTCTGCCTGGCTCTCTGCCTGACTGAGAGGAAATCGCTTAATATGTATTAACATTTATTGCTTCGTCAAAGCTGCTGGGGCTGGGCGCTGGGCGTGGGCGTGTGGAAAGGAGAAAAAAAAAAATAAGACAAAAAAAAAAACGATGCTAAGGCAATGGTAGACCGGAAATTGCCAAATACTGATACTTCCGCCGGAAATAAGTTGAATTGTTGTTGTTGAAGGAGCTGCG